CCGACCGCGAGCATCGGGATTACTAACATACGTGTGATAAAAACAGCCATCCAACATGCTCTTGAGTCTCGAAAGTAGATTGACAACGCCTCACTCAATGCCGCACCACGAACATAACCTTTACTCGACGCCTTTTTTTTTTTTTCTCCCCACAGGTCAGTAAGGTAATTCACAGCAAGTCGGTTTGTTGGATATACCCGGTATAGAGCAAATTAGAGCTGCGACGCTAGAACTTGCATGCTTGATGCCATATGCTGCCTCTTTTTGCTCTGAAGCGGTAATTTTCTCGATGCGTTGTGTAGATAGATGATTTCTTTGATCGAAATAGTTGCATATGATACCTGTTTGTTTGGTTTGCTCCAATTACCGGATTATCTCTCGGTCCGTATTACCACGCGTTTGCTCGCTTATCTAGCCACATCCGGCATGGCGCATCTTGGCAAAACGCGAGTTCCAGAAAAGGGCAAGCGCGGTCTTGGCGCTGGTCGCCTTGCCCGGCGGTGACATCGTGAAAATTGCCTGCTTGCGCTTCGCTCACGACCACCGCCGCTGGTGCTGCACCACGACCTTCGCAAGAACTGCTCAACGCCGTGCCTGTCTCCGCCTCTCCATTGCACCGTGTCTTCTCCCGCCGCTCCCTCTGCAACCCTCAAGACAAACACAAATTTCCTCCCCTGCCGCCATACCTTCTTTTCTTACTTCCCCCCCCAGTCCCCTCCAAAGTTCCTCATCCATCAAACACGCGCGTCTGATCGCCCGTAACTCAATCCCGTGTTCCCTCCGCACCTCGTCCGCCCTTCCACCATGGTTTCGCGCAAGCGTGCCAGGGAGGAAACGGAGGAGCACTCGGTCTCCGCTGTGGATTCCGGCGTTTCTCACGAACATGGGGGGCTCCTGCATCGGCTGCGCAACATGTGGGAGTTTGCCAATCTCGTCGAGTACATCTTCTTGTTCGGCAAGTCCATGAAGATAGACGACGATTTCGACATCGAGGTACGGGTTTTTCTCTTTTTCTTTTTCTTTTTCTTTTTCTTTTTCTTTTTCCTTTTTTTTTTTCCCGCTCCCCTTTGGCTTCTAGCCTTCAAAGTCGCGTTTTGTTTCCATTTTATCTTTCATTTCCGCTGGCGTTTTTCCTTTTCTTTTTCTCTTCTTGAGACCCTCGACTTTTCCTTTCTCTCGCGATAACGCTTTATAATGAGCTTGGTTCTAATATTGTTTTATGATATCTGGATAGGATTTGGAGACCGAGTGCCTAAAACCTGGACACTCGGAGAAGTTGCTCGAAATCGGCTTGTCGCTACTCAAGTTTGTCTCGTCGCACCGCGGATTAAAGTACGTTCATTCCATATCTACTTTCGTTCCTTTCATCCTTGCCTAACCGCTGTCCTTGCACTGCCCTTACAGTCGAGAAAATTTCGAAGAATACACCCGCCGCCAGTATAACGCAAAGGCACCCGGACGAAACCCATTCGGCGATGAAGAACAGCCGAAGAAGTTCCACGAGTTCGATATGTTCGAAAAGATACGCATCCTGCAGCAGCTGGCTACCTGGACGCTATGGAACCCGGAGAAATTCCGCGAAAAGATGCCGGAACAAAAGGAAACGGAGCAGACTCAATGGGTGAGGTCCCTCCCCCTTTTTTTTTTGGCTACCTTCTATATGAATATGTTCACTAATTTTATATCGCTTGGCAGCGCATTGAAGAATTGGGCTATGATCGCGATGAGCGACTCTACTACCTTCTCGATGATAACAGATTGTATCGCCGTACTGAGCCTCCTATTCCGCCACCCAGACCTGCCAAGCCCAAAGCAAACTCCAAAAAAGGGAGGGCAGCTGCGCGAGCTGCCAAACGCAGGAAGGTCGCTGAAGATGAAGTGAAGAGCGAGGAGGATGGTCAAGCGAACGGCGACGCCGCCGAAGATCCATCCAAAGGCTACAAGTGGGAGTGCATTGCTATCACGCTTGCTGAATACAACGCATTTATCGAAAAGCTTCGAAAGTCCAAGGATCCAAACGAGCAAATTCTTCGTGATCGTATTGTGAACGATGTCATCCCAGTAATAGAGAAGGCTGAAGAGGCGCAGCAGAAGAAGATTCAGCGCAGGGAGAAAGAACTAATAAATCTTCAAAAACTCGCGACGGCGAAGAGATCTAGTAGAATTGCAAACAAGCAGGAAAAGGAACGCCAAGAGCTTCTTGCTGCCGAGGAGGCAAAGAAACACGAGGCTGAGCGTATCGCTGAGAAGAAGCAACAAGAGTTGAGGGAGAAAATTGAGAAAGAGCGTATCTATCGTCTCATGACACGAGAGCAACGACTCAAGGATCGCGAGGAGAAGAGGAGATTGCACGAAGAGCATCTTGCTAAAATGGAAGAGCAAGCGAAGAAGCTAGAGAGTGGAGAGGCTAGGCTTTCAGAACGACAGCTTAAGGCCATGATGGAGAAAGGCAAACAAGATCTCGAGGCTCTGCAGGGTGAAGAGTCATGGTTTTTTGACTGCTCTGTCTGTGGAGTGCATGGAGAGAACTTGGATGATGGCACTCATAGCGTCGCCTGTGAAAAGTGCAACGTGTGGCAGCATAGCCAGTGTCTCCGCATCCCGAAGGAAGAGGCAGAGAAAGATGACTTCCATTTCATCTGCGCGGATTGTCAACAACGTATTGAAGACGCTAAACGACCGAAACTCCCGCCCCTGAAGTTCCGCATTCTGGCATCCGCGTCGCCACCATCCGCTGAGACTACCAAGGCCAACGATGAAAAACGGAATCGCCAGCCTGATGAGTCTCCCGTCAAGAAGCCCAAGAAACCGCGTCCCACTCCCTCCGCTCAGGCCCCTGCGTCGCAGCCTCCAGGTGCTCCCGAAATGCATCCCGATGTAAATCGTCTCGCAATCTCGCAGCCCCAGGGAACATATTTCTCTCCCACTCAGATGATCCCGAACGGGGTTCCAGGAGCACATCCTTCACCACGCCCAGTGCAAAATGGGACGATTTATCAGCCTATCCAACCGCAACGCCTCCCTCCCATTACAGCTCAACCCCATCCAGGGTTCCCAGCTCAGCAAGTTTCTGCCGGGCAACAACCCGAACCACAGCTCAAATTCATCCAACATTACGCCACCCCATCTCAACCCCACTCAACAACTACCTCTTTCAACTCTCAGCGTCCCTCTTCCTCCTACTCAGCCCATAGCAATTACCGCTCCCCCATACAGAATCGCCCATCTATGTCTCCAACGCAAGGGAATCGTGATGTTGGGCCGTTGGCCGGTTTTCCTCCGCCAGCAGCCCCGGACGGCGCCATTCCCAGCACCCCTTTTAACCATAACCAAGCGCATCATGTTGCTAGCTCCCCATACGTTAACCAAACCCCTTCTGCTTCTTTCTCTGCTACGCCTCGTGCTTCCTTTGCTCACACACCTCCCCCTAATTATTCTCAGCCCGTCGCCATGTCAGGTCTCAGCCCAACGAAGCAGTCACCTCCTCGCGCGCCCCTGGCCTTCTCCCCCAACATAGGACATACAGCTATTCTCCCTCCCGTGCAGAAATTACACCCCAGCCCTAAGCTGATGGGCCGATCATCTCCAGATGCTCCCATTCCAGCCCCGGTTAAGAGCATGACTCCTGAACAGGAGGATCGAAGGCGGAGGGAAATGGAATTTTCGGCTCAAAACTTGGCACGTTCGTCAGGTCCGAGTGATAGCCCGCTCCCACGGCCTCCTATTTTACATCCCACGCAGCCATTACCACATCAAGCGGGCGCTGCTATTGATAGATCGTTTAATGGAGGCAGTAGCAAATAAGTGCCCAGCTTTTCCTTGCTCATAGCGGCTGGGAAAGCTTTGAGCTATTGGCCGAGGCTCGTTTGGTCCCTGGAAGTATGTATATCTCCTTTCACGAACGACAGTTTTCCTTTATTTTCTATTTTTCTTCGTGAACATCCGTCATGATGCTCTTTTCTTTAATACGTCACATCTTCTAATACATACACTATGCATTTCTACCAAAAGCATGTACGTCTTTACACAATATCTTCTTCATTTCGTCATGTGGTTGGCTTTCTCACTTTTGCATTCGGCGTCTTGCATTGGGATGGAGAATTGAACAGGATAGACCTACTTTTTCTGTTTGGTGTTGTTTTGCTTCCTTTTTGTTCTTTTCTGATTGTGGTCTATAAGAGTCTTTGAAGGATAAACAATTCCCTATACTGGCCCTTGAAGAGTTAAACTGTACAGCAATGGTTACGGTCACAGCTACGATGCATTTGGCCTTTTGGCGATGTATAATATCTACAAACGAATGAATTTAGCTACTCTGCTGTCCTTGCTTCGAGCCAAAGGAAGGCCCCCTTCCTTTTTGACCTATTGCGTCTGGATGCCTCGCGTCTATCACGCCCAAAGACATCGTGCTGCTCCGAATACGCCCTGGATGTCAACCCAGCCCGCTACCTTAGCCATCAGGGGAAGCTCCCAATCCACACGCACCAGCTACGTATGAAATTATGTAGGTAGCTAAATAGCGCCAATCTAGCGCTTCGACAGGAACCGATCTTACAGCTCCGACGCTGGAAAAGAATGCCGAGTCACATAACGTGAGTGCAGTGCATTTATCTCCGCTTGTTGATTTGATGATAATGCATATGGAGTGGTTCCCCGATAAAAATTGGGGGGGAACAGAGGGAGGGAGAGACCAAAACGGGCCAGAGACACAACTCACTCGCCGACTCTTGCATGCCGAGACGGTTCCAACCCGCGAAGGCTTCGCTGGTCAGCCCGAGCGGCTCGAATTCCGCCACGGCTTGGGTAAAAGTGGGAAAAGAAATACTCCAAAAATATCACTTTTCCAAGGGCACGGCCTCCCGGGACGATGGAAAATTTCCCTCGTCCACGGCTGTCGGTAGCTACTTAGGGGTTATCCCGCTGGTTCAAGAGAACGCCCAGGGAGAGGGTGTGTACAGCGCCCCAAAAGAAAAAAAATAAAATAAAATAAATGACGAATTATGCTTCTTCCCGATGTAAACCAGGTATGTTCTGGAGTACATGTTTAGACACGTTGACACCTCGCATAGGCCTCTGGGGTAACTCGAGACGTCATCGCGGGCATGCCAATCGTGACAGCTACACATATGCGAGGTACCCAACAGACGACAGGGAGGGCTTATTGGATGTATCCTGTCACTCGAGGGAGCAAAACGCCTCGGCTAGAAGTTTGCTCACTATAATAGGCTAGGCTTAAGATATATAACTCATGCTCGAGCTTCGGATATATCGGACGTGTTACTCGGCTGCCTCGGAATCGCTTCCCCTGTGGCAGGAAAGGACGCACTCGTCCAGCTCGCCGGGATCTTTTTGTACGCCGTTCCAGAGCGCTCGTGTAACTCGCTACAGGCTCCCCGGTCTCCTCAAGCTTCCAAACGATGATAAGGTAAGCCCGTGGAGACGAAACAATCCCACAAAGCTTTCTGCAGCGAGGCTTCTTCGTGACACTCTGAACCATTTCCTCGAAGACACCCCCACAAGTCTGTCTCCTAAATTGCATGGCCTTTGCTACTACTGAGAGTGCGATCTGGGAGACCCAACGCTGTAGAAGCTTCCACGGGCAGAAAAACGCCAGGTTGTGTGCTTTTGTTTTGTCATCTTCCTGAAATGGCCTTCTGTGATACCGACATTCGCAAGTCGGTCGCGAGTCGGTGGGAGAATGTGTCATGAGATGCTCGTGGCTATAAGAAATGGAGCATCTGGCACTGCCAGCGGAGATTCCACGCGACACGCACGCCGACTACCTTTCCTCCGACACAGGACGTCTGCCCTACAAGGGAGGACTGCCATACAGCCCATTGTGCTTCGCCGGGCAAGCCCTCCACTGACACGTGTCATGAGGCAGCTTCGCGGATGAACCCCAGGAGAAAAGCCTGCAGCGAACCTTTTGGGGCCATTTCCCACCGGGAAAGAAAAAAAAAGGACTGCTTCAAACGACATTCTGCGAATATATCCCCCTTGGAATACGTTTCGAGCGAGACACCGCCGTGTGAGCGCGATGCGGGTTTTGATGTCAACCAACAGGTCCAGAACAAGATCACGTACTCCGTAGTGAAGGGTTAGAATACGGAAACAGCTCCATCACACAGGTAGCGGGGAGTTGGAGGGCTTTGCCTTGCCATCTAACCAGCGGTGCTGAGCTTGTATGTAATTCTTCACAAGCTTCGAAGCTGGCAAGCTCCATGGTGATACGACGATTTGCCAATAGGGCCATGCCCCTCAAAAACGGTGCATATCAAGTCACACCATGGTCGTACAAGAGATCCCCCCGGCACTAGAAAAAAGAAAAGAAAAAAAAGGAAAGAAAATTTGATCCCGTTTAACAATTGAATTATTTAGAGTTATTTTTTTTTACAAAAAAAAAAAACAAAAAAACAAAAGGGGATGACAGCACCCGGCCAATCTCCCACGGGCTAAATACCTGCCCGGCCGTTATGGCGGCCACAGATCTGGAATCCCTCTCCCCCGGCTTTTGCCATTTTCAGTGTCGCACATTGCGAAACAGCTGATCAAGAGAAAAGGAAAATGATATCAGCGCACGTTGGGTACGCCCTCTCAGGGATTGGAGAAGTTTGCCGGGCCACTTCAGCGGGATGCTCAAATTCAACGACCCAGTGACAGGTGCGACCACTGGGCAAGACTTCCACCCTGTTTAGAATACCTGCACAGGCATTGCTCAACCCCGTTCATCCTGGAGGGATATGGTTGATATCCCTTGTGGAGGGAGAGTAAGAATTCGAACTTGTTCGCGCCTTGCCTGCCGGGAGCATACAGTCTGTGAAACTCGTCCTGATTGCCCATCGCTGCTTTCCTGGCTGTGCAGGCTTTGAGCCAATGAAAAAAAGGGAAGCAAAGAGAAAAAGATCGTTCGGCCGCGGCAGACCGCCTATCACCTCCGAGGTCAACGTGTATACACGTGGGATGGAGGGAGACACCGATGTCAAATGTACTGGTCATTCCTGCGATTCCATGACTCAGGAGGTAACACTCCCTTCGGGCGAACCGAGGCAGGAATCACGCCCAAACGCAGCCCCCTTTTTGCACGGACTATCAGGAGAGACAGCTTTCGCGACCAGACAAACAATTGAATCACCACATCAAGGCTTCCCATGTCGTAGAAAGATACCTTGTCTGTCGTTTGTTTCTCTGGTATTTTGACCAACTTCCATAGTCTCAAAACAAGACAGATAAAGTTAGAAGCAACATCCATGTACTCCATATAGAGTAATGATAGCCTCTTTGCAATTGAATCTGCAAAATGGCCAATAACCTAACCCAACAAGCACATCTCCTACTTGGAGATGAAGAGGAAGAAGCAGGAGGAAGTAAGAGTTATTTTCTGTTCAAATCCACAACTTTGCTTCTCCTTTTCCAGCATATCCAACATACCCATTCGTCATCTCTGTTTCATCTACAGAGTACACATCAAACCCTTTCTCTTTTTCTTTCAAAAATGAGCCAACTGCATATTAGAGTGTTCCGTTGGTTGGGATCTGTATCTACAGCTTACCAAGCTTCTGCATATCGAAGGACTCGGGGTTCAACCACGACGGTCACCTCGTCTGTGGCCGGGGAGTCAGGTAGTTAGGCCTATGAGGTTGAGACACATGTGAGAATGGCATTATAACATTTCCCTTTTTTTTTTTTTTTCCCTTGAGCGGACCGCGGTCGACCGCGCGGTCACCACCACCACCACCGTCATCGTTATCGTCGTCATCGTCATCATCGCATATTGGCGTGGAGAGTCAAAGTCTTTTTCTTCGCCCACGCCTCCAGGGGTAAAACTTCCAAGACAGAAATGGATTCTTTCATCTGCTCGACAAACTTCAACCTCGACGCCATACTCCCAAGATATCCCAACGGTACTCCGGTGACCCAGGGCAGCGACGAGGAAAGTTTTGCCGATTCCCCTCTATTTTCCTTTTTCTACCTCTTTTTCTTTTTCTCTTTTTTTTTGTCTAAACAAGTTGTTGTGGGCACGGGACGCTCCCGGTTTGCGGCGACGCATCTGTTGCCTGAGTTTCTGGAGTTCCTGGGGCGAAAAAGAGATCTTCTTTTTCGACGGAAATGAGCCCTCCGCTGGCGAATGGTAAACAAGCTAAAGTTCTTCAGGCGTCATGATCTAAAACAAAAGCAAAAACTGTTGTTCTTGGTTGCATGCCTTTTTAACCCCCCTCGAAAGCTGGACGGCTGGGAGCAAGAGTGTGGTTCGCCAATTAAAAAAGTGAAAAAATAGTACTGCAGAAGGGGGAGCCAAAAAAAAAAAAAAAAAAAGGCGCACGGGCTCAGTTCCTGCGAAAGGTGAAAGAAAAATAATTAATCTGATAGGCGGGAAAGTCTGCAAGTCAAAGGCAAACAAAATGATAGCTCTGATTTTCTTTTTTGTTTCTGAGTTTGGGAGGACGGGAAGTAGGCGGGTCGATGGCTGAAGGGCAGACCTGGTTGCCGGGACCAGGCGAGGCAAATCAGAGGAAATCTCACACAAAAGAATGATCAATGCGAGTTCGAGATGGCGTTTGCCGCGGATGCAGTGCGGAGGACGGAGGGCTCCGTGAAGTCGAAGGAATGGTGTGAAAATACATATCTGTCTCCACAAACATTAGTGGGCGATCAGCCGGTTTCTGAAGAAAAGCTGAGACCGCATATCTCCATCCTATCATCGACGGCGATACGAGCTCACGAGCCCCCAAAATTCTAATTTACCCGCGGTAGAAGCTCCAAGAAAACCAGCACAGGAATAGCAACGATAGCAAACGGGCGTTGGAAAAAGGATGCTCAAACAGATTATTTTTAGCGTTGTCGCGGGATGAAACTTCGTTGGGATCCGGAGCAAGCTTAACTTAAAACTCTCACTAAAACGATCGACGCCAGGGACTCTCAAGCTTGGCATCGACATCGGCCGCGAACCCACAAAACCAATGCACTCCATGCGGAGTACTCCACGGAGGAAACTGAAAGGGCCAGCTTTCGGAGGCTTGTCTGGAATAAACGCGCAACGAATAGAAATGAACTAGATCCGCCAATCCCTGCTGATATACCGAGTCTTCCCCGCTCATCCTCATCCGGCCAGAAAAGGGCAACGCTGGACCCGGTAACCTGGATAGACTCATAGTTACGCCATTATGGACTTAAGAGAAAGCTCTGAGTAGATTATCCTGGCAACACGTCCTGGAATAAAAGGAAGGTGACACAAAAATGGTTTAATGAGCTACCGCGGTGGCCCAACCAACCCCCACAACGGCCGGAAGATCATCGCGGGCTGAGAGACATTCATGGGGGAAAGGAAAAGGTGTGCAAGGTTCTTGAGACACACGACCTCTTTTTGTCAGTGCGAGATGTCACTCTTTAGGCACAGGTGAATACGCCTTTCTGGATCAGAAATTGGCGGATATCAAGCGAAAGGAGGAGGCACAGTACATAGCTTCAAGTCTGCGGAGTGGAAAGAGGATACGCACATTGGTGTTTCAGAGTCAAACCGCAGTTTTTCTCTCCCTCTCCCTCTCTCTCTATATCTATCTCTGTCTGTGTGCCAATTTTACAACCGACAAGAGTCCAATTGCTGTGGGAGAGCTGTGGTTGGTTCGAGGAGCTTTGGATGTATAAAAATAATTTTGAGTTGTTGTTGCGCAGACCCAAGTACCATTGATCCACAAGAGTCAAAGCAGGATGGCATCATCAGTAGAAAACGAGCCGTTATCTGCTTTCCTTCACTCAGCGGGGGTCGGTAGAAAAGACTAGCACGAGGATTGGACGACCCGTCCGGCCGGCCGTGCCCATCGAGTAAGATAAGCATGACACTCTAACGGATGCGATTGAAGTGTACTAAGCTAGGACGGTAAGAGAATTCTCGAGAATAATGACAAGCTTAGAGATACTGGGGTGGCGAAGATGGACAGCCTACATGTGCATCGAGCGCGCAGTCCTGTTTGACGCGTTGCAGGTACTGTATGGGCTGCAGCGCGTGCTATCCATGGGGCGAACCGGTTGAAGCCAGCACCGATCCGGAGGCCGTTGGTCGAACCGTCAATCCTCTGAGCCGCACGGGGAAGATCCACGGAATGGATTTAGAACAGGCGCTGCAGTGTATGTTTTTCTTTTCTTTTCTTTCTTTCTTATTTTTATTTTTATTTTTTATTTTTTATTTTTTATTTTTATTTTCTTTTATTTTTATTTTATATATATATATATTGTTTCTTTTTTGGGCTGGAGGGAAGATATCACGCTAGAGTCCCTTACCTTAACTTTTTACTCTGATCTTCGCTCCCTTTTGTCTTCCGGTGTGTGACGTACATGCAGACCTTTCTTCTAGAAGACGAGACGCTGATCAAGATGGGGCATTCACCTTGAAAGAGTGGGAAGCACGTCATCAATACGGCGTCCTCAGACCAATAAGGCTCTCAGAAAAGTGTCCTGCTGCCCCGTTCTGCGGTTAGGCAATTGCTGAAGACGATACATCCTGCGAACGCTTGCATGCATACTTAGACTAGCCGGAGCCATAGGGGATACGGGATAAGAATAGTAAAAGTCAGTGTGAGGGAAAGGGGGGTTCTTTGGCCCTGCAGGGCCAAGCCGGAACTTTTTCGCACTAGGCAACGGATCGCTGCACATTAGTTTCTACCGTCCGTTGGCCGCGGCAGAGCAGGCATTCCGGGGGGAGAAAGAAGCGGAAGTATGGATGCGGTTCATGAAGTACTCCGTATGGGATGGGGGGGAGGAAGCGGAATACGTGATTGATAATGATGGCTGGGAAAAGGCGGGTAGGTTCCGAATATGGCTTCGGCAACGCGCTATGAGGACGGGAGGGAGAGCGATGGTGTGCCGGTGACAGTGGCTGCGGCGGAATGGAAGGACCGGGCGTCACCCGGTACGAGCGAGACGAGAAGCTGGCTGAGCAGAAGCCGGCCGGGAGTGCTTTATACGTGTACTGAACATATACATTACTTACATACAGACGTAGAAGGTACATACCAACGATGCATTACCTGACGGGAGGTGCAGTACGTAGACGCGACGCCACAGCTACAGCCAGCAGGGGACAAAAAGAAGCAGCTCTGCGCCACAGACGTGTTTTTTAAGTGACAGAGCGGGCGCGTGTGTGTGTGTGTGTGTGTGTGTGTGTGTGTGTGTGTGTGTGTGTGTGGGGGGGGATGTGCGTGTGTGTTGGAGTGGCGCCAGCGGGCAGGCAGAGAGCCGGCGCGGCAGTTATGAGCACGGCGAGCACGCACTGAGGATCTATCTTTAGGGGAACACCCACAGAGGATGCAAGACAATGCTCAGACGATGCATGTCGAGCTGGGCCGGCCGCAGGTCTCCAGGACACCCGGCCGATTCCGCGCCCCGGCGATCGATATACTCGAACCAGGAGAGGCAGGTGCGCTATTTTCAGAACGACCCGCGACCATATAAAACTATCAATTATTAGGTAGGTACGGAGTACGGAGCATGCATGGGTGGTGTATTATAGGTATTCAGACGGCAGGAACGAGCGCTGTCTGGTGCTCACATGGGGAAGAGCGAGAGACATATGGGGGGAAAGAGAGAGAAATAGGCAAGTGGGAAGGCTTTAGGTTGCCAATTTGGGAATGGAGAGGAGGTGTGTTTGCCTTGAAACGCCGTCAGACAGGGCAGGATCCTCTCCACAGCGGCCGTGGGTTGTTTTGGTTGTTGTGGTGGTGGTGGTGGCGGTGTGGTTGTGGTGACGACTGGAGTGCGGTGTTTCGCAAATGCCTCAGGATGACGTGCCGGGTGCGCACGGACCATTTGGGCAGGACGGATCGGGCGTAGCGCCAGATCCACGCGGGGGGGAAAAAAAAAAAAAAGAAGCGAGCGAGCGATCGAGAGACCTCGATGGGTGCTTGCAGCCCCCGGAACTGACGAGGCCCACACCCAACAGTCTTAGCCAACCAGGAGAAGATAGCGCGCGAATACCCCGTACAGAGAGGAACCGCCAGAGAGACAGACAGACAGACAGACAGGCGAAACGACGCATGGAGCTCCCTACATACAATATGTACATCGGAGGGTCGGAAATTGGACGAAGGTGGGCCATTGGGCAATTCCACAAGGAGCGCCCAGGCGGCCCCCCGACCAATCAGAGCAGGCCCGAGGGAGCGGATAGGTTCAATCTGGCTAAAAAAAAAAAAAAAGAAAAAAAAAAAATCTCGCAAACTTCCGGTCTAGCCTGGCTTGGTAATACCCTCCCCATCCACGCTGCTTTCCCCCAAACCTGTTTTTCCCCCAGTCCACTAAGTCAATAATTCACCGAGTTGATCCTATTTTACATTATTTTTCTTTTTTTTCCTTGCCTTGAGGAAGGCCACAGACCCGGGTCGCTGGGAATGGCAAGCGATGACAGATACTGTACGTGGGGGAAAGGCCAGAATAATCTGTTGCTCCCCGCCTGCTCTTCGACCGTGGTTCCTTCCCTATCCCTCTGTTTCGAGCAGTATCACCTGACGGGCAGCTGCTGCGGGTGATCGGTGCCTTCCCCCTCCTGCTGGTTGCTAGTGCTGCTCTTTCTGATTCCTACTGCTCCTGCGCTTGCTTGTCCCGTTCCTTCCTCATCATCAACTACTCACTCTGCTGGCTCCTCTTTTCTCTTCCCCTCACTTTCTGTCCCTCGTCTCTTCTCTCTCTCTCTCTCTCTCTCTCTCTCTCTCTCTCTCTCTCTCTCTGTGTCTCTCTGTGTGCGTTTCCTTCTAACCTTTTCCCTTTTCGTCTCTCTCTCTCCCCCCCCGCGATGCCCCGCCCGTCGACGAATCAACCCGCCTCCCCGCCCGTTGGTTCCCGTGTTGCCGCAAAGTTCACTTTCATCCTTTCCATGGGCCCATGTATGTATAATCTCTGCTCAAAGTGGCCAACCCAGCCAGCCATCATCGCTCTCAATCCACCGTCCGTTGCGATCAACCCGCCTTCACCTGCCACAAAAGCGTTGTCCCAATTTTTTTCTTTTTTTTTTTTTTTTTTTTTTTCCCCAATTTCGCCCTAACTCACTCATCATCCACCTACCCTGTGTAAGCCTGGTCAGTGCGTGCCCCGTCGTCGCGCTGCAGAATCAGCACTCCCTGCTCCCACAGTCTGTCAGGCTTCGCTAATGCAGGTAAATGGCTTGCCGGGAAGGACAGTTCAGACCCGACGGGCCGGGAGCCAGTCATAACCACAAACCACTATCCAATCGCCCTCGGTGAAGATGACATATACAGTATCTCCCATCTCCAGCAATCCACAGGATGTACCCCGGACATACATACAATTTATAACACACGTCTGTTGGTCTGCCTTATTTTTTTTTTTTTTTTTTTTTTTTTTTTTTTGCCATTGGGGTTCAATCAAACTCTATCACTAAGCTAACCGTCTAACCGTTCTCGACCTAGTCAGTTAGGCTGGACGGGCAAATCTCCGCCTTCCAGCTTGCTCTGTTACAGGCCCGACGGATGCCACCCGAGCTGCCAACAACGGACGGAAGCGACACATTCTCTCCATTTCTTGACGGCTGCTTGACATGTATTGTCGCTGTTCAGGTCCTAGCCGTAGTAACAGGACACACACAGACGCCGTCTTGGCCAGCTCACAAAATGTCAAGTGGTTAATGCAAAGTTCCAGTTTAGTTTGCGCTCGATCGAATCAGCGTGTCGATCACTGTCAGATGGCGCACCGACAGGGATGATCCTGGCACCAGACCAGGGAAATCCGCGATCTGAGATTGACCTCTACTCTCGGGATGGGGTTGAGGTGTTGACCAACCAAGCCGCCTCTCCTTCTCAGCGGTTTTCAAACGTCTTTGTAAATCTGTCCCTTCCAAAGCCAAAAAAAAGATCGAAGATCCAAAATTATTAATAACAGCGGCCCCCAAAGATGGCCCGTTTTGGTCTCTCTTTCGCCTTTGCAGAGAAGATCTGACATATTCGACTGTCTCTGTCGGTAACTTCCTGTCGACCGTGGACAGTCTCTTGACTAGCTCGCCAACTCAATCTGGGGACTTGCCAACTCTATCTTCGCGCTACTCTGCTGGCGACCCGATCGCGCTCCAATGAATATGAGCGGTAATAAAGCAGACGAGCGCGAAGGGGGGAAAGATCGCAACTATGTCCAAACTACCACGTTGACGGCTCCAACTTTGATCCCCGGCACTAGACAGCTTCCTCGTAGTGTGTAGCCCGGACACTGGACATGTCTGCTTCGAGCAGGATCGCATGGAAGCGGGAGCAAAGAGGCAAATCGTCCCAACAGCGACACCTTAAGTCCACACACACACCCACACACACACACACACACATATCTATAAAGAAAAGAAAAAAATCCTCTTTTCCCTCTTTCCCCAACCTGCATTATATTATTGCAGCAAGTTAAACAAGCTGTTTCTTCTTCTGCTGCTGCTGCTGCCGTCGCTGCTGGTCCTCACCACTGTGCCGCAGCAACCACTGCATCCATCAAACACAACAAACGTCAATGACTGCATGCTCTTCTCGTGCTTCTTCTCCTGTCTCTTGCTGTTGCTCTCTCCCCAATTGCACCTCCCCGGCTGCCGCACCGCATTGCTCCCTCCTCCTTGCATGAACACAGACCGCCCAGCCCAAACTTTGATCTCTCTCGTCCTGCATCCATACATGTCTCTTCTCCTTCCACTCCGCCCAACGACCCAAACTTCCAGAAATCCGTTGGAGCTAGCCAGAGAGTGGGCCCGGTAAGACAGACTAATGTAAGTCCCAGCAGAACCCGTCGATCCATCCTCTACTCGGTGGATTGGCCTTCTTCAATTTCAGCATCTTCTCCCTCTCTTGAGCGCGTTGTTTGGGTGTGTATGCGTGTGTGTGTGTGTGTCTGTGCCAGCCGCTCTCTCTCACCTGGCTATCAACACGCACCACCCACTCCAGCCAACCAAACCCCCGGCATTGGCGTTAATATTTCGTTTCTTTCCCCTCCTTGCTTGTATTACCCTCGATCTCTGGTACTTCTTTTTTTTTTTTTTTAATATTTTCTTATTTTGCTTTTAAGACCTACTTCGGTCTCTGGATGTGGCCCATCTCGCCGTACCCTCGATCTGTTGATCTGGGAGTATTAATTAGCTACCAATATCCCACATATCATACATATATATTGTCGGTCTTACGCATATACAGCCCGCTCTCCCCTTCTCCTCTCTCATTATTTTCACTCTCCATTCCGACTTTGGTCGCTGGCTCTCCATTCTGATCCTGTTGTCATCTTCCCTTCTCGCTTGCTCCTGTCCAGCACTTCCGCAAACCATCAAGAAAAGACAAAAAAGGCGAAAAGGACTGCTAATCAGAGAAGAAAGACTTTCAAAAACAAACAGTCCGAGACAAAGCACTCTCCTGAAGAGACATTCAAAGCAACAAGCTGCTTCCGTTAAAGTTGGGTGAGTACAAAGATGTTCCATCTCATATCCACACAAAGAATATCTCCCCGTCCACGTTCCTGAACTTTCCTACCCCCTCTCCCCACAACAATCCACGAGCACAAGTACAAGCATCCAGGAGTTACTGGAGAAAGACAACAAGCAAGCTAGGACCTCTAGCCACCTGCTGCTGCCTCCCCCACATGGGAGTTGGGGGTAATTTGCAGGCGAATGGCTTCCAATAGACAAGGAAGCAGAGTACCTTCAAATATTTTTCCCTTGCATCCATTGATCATGGACGTTGATTTGCTAATTGTCTTAGCACCAGCTTCCCAAAAGCATAGAGAGAGAGAGAGAGAGAGAGAGAGAGAGAACAAATTGCCTGTTCCTCTTCTGGGAGAAGACTAAAATAGACACATGCTCGGACGGTCGCATCCTGCATGTCTCTGATCCAGTCCCTGTTCCGCTTCTATTAGGGGAAGCATAGGGTAAAACTGCGAATAGAAAACAGCTTTCCCAAATTCCTTCTTGCTAGTTGGGTTTAGCTCCTCTCACATACCCGGATGATCGAGACGGTGCCTGCCGAACGCAGCCCGTTACTCAGCCAAGCTCCTGTTTCAACCTCTCTTATTTTTGTCTTTGGAGATATCGCTAGCGGGCAAAAGTCCGCCTCTTCGCTCTCCTCCCACTGCTGTCTTCAGCTTTCCCCTGGAGACGTTGGCAGCAGCCCCTGTTTTGTCTAAAATAAAAGAAGACGCATCTGACAAGTCAGGGTCAACCAGATCACTCCTGACGGTCCATAAGGATAATAGATACTCTTATCGCGCGGCAGAAACTCAAACCAAGGACCCCTTTTTGTTTTGTCCTTCGTCAACCGGATCCGTGGGCAAAGAAATCCCACGTTGCTTCAACATATAAAAGAAACAAAATAAAAAAAAGCCGATTCACCACAATCCTCTTGAAGATAAAGCGACGCAAGACCCAGACACTCACACATCCCCAGGCACAACAAGGCGAGTATAAGGCATATTCCGCCACGTGGAAGTGATTCGAAACAAGGCAAGGGCCAAGAGGGCATCTGCCGACAACTTCTTCAAAAAGGTATCTTTAGTGCAGCATCTGTGCATTCAGGTTCTTCTTCTTTCACAGTCGTTTGATTCAATGGATTGACCGTTTTTTTCTATTTCCTTCAGAAAACGACTCCGCCATTGACACTTCAACCTGCACCATCCACTCGCCACTATCTCCATCGCCTTCAACGAAAAACCTGCGGCCCGGACCAGGCTGCTTTTCCAACCTCAAGCACGTGCCGGCACCATTGTCTTCTTTTTTCCGTTGACAGTCACGTCTAGGGCTCTGCAACGGGATTCTCCCCCGACTTCAGCCGACCTATTCTGACCATTCACCTGCCGCAGTAAATTCGCTTCTGTGAATCATAGTGCCCTTCGCTTTCATTCAAAAGGAAGCTTAAGAACCCCCTGGTTCTCGAAGGAAAAAGGAAAAGAAAATAAAAGAAGATATACTATCAACAACTTCCAGCTTTGAACGGGAAGCAGAGGCACAGAAAAAAAAAAAAGATAAGAACTCGAGCAAATCCTTCATTGACCCTCGAAGGACTTAATCCACGAAAGAGCACGCTTGTCTGGCTCTTTGACGATAATGAACCATCAGCATCCTCCTTCACCTCCACCATCTGCAGACGGTGAAATCAAGAACCCTTTTCACGACTTGTCCCAGAATAATACATTACAGTCTCCGTTCCTTCGGAACCATCACCCTTTCACAACCATGTACGCAAGACAGGATTACCCGTTTGCAAAAATTGATGTGGACAATAGGGATGTCACTGAAGTGATGGTGAGTGGCAGCTATCGGGTCTTGACATATGCACGTAAAGACATGGGATGTCGTTCGTTTGGCTAACGAAACAAAAAAGGCCGGATACCCACAGACCGGCGCCTTTAATAGTGTACCCGGGGCGGAGTTCCCACAAATAACTTCGGTGCCTCAATTGGTATGCTGACAAGTTGTTGCTCAATGCTGAAGAAAAGAGGAACTGACTTACGAATTATCAGACTTACGTCCGCGCCATGCAGCTCACGGGTAACCAGCACCACCAGCATCACGCCGTAGATATGGGACGAACCGGAAGCGGAGGGTCCAGTTCCTCCAGAGGCTCAACAGGAATGCACAAGTTCCAAGATGCCGATAAGAGCAGAGTTCAGAGGATGACGAGAGTCAGAAAACGCACAAGAACCGCCAGATCAGACAAGCGTAACCTAATCATCACTGCGCCGCTGAGCGTGCTGACCAAGGACATGGTGCACATTCCGATCCGCGACATGAAAGCCTGGGTGAATAGATCCGCCGAAGTGCGTCGGAAAGAAGTTGCCGCAAAGAACGGAAAGATCGCGAGGCCGATGAATTCGTTCATGTTGTACCGCTCCGCGTATGCTGAACGAACAAAGGAATGGTGTGCGCAAAACAACCATCAGGTGGTATCGCGTGCATCTGGCCAGAGCTGGCCGCTTGAGCCGAAGGAGATTAGAGACCTATACGAGGGATACGCTACGATTGAGCGGGATAACCACCAAAAGGCTCATCCAGACTATAAGTTTGCGCCAAACAAGACACAGAATACCCCAAAGAAGAAACAAACGGCGACGAAGGATGACGAGAACAGTGACCTCGATGACGCCGGGTTCGACATTCCTGCCTGCTCACGCCCAGTGGGTACCTGGCCGAGTCGCTCCGATGCCGACGAGGGATTTGGCAGTCGTACCTCCACCCCGTTTGACAAGGATAGCAGCTATGAAAGTCGCACTTCAACCCCGTTCGATCACCCCAACGGTGATATGTATGTGCATCATTCTGATATCAATCGGTCATCGTGGGAGATGGTCAACCCAGGAAGGCCCCTTCCCGGTGTTCTATCACCGCCAGAGCAGAGCCACTACTACCAGCCCTCAATCCACCAGAGCGTGCTAGGTCCCGGCATTGAGGATGTGACGTACAAGAAGATGGGTGTCCCTGGCGTATCCTATGAGCCGCAGGGAACATTGAACGGCCTCCCTGGAAACCCGCATCCTGAGCTCCTTCCAACGCAACCCAGTCGAACCGTTGAAGATTCCACCCAGGTCGACCCCCAACTCCTTGAATTTAGTCACCACCAGCAGCAATCCGTCACCGAAGCAGGTAGCTATCCTGGCCACCTAAACCTCTGGCAGGTGCCCCCGACAACCCAGCACTATGTTCCAACCAGCATCCCGGCGCAGCAGGCAGAGGAATATTTGTCCGCACATGCGCAGCAGACCGGGTTCCATCATGGTGCGTCCTTGATGGAGAGTCGCGATGTGTGGGGTGAGGGACACAACGGCGAGGCTGTCAAGCAGGAGTTTGGGCAGGAGTTCGACCAGTGGCTCACCGGGCATCACACGTACTGATCCGCTTTGAATTTGATGTGATTTTCTCTTTCTTCCATTGTGTTTCCATTTTTCCATTTTGTGTTCTTCACTCCACGCAACTTGCGGATAAAGGGATATGCGAACGGGGAAAGGAATGGGAGTTGCTGGTCATGGGAAATTCTCTTTTTCTTTTTCTGTCTTCTTGGGTTGGCAAATTTGTTTTGGGAGCGCGAATATCTCTTTTCTTTTTTTTTTTTTTTCTTTTTTTCTCTTTTTCCCCATTACATCATTGGTAGGCATGAGTTTTTCTGTGTCTCATTTTTGATCTTTGTCCTGTGTGACCTCCCTTTTTACGTGCCAGGGTTTGGGGCAAGATGCGATGTGATGGAACATGGGATATCACGGTGTGTGTATGTAGTCCTTTTCTTGAGAGCTGGCTGGCGTTTTTGGCCCCTTGTTTTCTAAGATGGGTTGGGTATGATCATATCATTTTTCTGTCTTCTTTCCTTCAGGTTTTCTGATCACAAATTTGGATAACTCGGATCTGGGATTTTCAATCATTTTTTTCTTTTTTTTAATCGGCCAGTGCATCCGGAGGCGGCTGTCTGAACACTTTTTTTCTTTTGGTCTGGAGGGTCTTGGATCTGGGCGGCTTCGGATTTGGTATTTTTGACGAGCCATGGTGATAGATATGACATTTATAAGTTTGAGAAAAAAAACGAAAAAAAAAAAAAAAATTTTCGAAGTTTGATGTTGATTGCTTGTTCAAAATGCTTCGGCCGCGACATGGTTGAGGAGTGTTTCATCCTATCCTGGCCTACTACTTTGCCAACGCGTCGCGACACGCCAAATAAAGATATTATTTCAATCTTAAACTGATCAAAGCTCTCCACGCCGCAATGATGATGATTATCTTATGACAGATATATATATGTATATATAGCTTCCATTCATGATTAATTTTTATCTTGTAATTGCCTGTTAATCCTAAAATTGAGCTGATCTCTCCCAATTACCCAACCAAGAACATAACCTCCCCCGCCATCATGTACGGCGACCTGGGAAACAAACTGGTATTCTTCCCACCAACCCTCAAACGCCAGCATAGTCAAACACCTCCTAGCTAACTCTCCCTCCCTCACCTTTTTTTCCTCCTCCACAGGTCCAACACGCCAAACGCATCCAATCCCTTCCGCACGTCCCCCCTCACCACACAGAGCTCGTGAGCAGCCTCATCGGCGAAGTCCACGAGCTCAACGCGAACGTCACCCACCTACTCTCCCCTTACGGCGACCAGGACGGCAACACGCCAGCCTTCAACCCGTCCGCCGATCCGGCCACGGCGTGCGCTCTGCTCGTCAACCACCTGTGCATGCGCCGCAACAAGCGGTGTCTGTTGGCGTATCACCGCGTGCGGGTGGAGAAGGTTGAGGAACTGTGTTGGAAAGGGTGGGATGTGGTGGATTATCGGCAGGAGAGGCGGCAGCAGGAACAGCAACGAGGGGAACAAGGTGGTGGTGGTGGGAGTGGGAGTGGGAACGTGTTGAGTCCCGAGGAGGAGGAGTACCTGAGGCTGTATGGGGAGATGCTGCTGAGTTATAAAGGCCAGTGGACGGATGTGGATCTCACGGGAAGTTTGGAGCCGCCGCGGGATCTGTTCATTGATGTGAGGGTGCTCAAGGATGTGGGGGAGGTGCAGACGGAGTATGGGTATGTTGTTCGTCGTCTTGCTCTTCTGTTTTTCTGCTGGGTTGGGGGCTAGGTAAGGGCGTGGAGTGATATTTTATTGCTGACCTACGTGCAGGTCGATTAATTTGACGAAGAACAGTCAGTTTTATGTTCGGCTGGGGGACGTTGAGAAGCTCATTGCCCAGGGATATCTTCAGCGCTTGAGCTGAGTGGACTACAGAGTGGAATGGGGGAACAGAATTATCGAACTTTTGCGATTTGAGGAGGCTGGGTCGCTGGGATACGGGGACTATGCGGCCTACAGTATGATCGTGAATCGCTTTTTTGTCGTGGACGGCTATGCCTCGACTGGAAGAGGTATGCTTAGAAGGTAATCCCATCAATGTTAACTTTAGAGACGAAAATGCTTCGTCTCATGCCTAAGGTCCGACGGATAACGAGACACCGTACAGAGTGTATTGGATGATGCATCGTGTGCGAGAGACAATGGGGAATAATTATGCTGTATGCATGGGCTTCGACAAAGCGGAGGACGTCCTGGAACGGAAGAAGTTGTAAATATAGTCTCAGGGCCCGACAACGGGCTTGGAAATACTCCGTAGTTAGTATCAGAACAAATAAGTTTTATCGCTAATCCCTGTCCTCAGTTATGTCACCGTGCATGCGACAAGGCCCGTCAGACTAGCCTGATGCCCGTGCCTTTTGGCTATCATCGCGAACGAAAGAAAATTTTGTTTTTGGGTCCTTCTCAAGCTCCTTTCGTGGATGTCTCAGTTCTTTGAGGCAACGTTTCTCGGGTGCGAGGAGCGGCTAAAGCAGGCTTCATCGCCAGCACGACGGATAGCAGTGGACTGCCCAGCGCTATCCGGTCATTCTCAGCGACGATGTCGCCACCCGCCATGGTCATGGCGGTCCAATTTGGCGACAAGGACGGGGCCCAGAATGGAGAGTCGACTGACCAAGAGATACGAGATGGAGTGTTGATTTCTGCGCCTTTTGAGTTTCTGCGCCGAGCTGGAATGGTCTCGCCTCAACGTCATACCGAACTGTCTCGAACCTCACGCGGCGTGCGATGACAGCCGGCCCTTTCTTTTTAATTTTTTTTCTATCTTCGCTTTCTTTCGTCGAGTCTTTTCTTTTAACCTCCTTCTCGGCGTGCCCAAAACAAGTATTTTTTTCCAAGGTTAGCGATATCGGCTAGGTTTATCGCCTTGACTTTCTTTATCTGCTGTCACTTCCCCCCGCGCTGGGTCCGAGGGCGGTTCGCGACCCCAGGATCCAAAACCCCCATCCAGGAACAAGCTGGACGTGTGGAACTGCCAGAATTTCCTCGAATAATGCCGGTAAGCTGCTGATCAAACATGGAGGGAGGGAGATCACCTGGACCCGGGTCCGGTGGCAGAGAAGAGTCCAGCCAAGCGCTCCCGAATCGGAGGAGAGCTTATAGCACTAGGGATACCCGAGACGACCGGCTGTGGTCAAGCGAAGCGCCTGCGCGAACCAGCTCGGATGCTGCTGGGACTGAGAGTCTGAGAAGCTGGAGTCGCCGGCCCTCGGTGAGCGAGAGGACGCCTGCGAGGTCTTTTTTCCACAGGGCTTTTCATGGACCGTTGGGTAAGTCATGCATCGGTGCTGGTAGTGTGCTTGTCTGTAAGATCGGATTGGGGTTGAAACGGCAGGGCTAACACAATAGCTACCTACGTGGGTCATGGCGCGCAGAGGACGGCCAATACTCTTTTCAGGGTGTGCGAGAACAAACGACTGAGTTAGAATCGCGAGCTATATCCGATGCGGAATCGATCCGTAGTGTAACAACTACATTCTCGGGGAATGGCGACAGTGTGCCTTTGTCGCTGGATCAGAGGATCTTGGAGCCCTTCAGGTCCAGAGATCGAGCAGAGAGCCATATTTCCCAGCCCGAGGTGATTGTTGAAGAGGAGTCCGGTTCCGATACCCCAAGGGCGGGATCTGCTCATTCTGGAGGATCTGCCTTGACCGCTTTGCTGCGTCCTCCCCAGCAGGAGCAGCAGAGAGTAGATTCCGATATACAAGACGATATCCTTGGTGAGGACGGGCACGACGCTGCGGAGGAAACACCTTTGGTACGACAAGAGTCTAGGGCAAGAAGTCCTCGCCAATATGGTACCTTGGGGGACGCGGAAAACCCTCTGCTTCTCCTTCCAACCTCCACGCCCCCATGGGATGCAAAATCTTCTCCGCCGACAAAGAAGATACAGTGGAGGAATTTCTGCGATCCAAGGAGGTGGGACAGGCGGACTATACTCCAAAAGGGCATTATATACCCGGCAAGCCTCCTACCGGCCGTACTCTTAGGGCTTCTCCTGAATGTCCTAGACGCTCTGTCTTACGGAATGATCTTATTTCCTCTTGGAGAGCCATTGTTTGCGGACAGGGGTGCCGACGGCATATCGATGTTCTACATCAGCACTATTATTTCACAGCTAGTCTACTCTTGCGGTGGGTCTATCTTCAAAGGTGGCATTGGTTCCGAGATGATAGAAGTCGTGCCTTTCTTCCACAAAATGGCCCTTATGACCTTAGCCAGGGTGGGTGCGGATAACATGGATTCTGTCCTGGCAACAACAATCCTGGCATATGCACTCAGTTCTATCCTTACAGGGACCGTCTTCTTCATTATGGGTGCCACCGGGCTGGGATCCTTTATAGGATTTTTCCCTCGACATATTCTGATTGGGTGCATTGGTGGCGTTGGTTGGTTTCTTGTAGCAACCGGAGTTGAAGTGTCTGCCCGACTTTCCGGTAATTTCAAGTATGATCTGGATACGCTGGAAAGGCTCTTCCAGCTCGATACCATATTCCTCTGGACGACCCCTTTGCTTCTTGCGATTGGTCTGCTCGTTGTTAAACGATATATCAAGTCGAATTTTCTTGTGGGAGGATATTTTCTCTCCGTTGCATGCTTGTTCTATTTTTTCGAACTTGTGCTGGGTATTCCTTTGGACACATTGCGAGAAAAAGGGTGGGTGTTTGAAGCTCCTGCGTCCGATAACCCTTGGTATCACTTTTATACTCTCTACAGTGAGTCTTATCCGATGACCTCTTGTAGCATATCTATTCGATCCTTTGCAGCCCTGACGTTGCTTTAGACTTTTCTGCAGTCAATTGGCCTGCCCTGGCAGATACAATTCCAGCCATGTTCGCCTTGACTTTCTTCGGCATTCTTCATGTTCCAATCAATGTTCCCGCTCTGGGTATTTCTACTGGAGAAGATAATCTCAACGTTGACCGGGAGCTAATCGCCCATGGAATTTCCAATGCATTGTCTGGCTTTGCGGGAAGTATACAGGTAAATCTCTTTCTTTCTTTCTTTTATCTTTTTTTTCTCCTTTTTTTTTCTTTTTTTTTTTTTTTTTTTGGCCTATTACGACTAGGAGATTCTTTTACGCAATGTACTGACAATTGATTAGAACTACTTGGTGTACACAAACAGTCTTCTTTTCATTGCGAGCGGTGGGAATCACCGTTTGGCCGGTATCATGCTGGCCATAGCTACTTTTGGGATCCTACTAGCCGGACCTGGTCTTATTGGGTTCATACCCATCATGGTTGTCGGAGCCCTGATATACATGCTGGGGATAGAACTTATGGAAGAGGCTTTGGTAGATACTTGGGGCAGGCTTCATAGATTGGAATATATGACTGTAAGTTGTATACGCCATCACAACGTTATATTTCGAAGCTGATAGTCAACAATAGGTAATGATAATAGTCGTCACGATGGGCGCATGGGATTTCGTCACTGGAATTGTTGTTGGGATATTTCTTGCTTGTCTTAATTTCGTCGTCCAGGCTTCCCAGAAGTCTGCGATTACAGGAACTTACACGGGACAAGTCGCCGTGTCCACCGTCCGGCGGAATCCAACCCATGCTAAATTCCTCAAGGAAGCTGGGAGACAGACGTTTGTCATTAAATTGTCTGGGTTCCTTTTCTTCGGCACCATAGTGAGTGTTGAGAAACAGGTACGCTGGCTGATCGAGGGGGAGGTATTCAGCCATAGGCCAATCCGCTTCCTGGTACTCGACCTTTTGCACGTCAAAGGGTTGGACTTCTCCGCCGCTGAGGCTTTTACTAGACTGAATCGGATGCTGCAGACTCGACGAGTACACATGATCATTTGCGGCGTCGATATTTCCGGCGAAGTAGGCAGAAGCTTACGAAACGTCGGCCTATTCGAGCAAGAGAACGAAGTCCCCGTTCTCGAAAATTTAAATTCCGCCCTTGAGTACTGTGAAAACGAGCTTTTACAAGCGCTGCATGATCGAAAGAATGCAATGTCAGGGATAGCAAGGACCGAGCCATCGTCGCTCAAACGTACGTCAAAAAACCCCCCTTTCCACCCTACATGGATATTGTGTTCCCCTGGATACAGGCTAAGGGCACCATAGCCATATTCAAACCCCAAACCTCCGACCTCCCGGTCAACTCTCCCCGTAATCTTTACCTACACCAACTCGCCGCCACCACTCTCCGCGAAGAAAGTGCCTCTACCGCCGCCACCGCCTCATCCTCCACCCCAACCAGCAAACCTACGAGCACCAAACCGCAACACCAACCCCCTCTCTCTCTCCTCATGCACACCTTCCAAGGTCTAACCACCCAACCCGAAGCCTTCTGGGCCCCCGCTGCGGCCTACTTCACGCGTGCCGAGTACCCCGCGTCCAGCATTCTCTACCGCATGGGCGAACAGGCGCAGCACTTCTTCCTCCTGGAGTCCGGGATGCTGCGGGCGGAGTACGACACGCCGCAGGGGAATTATTTCGAGCTGATCGCGGCGGGGCGGCCGTGCGGGGAGTTGCCGTTCTTCGGGGCAACGAGGAGGACAGCGACGGTCAGGGCGGAGACGCCGTGCGTGGTGTGGATGATGGGGGAGGAAGGGTGGAGGAGGTTGAGGGAGAGGGATGCCGATGTGGGTTTGGAGATGATGAGGGTTTGTTTGAAGTTGACGGCGGAGAGGATGCATACGATTACGTCGTAAGTGCTCTCTCTCCCCTTCCCCCCCTTCTTTGTTTTCGTGTTTGGGTTGGGACTGACTTTGAGGGTGTTTAGGTATGTTTTGACGGCTACTCGATGACGATTTCGGGTGGGTATTTTTCTTTTTTGTCTCCTAATTTTGTTCATATAAAGTTGGACATTTTTGGACATAGGTGGCTTTCTACTTTTATACCAAAAGCTATGGATATGGGTACCATACGGACGGGGTTGGGGTATTCTCTACGGAGTACGTTGGACCTATAGACATGGAAATTTGCTAGACAGGAAAAGGGTAGAATGTATATTTTTCCCATGGGGGACCCAAAAAAAAAAAAAAAAAAAAAAAAAGCAGGAAGGATTGGAGTAAAGACAGGCCCAATAATATCTCTTATTCATATCTTGTCTTGTCCTGTATATACATACGCGTTGTGGTTAAACCTGAGAGATGCACGATATATTTACTTTCTAGAGCAAAGACACGAGCGCACGCTAAATTCATCGAACCAGAAACCAGCACGGTCCAGAGATCCTATCTCTGTACCTCGTTTGAGTGGGCAGTGCAATTGCTACAATGAGGCAGCAAATAATATCACAACAAAAACAAATTCTTTAGGTATGGCAAGCGTCGGTGTATGTATGTGCAGGCCTTTCAACGGTGACATCTGTCTCTCTCCCCATCTCCGCATCATACCCGTGCATGCATGCCGAATGATCCCCCGGACATGTGTAACCTCCCCGCCCGGGGGGGGGGGGGGGGGGGGGATGACAGGAGACGTGCACACGCTGTACCTCCGTCCTCCGACTCGCCGGCCGTGGCTGATCACTTAAAAATGTCTCGAAACAACCTTTAATGGGGGGGCCTTCTGTCAGCGCTGGGGAGTGGATTTTAAACCATATACACGAGTGTAGGTCCAGTATCATGGTTTGCTCGCTGGAGAGTGTAGTGTCTGGCTTCTACCAGGAGAGATGGTAGAACGTTGTGTCACCTGTAAAGTAGGAGGGTGACAAGTCTAAAAAAGAAAAAAAAAAAGAAAGAGGACTCCTTTTACTCTTAACTTTGTCATTAGCCTGAGGATGACGAAGTGGGGTATATAAGTGAGGTAATAAACCATATGAACATCCCGGCTCACTCGAAGAGTAGCAAACGAATATACAAGGGCAAATTTAACTCTTTTGGAGGGCGCGGAATAGGCTCCATGCGTAGATACATTGTTACCACCGGGGTGCTCCGGAATAGCACTAAAGAAAGAAGGGGAGGGAGACAAGAGGCTGGAGATGCATGTTGAAAACCACAACTGCAATAACGCCGAGAGCTTCTGTACGGCATGGGGCCCAGCTTTTAGCTGTACAGGGGGGGAGAATATGGACTTGGTTGCTTGGAACGCTTTTTGGAATCACGTCCCAACAGAGGTCGATGGGGAAAAATCATCCCCTCCGATCATGGCTTGCGGTCACAAGGAGATGGCACGACAGAGGTGACGAGTGCTTCCAATGGATGAGAAAAGGAAAGCAAAGACAAAAACAAAGGCGAATACGTCATATATCTACTCTGTACGGAGTACCACAAGAGAACAATAACCCACTGTTGGTAACAGGTGGCCTGATTGTTCTTTTTTTTTTCTTTTTTTTTCCCTCCTAGGACCTTGAAGGAAATACAGACAAGCAAAAAAAAAAAAAAAAATACAATAAAATGAAGTAAAATCACAAGTTTAATGTGTGGTACTCGGTATTGTTCCTGGCGCCATCTGGCTGTGGAGTTCCTTGGTAAGGGGTAAGAGTAATGACTCGGCTCATTAAACATGAGATCGTTGGATAGGGTTGATTCCGGGCCAGGATGTCGGAGTCTCAACTCGAAATTGCGAATATATTGGTAGTGCGGCACAGGTCCTCGGCACAGTTACAATCATTAGGTAGGAGAATCCCCATCCTTTTCGCCACCCCTTTTTCTTTGGTGGTATCGAAGGCTGGGAAGGAAGAGAAAAGTTGAACAAGAAAATAAAAAAAAAAAAAAAAAAAATTGGATAAGAACAGCCAAAGTATCCACACAAGCTTGCACATCAAACTTTCCGGAGGGAAAGGTGGATGAGTCATGAAGTAGGATGTACCCACAGTACCGTGTGAGGAGGCGGAAGTTTTCACGCTGAGAACCCCGTAGACACTTGATTCTGGACCTTTCTGCGGAGAAGAGGAGAAAAGATAGGCTTGGAGAGGGTATCATGCTGGCCCAGGCTCAGCTTCAATTGACGATCAAACATCCTATACTCCGTACTGAGTACAGTGTTGATATGTTTGTGTGCGCACTCAAGTAGGCTGTCAGCGGGACCGTTCTTGGAGTGCTGAATGTTCCCCCGGCCGGTCTAACTAAATATCTGCATTTTGCTATGGTGAGGCTCCCGGTGCTTTGTCGTCCTGTCGGGATCAAGCCCTGGGTCTTCGTGGGTCCGATGGCGGTATTGGAACCCCACCGTTTGTGACAGGAGAGCGGGCGTGTGACGAAAGCTTCATTCCACCACATGGCTCCGGAGCAGGAGTCGGAACAAGACGACAAGCAGGAATATCGTCGAGAAGAGAGAGAGGGGGATAGAGAAGAAAAAGAGGGGATAGAGAAGAAAAAGAGGGGATAGGAGAATGAGCAAAAAAGAGAGTGTGAGAGCAAGGCAGATGCGGGCGTCTCGGGAGGGCGTGAAGTTTGGGTGGTCGTTTTTCTGCCGAAAAAGGGGGTTGAGAGTGAGTCGGATGATTCAGCGATGCCAAGCCTGTGTCGCCAAGCTTCTAGTCTGTCTTGGCGCATGTGGGGACAGCTGCACGAGGTAACGCCCCCGCTAGCTAGAAGGGGCTAGCCCATACATTATGTCATTCAAATTGGCCAATCAGATGTCGTTTCTCGTATACAAGCCGTTGACACGTGATGGACACTCTGACTAATCCACTCTTTTTCCCCCCTTTTTTTTAATTTCCTCCTTCGTGGAGCTTTTTTTATTTTGACTATTAATTTTACCGGGGGGGGGCAAATGTAGGAGCTGTCATCGAATTACGGGAGAAGAGACGTCGTTGCTCGTCAGTCAGATGGCGAGTTTTCTCGCGGTGAAGGAGGCGAATGGATAAGTAGGGAGAGCCAACTTAAAGGGAAAAAAAAAAAAGGGCGGGTAAAACGGATGTTGAGGGGGGTGAGAAGGGATTGTTCTGGGTGGTGTGAAATGGTCATGCGATCATCATAAAAAGGCGGGAAAAAGGGAGAATTTGGAGAAAATAAGCATATTTGGATGAGTTGCAACCAAAGATAGCTTGGCTCTGTCGGGGGACGAGACTCTTCCTCCCACGGATCCGTCCCATCCAAAAAAAAATGATGTATGTCTCTCATGCCCGGAGTATATTTGTACATACTCTTGTATGAAACTCATTTTTATTTACCTTTTTTGTTAAGGAGCGTTACGGCGTTTCTTGCTGGCCAACAGACGCGAAAAGAAACGTTCCGCCAAAAAAAAAAAAAAAAAAGGAAAAAGAAAAAGAAAAGAAAAAGAAAAACAAAAAGAAAGGTTCAGCGGTGGTAAGCAAAAAAAAAAAAAAGCCGCTGGAGAGATGGACGATCGCAGGGTGGGGTGCGTTTAGTGACCTTTTCTTTTTAGTTTGGCCTTCTCCTGGACGTGCGAGCTGGGATGACCCTTACCTCCCTAAAACAAGAGCTTTGAACCCTGCACCAACCACGGGCCTCAGAAACGGGTTCGACTCGTCAGCCGTCTGCGAGGAATCACGGCGCTTCCCCAGTTAGGCGACGATGAAGCTGCAGCCAGCAGACATGGGGACTCCGGAAAGACGCCGGCAATAACGGTGTGAATTAATGCTGCGATCCCCTTCACCCACCGAGTCGCAAAGTGAGCTGCTCTCCGTGAGTGTCAGACCACCGTGCAGCGGGGATACAGCTGGGGGAACGTAAACGAATATATGTACTCCATACATACGTAATCTGTCAGTACGGTATAGTTAGACACAAGCTCGAAGGGAACAAACTATCGTATGGTGATTCTGTGGTGAAATACGGAGTCTGTATGGACTTTTGACTTTTTCTTGTCTGCGAAGAATGACTACAGTATTATACAGCAAATACGGGCGGGAGGGAAAAACACTTGGAGCAAGAAGCACAGAGAGGCGAGATCAGAGGTATTTCTTTACCCCCCGCCCCTTTTTTTACGGACATTGGTAAAGTAAACGGCGAAGCGTTGGGGTGAGACAGGTTTCATCCTCCTATCAGATATCGCCCGTCAATGCTCGGGGTCCCAGCGATTCGCCCTTCGCCAGCTTTGAGCGGACCTATCACCGACGCCTACCTCCCTCTCTCTCTCTCTCTCTCTCTTCCCCCACCCCCCCTGACCCCGACCGTTGACGCTGCTCCTGGCGGTGGTTGCCGGTCGCTGGTCGCTGGTCTCTGGTCTCTGGGTCAGCAAACAGACAAACGCAGGTCCCGTCTCCGTACCGTATGTAACAACAACATGCATGCATACGTACATACATACATACATACTGTCAATCCTCTGTAACTCGGTATGTACTTGTGTAGTTCGATGGAGCGTGTGTCCTGTCATTTCCGTATGGGTAATGTACCAAGTTCCCCACTTACCGAAAACTGGCCACGAGCAGCGCGATTTGCAGCCGCTGATTGGCCAGTTGGGGGGGAAGAACAGCCCAGAACCGACTAGCGATCAGCTGCTCTTTCCCTTGCTTGGTTTCTCCTTTCCAGCCACACCCACTCGCCGCCGCCGCCGCCCGGTCACGACTCACCCAAACTCGCCCTCCCTGCCTTTTTACCCTTTTCTCTCTTTTCTTTTCCTTTCTTTTTCCTTTTTTTTTTTTCTCCTTCTCTTCTCTCTTCTTCTTCTCTTCTTCTCTCTTCTCAGTCTCTTCCAGCAGTTCTCTTTTTTCTGCCACCAATCGACATTGATACCCCCCTCCCCTGTGCTTTGTTGCTTGTTGGCCTGTACTTATTTTCCTTTTGCCTTCTTTTCCTCTTCTTGAGATACCCCCCCCACAAACAAACGAGATACCCAATCCTATTTTTTTGCGGATTTATAACCACTTATATTTTAATAATCCCCTTCCTCAAAGTAACAGCCTGAAGAGCTCTCCCTCAAGCTTCAAAGGGTACGAAAAGGGTAAAAAACATACACACAAGACCACAGGTCAAGGAACGTTGTCATCTAGATCCTGCTAGACAGACACACGCGAACTTCTTGCCTTGAAACATCACCATCTCATCGAGTCAAGTCATGTCTGAAGCTCAAAAGCCCGTCGAGGAGACCCCCGTTGCTCCTCCAGCCGCGGAGACCGCTGCTCCTACCACCGAAGCCCAGCCTCCAGCTGCTGAAGCTCCAAAGGACGCCCCCGCCGAGTCCGAGGAGCCAGCCAAGGAGGAACAGAAGGCAGAGGTGACTCCCGCGACCGATGGCGTGCTCGGCCACAAGGCACCCGGCTTGGTCAAGTAAGTTGTCCTTTCTCAGAGCAACCTCGTGCTAAGGGGATTGATGGAGCACGGCTAACAAGTTTGAACCCCCCTGTTCATTCAGGAGCCTTCGTTTCTCTAAGCGCTACTTCTGGTTCAGCGACGATGCTGTCGAGGTCTCCAAGCTCAGCACCTACTTCCAGAACGAGAAGCTGAGCATCGCCCACCCAACCGCCGCCTGGGCTAGCCAGACCGGAAAGGGCCTGCTCTTCATCGCCAAGCGTGCCGAGGACAAGGCTCACCCTACCGGAATGATCAACTTGGTATGTCATCGGACCACGCGCACTGCAGTTTTAGAGCGACATCAAATGCTCATCTGACGTCCTTTGTACAGGCCGAGGTCTCCGATATTGCCAAGGAAGGTTCCAACGAATTGACCTTCAAGTGGAACGGCCACAAGCATGCTTTCCAGGCAACCTCCGGCGACGAGCGTGACAGCTGGTTCGCCGCTATCGAAGCTAAGTCTGCTGAAGGCAAGGCTGAAAAGGAAACCATCGTCGGTAGTGACGGATATAAGGCCGAACTCGAGAAGCTGAGTATGTGAATTTCGAACTAGTCATTTCTATATTTTTTTTTTTTTTTTTTTCTAGAAGAAGGTGGAGCGGAACTAACTGGTCACTAGCTGCTAAACCCGCAGCTGCCACGGTCGCCCCTAGCTCGCCAAAGAAGAGCCTTGAGGCCAAGGGCAAGGATGCTGCGAAGAAGCCCGAGGGCGAAGAAGCCAAGGCAAAGAGCCGCTCTCAGTCTCGCAAGCGCGCAAGCATCTTCGGAAACATCCTAGGCAAGAAGGATGAGGGAGAGGCTAAAAAGGAAGAACCTAAGACGGAGGACAAGGCAGAGGGAGAGGATGCTAAGAAGCCTGAGGCGGAAACCCCTGCTGAAGAGCCTGCCGCTGCCGCCGCCACTACCGAGGCCGAAACTCCAGCTGAGACCACTGAAGGTGAGAATGCTTTTGCCGTTTTCTCTCACTCAATTTATATGTGCCTTATATAACTAATACATCCTTCTAGCGGCTCCAGCTACGGAAGCCAAGCAGGAAGAGCCCAAGCGACCTGAGGCCAAGGCTAAGCGCAGCTCCGTTTTCGGAAGCTTCCTCCAGAAGGTCACCAACCAGGGCCACGGCAAGGCTGACAAGGAGCCCGCAGCCAAGCCAGCAGAGACCACCACCACCGTCTCTAGCACCGCTCCACAGCTCGGTGACCCAGTCAACCCTGATGCGTCTGAGCCAATTCAGCCTGAGAGCGTGACTCAGCCAGAGGCCAATGAGCCTGCTAAGGAGACACAAGAAGAGCCCGCAACTTCTCCATCTTCTATCAAGGGTGGATTCCTTAACTTCATCAAGAAGGATAAGCACGAGGTTAGTACAATCAAACCCTTGAGTTGACGCCAACACCAGTGAACATACGTTCTGACGATTATCCAGGAGAAGAAGGAGGCTAAGCCTGAGGACAAATCCGACAAGAAGCCAGAGGATGCCCCTGCTGCTGAGGAACCAGCTGCCCCTGAACAGGCCACCGGTGCCACGTTGAAGGAAAAGAGACGTACTTCGTTCTTCGGAAACTTCGGTACCAAGAAGGAGAAGAAGGTCGAGGCTGCTGAGGGTGAGCAGGCCGAGGGTGAACAGGCAAAGGCCCGGTCCCCATCTATCCCAAGGCTTGGTGGCCTCTTCCGCAAACCAAGCAAGGCGGTCAAGAAGGACAAGGAAGTTGCGCCTGCTCCTGCTGAGGGTGAAGCTCCCGCCGAGAACACCGAAATCACTGAGATCAAGGAGACGACTGAAACCGCCACCCCAGCTGTAAATGGAGCCGAGACCTCTGAGAACAAGCCTGCCGAACCTGCCACACCCGCTGCACAGCCCGTCCAGGCTGCTGCTTGAAGGGCTGAGGCTAGGACGAGCATAGTTGAGATCGAGAAATGGTGGGACCAGCGCTACATGTCTCGACCTGGCACGTTTCAAATCCAGTAAATTGCTTCTCCTAGCCGTAAAGCAAAGCCCCTGGAAGGATGCATGAAAAGATCGTCTCCCACCGCCTCCATCACTGACAATACGGAATAAAAAAAATATTATGACGCCATGACCTGGAAGACAAGCCAAAGCCCCCACCTCTCCTATCTCGTATGAATTCGCCATGTCAAATTCCATTGCTCGCTCGCGCGGACGCGGCCTGTGTCCCATTTTGTGTTATTGTCTTTCGGTGCGTTGTGTTTGGGAACCTACTAAAATTTAAAATTGCGAGGTGGACGTGAATGATACCCAATAACCCCCCGATACCCAATTGTTGCCGTGTTTGATAATGCCCTTTTGTTTTGTCGCTGGGTCTGCTATTTTGAATCTTTTCTTGATTATTTTTCTTGCCAAGTGTGGTCTATTTGGTTCTTATTTGTCGTATGGATGTACATCAGACGAACCATATCTTTATCTATCTTGCGAGTGTCGTGGCTGTTCTTAATTCCCGTTGACTTGAGCCGAACTGATTTAGGAGGTTGCGATGTGACCGTCTTGCTTCTATTCTGCGCGAGTCATTGGGAAGAGATTGTAGCTAGTATTCTTGATAGTCTCGACGCTGATGTTTTATTAATAATTAATAGTGCTTGTTATCTTCTGTATCAAAGTACAACTCATTTTCTGTCTGATATCCTTCTCGTCGTTCTGCTCCCTACTCCCTTGAGTTTCTGGTTAATGGCTGGCAGCTGAGACTTGTAGATCCCATTTGACGTTGAGATAAACTAGTTCTTACGGCGCATGTCCAACATCGCTCGGGCTCTGTGCTGAGGTTCTTCCCAAAAGCACGCGCAAAGCCCGCATAACACTTCAGCGCATGGATTCCAAATGGGGTTATGCTCAAGGAATAGGGCTTTACAAACCATTGGTCAGCTGGAGTAACCCATATATTGACTACCTACTTTGGAACTTCGATGGAGGGACAACCAGGGTGCTATGTGGTCTCTCGAGTTTTACGGGTATAAAAGGGACGGCTGTCTGTCAACCCCCTTTTCTTTTTATTTATTTATTCTTTTGTATTTATTTATTTTTCCCTCCTTGTATTCACTATTAACTACAGAGTAGGTATATTTACATCGAAAAAATAACCTTGTGCAGGATCATAGCGTTCACTAAAAACACACGCCTGTATGTATTGTTTTTTACATCACACACAGCTCAGACTTGCCTTTATATCTCCTTCATGAGCACATGTCCCGTCCCATCTCCATCTTGTCCTTTGACTTATCTTTCCCTCCCCTTTTTTTCGTTCGCTTCCCATCCATGTCCAATTTCCACTGAGCTCCCACTCTACTTCCAATGAATGAAAGCATGGGGTGCACAGGAGAGAAAAAGAGGGACATATCAAAAGAAAAAGGGTAGGTCGCGAAGGGGAGAAAGGGGAAAGAAGGAATCGTGAAAGGAACAAGGATTAGAGCCGGGGATGGAATACTGCCTGTCATAAGTATCTGTATGTCATCATCGCTGTGTATCTCATAGGTAAGGGGGAGGGTAAAGGAAACTGCTGGGGTGGGATTATGCAAGCGGACTACGAGAGCACTTGAGTTCCCTTACTCCTACCACTCTCCATCTTCGCAGTCCTCGAGCCGAATTGGATGGCTCTTTTCTTCTCCTTCGCCACCAGGTTCATGCCCAAGTTCCACGCCACCAAGCGCAGCGCTTTTTTCCCCGGTTCAAGCTCTGGTTCTTCAGGACATTCGACCACTCCATCTCCGCCTGCCGATTCTGCGCCATTGGACGCGATGCCGAAGCCACACTTTTCCCAAACGGGACGTTGAAGGGCCCATCTGAGAAAGTCCTCGTCAAGATATGGATATCTCGCTTCGCGGCCCCAGTTCGAAAGGACGCGATCATCGCGTCCGAGGTTCCTCTTGCCTAGGCGCCCGACGTCCAGATCGATCTCGTCGACAAGGCCCTGGAAGCCCTGGCGTGCGAAGGCGAGGGCGTGTCGTTGGTATCCGGCGAACACTTCGTCCGCGCCAAGGCCGGAAAGAAGGACCCGTGCTGCCGTCGTGTAGGGAGCGGGTACACCGGAATCATCATCTGGCGTAACTTCGCCAACGCCGCGCGATGCGAAGTATAACGCACACGTTATCGACAGGTCCATCTCCGTGTTGTGAGGGCGCATCAGGCGTCGAACCTTGTCCCTATGCTGTGTTGTTTCCGCGTAGGGAATATTTATGCAGACAAACCGCCACGGGCGCGTCGGACAAATTCGGCGCAGCTCTGCGTACGATGACCGGCCGGTCTTGCGGTCCGGGCAATCCTCAAAGACAGAGGTCTGGTTGCCGTTCTTGGCAAGGTTAGCTGCGGCTACTCTGGGGTTCTCGAATGCGACATTCAAGAGGTCGATCGGCTCGTCTTCTGGGAGTAGTTCATGCGCGAGCCTCGCCAGGATGGTGCAGTCAAGCCCGCCGGAGAAGAGGACTGCGACCTTTGCTCCTGCTGATAAGGAAGGAGGGTCGGGGACGGCCTGGACGCGAAGCTCAAGTGATTGGCGAAGTAGATTCTCTAGTTCGAGCACGGATGGAGAGCTGGTAACAAGCGGGGACGGGGCTCGGGGTGTGGTATCTGGAAGGCATTTGTTCATGGGTGGTATTGGAGCACTCTACGGCTTTCAAGTTAGCTTTAACCTCCTGGCATTCCAGCGAATAAACGTACAGGAACTGCCGTGAGAGAACTCGTCCCATGTACCCATGGAATGGTTGTTATATCGACGATTCGAGAGCCGCGAGCAAGATGGATAACATGGATGCCGTCAGTGGTCACTTCTTCGAAACAGTTAGATGAGGATCCATCACAGACGCTGGAAATCTTGAAGTTCCCCCTTCCGTCCCATCCAGTCAGCAAGGATCTTCTCCCCAGGAAGTCTCTGCCGTAGATAATCCTCGATGCATAGCCATCATAAAACACAAAAGAAAACGGCCCTGATATGGTACTGACAGCATGTGCCAATCTGGGCAGGGGGTCTTCACATGCATATGATCGTGTGGGATCCTCTGAAGGCCTGACTGACTCCAAGAACAGCTGGAAAACTCGATGGGTATCATTTCCACTGATAATCTCATTCGATATTTTCCATGCCTCTCCATTCCAGCAGAGGACTGACTGGCTGGAAGGGTCTACGAGAGGCTGTGCTTCCACATGATCCCCTCTGAGAGCAAGAACAGACGATATGAAGGTTAAATACCGCTTGCAATCTGCGTCGCCGTCGCACTGCTCATCGCCGCCACTTGGTGTTGGGCACGATACGCATGCATGATGAGCCCGGTAGCTGTCTGGTCCTCTATTCCTGACGATGCGCTGTGTGTCTTCTTCGGGGTGGACAAACTCTGTGCTACTAAGCGAGAAGAAGATGCCACACATCGTGGACTGCTCCTGGGCAGCGTAGAGTTGGCCAGAAGCTGTCTGAGGAGCGACAGGCGGAAGCGCAAAGGGGGAGATTTTTCCCAGGCTGGGTTGGGATTCGAAGGAAGGTTGGGCTTATCAGGGAGCCGGCGGAACAATAACCCGTGCGATAAGGCTCCCGTGATCAGCCCATCGCCCAACGCCGAAACTCCCTTCGATAATTCCCCCACGGCAGCATCCTCCAGCGTGTCGGGACAGTGCAAGGGAGGCTTTGCTATGCTGACAGGGTCGCCGAGCTCGTATTTGTCGTGCCCTTTCTCGAGCATGAATATGTCCTGCTGTTGACTGCCATCTAGTTACCTTTCATTTTTACCGCGGCTGGTGCAGAGTGTTGGATCTCCCGTATTGACGGTTGAGCTTATGCCTCCCTCATCGGAAGTCTATACCTCCCCTTCTCCTACACCAGACAACAAGCAAAACCAAGAACCACCACTATCTGGAGTTGGAGGACCTGGCAGCAAAGAGCCTGCCGCTCCCTCAGTCAGGACTAGTCCCACAGGCTTGCTTTCCCCTGAAGATGGTGAGAAAGACACAAACTTGTTCAATGGAGCCATGGATGAATCTAAGCCCACGATGGAAGATAACGTCTCTTCTGGAGACACTATGAAGATGGAACCCGAGGATAAGCCCTCCGGAAGTCATCCTGAGAGATCTTCGGAAGAAAACATGAGACCGCCCACTCAACCAATGGAACGCTTGTCAGTCTCGAAGAGAGCACCAGACACCTTGCCAGCCTTACAACTTGATACCGACACCGATTCTACCCTTCCTCCTCCTCCGCCACAGAAAGACAATACTTATATAGATCCTACTCCTAAGACTCCTCAAGCTCCGTACTCCCCTCTCACAACTCCAACCTACGCCGATAAAGACCTCCCCGATGTTCCTCGAGATGGTCACACAGCTGAGGCTGGTGGGAAAGAAAGTGATAAGGAAGGGGAAGGCGGGAAATGCGAGGGTTCGCAGTCGGAGATTCAGAGCATAATAGAGCAATTCGCGGACGAAACAACAAGTTTGCGTCAAGAAGAAATAATGTCTCCTCGACTTGAGTTGGCCGCACATCCACGTTTCCCTCCCCGTAAATCCAGCCTCGAGCCCGTCCCATCGTCCTTGGAAAGCGCGGGCGATCAGCAGTCTAACTCCCGGCAACCACAAACGTCTTCCATCCTATCGAACCATTCTCGCAGGTCTCTATCACCCCCCGCCGTACCACCGAAGTCTCCCCCGAGTGTATCCCAGAAAGCGACTGTTGGCGAAGAAACGGAGAGCACCGGCCCACCTCCTCCAGAACCCGAGCCCGATCAGCCATTTGACTTCCACCGCTTTCTGGAGCAGCTGAGGCATCGAACAGCCGACCCAGTAGCTAAATTCCTTCGTTCCTTTTTAACCGAGTTCGGGAAGAGGCAGTGGATGGTCCACGAACAGGTCAAGATCATCAGTGATTTCTTGGCGTTTATCACAAACAAGATGGCCATGTGCGACGTCTGGAAAGAAGTCTCCGACGTTGAATTTGACAATGCCAAGGAAGGAATGGAGAAGCTGGTCATGAACAGGTTGTATTCCCAGACTTTTTCTCCCGCGATACCGCCCCCTCCAGTCCTCCCTCGAAACAGGAGTAGAGGGCGGAAAAAGGATTTGGAGAAATTGCTAGGCCCTGGGAGACGAGGTCAACATCAAGAAGATGTCGAGCGGGATGAAATTCTGGCCCAAAAGATCCGGATCTATAGTTGGGTGCGAGAAGAGCACTTGGATATACCGCCGGTCAGTTCGAACGGCCACCGTTTCCTACATTTGGCTCAGCAAGGTGAGTTCGTCTCGCGCCGATAAGCTTGACGTGATCCCTAACTCTTCTATACTAGAGCTATTGAAGATCAAAGGCTACCGCGCTCCGAGAGACAAGGTCATCTGCATTTTGAATTGTTGTAAGGTCATTTTTGGTAAGGATTTCACGCATATTCTCCCTCCAGGAACAAAAGTGCTCACTTCCTGAAGGTTTATTAAAAAACTCCAGAGATAGCGACACATCTGCTGATTCCTTTATGCCGCTTCTGATTTACGTTGTGCTGAAGGCCAACCCCGAACATTTGGTATCAAATCTACAGTATATACTTCGATTTCGCAACCAGGAAAAACTTGGAGGAGAGGCCGGCTACTATCTCTCTTCATTGGTATGGCCTCAATATCCATGCCAACCCTGAAAGCATCTAACACCTGCTGCTAGTCCGGGGCCATACAATTTATCGAGACACTTGACCGGACCTCTTTAACAGTCAGCCAAGAAGAGTTTGACCGGAATGTTGAAGAAGCAGTCTCTGCCATCGCCGAAAAACACAAAGAAGCTGAACAATCACTCAGTCGGGAAGCAGAAAAGACCCTAGCATCTCGTGAAATTACCCCTCGAAATTCGGAAGAGCAGGGATCGAGATCCACCGACTTGCCCTATGCCTCTAACCCAGAGGACAATCCTTCAATGGCTGGATTGCTGCGTACTATCCAAAAGCCGTTGACTACCATTGGCCGGATATTCTCAGATGAAACAGAATCTCAACAGCAGCAGCAGCAGCGAACGCTCGGGCCGCCGCAGCAAAATCCGGGATTGGCTTCAGCTCCATATCAGCAACAGCAACAGCAACAGCAACAGCAACAGCAACAGCAAAGAAACAATGGGTTAAGAGGCGTTGAAAGGCAGCGAATTCGGAACGAGCCCCCAACGCAGCAACAGAGGAACGGATTCGAAGCACAAGAAGCGGCTGCGCGCCAGGCTAGTGCTGAGGCAGCCGAGGCGCACCGTATACAGCGTGCTGAGCATGCTGACGTTGTGGAGTAAGCTAGCCGCGTTCCTGATTCCTCAATGATATTTTAACACTGATACATCGCCAAAAGGACGTTATCGGGGATGTTCCCAAACTTGGACAAAGATGTCATCGATGATGTTGTCCGGATGAAGGAAGGAAGGTAAGGACCGCCTTAGATGCCTTTGGCTTTACTCGTAGCTAATCAGCCTCCCCAAGAGTCGGTCTGGCGGTAGACGCATGTCTTGCTCTTAGCGCCGAATAAATCACCCAGGACGGAAGATTTGTCGTCGTCGAGCAGTGACCTTGAGGCAATTTTATTGAATTGTAGGCATGAGCATAGTGCTGGGGATACCCTTGCACAATTGACCATTTGATATTCTTCATTTTTCAACATGCCCACTGGGGGGACCAACAAGGTAAATAAAAACCGTGAAAAGTCATCACAACAAGTAGTAGAGCGACATGATGCAGAGACTGCTGCTGGCGCGTTCATCTGTTCACTTTGGTATAGCACAGAGGGCATAGATACTTAATTTTAATAATTTGCCGGAGGCCTCGCGCCTGAATTTCATATTTCTTACCACTGTGAGTGCTCTGTACAGAGTATAGGATTTCAAATTTGTGTTCGAAAGCTGCATGCTCCAGAGCCACAAAGTTTCTGGTGTTCATTTTCGTCATCACACGCAAGTCAGTGAACTCTGCAACACAGCTTGGCCGGCAAAGCTTCAAAAACCACTCCAAAAGCCCAAAAGAAAAATATTAACAGGAACCAAAGAAGGGCCGGGCAGACAGCTTTGCTTGCTACCTTTCCCGCCGGAGCTGACCTGAATGCAGCATGCCGAAAAAGAAGAAATCCCAGGTCAGCCTGGCGAGCGAGGACATCAAGGGAGAAAGCTCACCAGCAGCAAGCGTCCCTGCGTCTCCAGATCCTCAGTCGCCGCGGCCGCCGCTGCAAGGATCCGGAGCGAAGAAAGGAGGTGAGAAGAGCAAACAGGCGCAGCCCTCGACATCGGCACTCATCATATGTCGGAACAAGTAAGTTGACCCGCCAGATCACAGTTGTACTGCTTTTTGTTCCCACACACGATGATACACCTTTGTTTTCGTTGTTCGTTTTGGTTTTTTTGGCGCTCCCCCATGTCCTTTTGGCCCTTTGAGAAGATCGGTTTCCGCTAACGAGATGGGACCCAACTTTGCAAAACACGCAAAAGACACTGGCGATACATTTCTTCTTTTCACGGCCCTTGGCTCCAGCTACCTCCGGATATCCTCGAGACCCTCTCGTTTAGTAACTATGCCTCCCCGCGACCTCATCCCATCGACCCCGCTGTGTTCTTCGACATCGTCAAGATCCGCCGCTCCATCGAGGAAGCCACCGACCTCGCCGTCCGAGCTGCGAATGGGACCACCTCTTCGGCGCTGGGGAATTCGCTCAATGCCTCCAATGGCATCCTGAGCGGCGGAAGCAGCGCGGTGCTCGGACTAGGGATAGGCGGGGGCAGTGGGCACGCGAAGCTGAGCCGCGAGCGACGACATCGCATGCGGGAGCACGCGACGCAGAAGCTCGCCAAGGCGTACCGGCTGGACGAGATCGCGGCGAGTGTGGCGACGATGCAGTCTGCGTCTGCGCTCGAGGAGGTGGCCAAGCTGGTGCTGCAGCGGAACGAGTACGACTGCGATGCCCAGTATGTGCATTTTTTCCATGAGAAGATTCCGTCTCGGTCGTTGGCGCAGTGTACGAGCCTGGAGCCGCTGGATGAGATCATTGCTACACGGCCGCGGGAAGGGTCGACGTTCAGGACAAGAGCGGTGACGAGGGTGTTTAAAGATGATTATACCGGTGCTGCGAGGGATCTTACGGAAGGGCTGAGCGTGTTCCGTCTATACATGACTCCACACGTAGAAGGCAAGGGTGAGGCTGAGCTGTTCGCCGCTAGGAAAGAAAATGAACCGCGGACCATGGATATCCGGGAGGAATTGAGGGTAGATGAGAAGGATCAGCCCACGGGCTTGGAGACGCAGCTATTATTCCATCGGGCCGGTGTATATCTGAGTATCGCCTGCCAGCACATCAAGTCTGCCTTGGATGATCTAAAGCTGTCTCAGAAGGAACGCATCCCTAAGCCAGAGCCCTACAACGAAGGCGCCAGCTCCCCGTCGTTGTCCCCTGCTGGAAAGGAGGCATACCGTCGGTGGCTGGAGGCGCGCAAGATTATAAAGACAAATGCCCGACGTGCCCTTCGTGACTACATGAGCTTTCTGTCGCATTTTGACTATACGCCAGGCCTTTCTTGTGAAGTAGCCGAAGCATTCCTACGCAAGGTCAACTATACGTCATCTGGAAATTTCGGAAAGCCACGACGGCCGCGGACCCATTCAAGCCGTCTGCTTGAGTCTGGGGACGGCAGCGAGGAAAGCCCCGGACAGAATGGTCATTCGTCTCTGCCTTCCACTACGGTATATAAAGTCTCCGAGCTCTTTTCTGCGCAACCTCCGCCGGACCTCCCTCCTTTCCCCGCCGAATCACAGGAACTGGTTCCCGCAGCCCAGGCACATGGCGGCGACAGCGATGATCACTCCTCTCACGAAGCTGTCACTTATCACCCCCTCCTGACCGATGCACTCCACTCACTGCTTCTATGCCACGCAATCGTCCAGACGTCTTCAAAAGAACTTCTTCGCCATGCCTACATGGCTGCCCGGGTCGCCCGGGTCTGCGATGGATATCCGATCTTTCTAGCCCCGCGGTCTCCCTCCCGTGCAGACTGGATGGAAGTGATCAGTCACGTAGATAACTGGATCGATTTGAAACAGCCGTGGGAGTCTCTCTGCGCGCCAGCACCCCTTTCCCAGGGGCAAGGGATCGAGAAGATTGGCCTCACGGAGGAGGAAGAGCGGGAGAATCGGAAACATGAAGCGATCCTGGAGGCACTGGGAGACGACCGGGTGTTCGATGAGGCAACCTTCCGGGCTGTGGTGCAGGCGCGCGAGAAGCGGATGGAGCAGCAGCAGCAGCAGCAGCAGCAGCAGCGAAAGGCGAGTGGGCAAGGCGGTGGCAGCCCTGTGATCAAGCGCTGGGCGCAGGAGGATGGGAAGGAGTATCCTATCTGTACGGAGCGGGCGGAGGGCATTATTCGGTGGATCCAGGAGGCTCCTCTCTCTACAGGTGAAGGACGAGCAAAGGGGAAGAAGGGGAAGAAGAAAAGGTCCTCCAAGGGTGATAACGAGACTCCGGCTGAAATTATGACGTCGAGAGAAGACAGCTTCCAAGATGCGGATTGAAGTAGACGGGGGGCAGCAACTTCTGCTGTGCTTTCAAAAACGTGGGCATCACTGGGCTACCTTTTTTGAGCAAAAGTTTAGGATTCCCTCTACGAAATGGCGACGGAACGGCTTTTTTTTTCCTTTTTCCTTTTTCTTTTTTCTTTCTTTCTTTATATTTTTGGCAAATCATCCCCGGAAATTGGATTTCCTTTTTTTTTTTTTTCCTTTCGAGAAATGCGCCGTGTCATTTTGGGATCTTGTACGTGTACAACATAGCTACTTCTTTGCTATTGGAAATGTAATTATTGGAATCATGCTCCTTTTCCACGAATAGCTTACTAAATACGGAGTAGAAGTAATAAATTTAGGTCATGTCTTTCTGTGATAGTTGAAATAACTATGATGTTGTAGTTGATGATTTGCCTTTTTTTTCTTTTGGTTTGTTTGGTTTGTTTGATCGATTCAGGTGATCTACTACATTACATAATATTATATCACATGATTTGCCACTCAGCTTGATCCTCCAACCAATCATAGCCAGCAGAGAGCCTCTCGCTTAGCCTTAGCGCGGATTGCGGTGCCCCACTCTCATGTATAAATAAGTGCTGGAACCCCGACCCTTTTCAACTTTTTTCTTCTTTTCTCTTCTTCATACTTACCTTGTCTCGGGAACCGCGATCATGAAGGCGGGCTCCCATGAGATGGTCCCTGCATTGCACAGCGCGGCGGACGCGTCTTGTTCATCGGCCTTCGGGTCTTTGAGAGGCGTAATTTTTGACTCCCTTCACTCCACAGTGTGAGTGAGACTTAGTCTCTTTTTTTCATCAATTTTTCTCGCTATACGCGAGAGGTTGGAGAAGAAAAAGGATGGCCCCCTATTTCTCAAGTCGATACCCGTTCTCACCTTTTTAGAATAGAGCACTGGAGTTTCGCCCCTTTTTTTCCCCATGTGGCTTTTTGTATTCGGGCAATTTGAACTGCCAGGGCATACTCCGTATGGTTGTTTTGGTTCAGCGAAGCAAAAGCGAAGTGTACTCCGGAGTTGATGAATAGTACTCATGTAGGCCTTGCCTCGTAACAGTGAATGACGTCGCAACCGCGCTGGCTCGCCACGTCTTAGCGCAGGCAACTCTATTTTCCTCATATAAAGCGGCTCAAAACTCCCGATGTTGGTGAATGAATCAAAATAGCCAAATAAAGACTTTGTGTGTGCATCACGTAAGGCGATAATCGTGAGGCTTGAAGATTTGAGAAAATTTGACGTCCTTGTCTCAGCCCCATTTCACCGCGGAGGGAACCAAGATCCATAACTACGAACCCCCCCACCATGCCAATCCAGCTTAATCCAGCTCCCGCGGACGACTCCGGCGATAAACAATCTGCTTCTCGAAGCAACTCCTCTTCGTCCGATTCCCAGCCGTCCACCCAGTCCACCGCTCCTTCCGCCACGGGCATGTCTGAACATGGCACGGGTACGGAAGGGCAGCTGAGCAGAGAGGAAGCTGACCGCCTGTACGAGGAGCGAATGGAGGAGGAATACGCAAAGAGGGAGGGTGGAGCATAGTTTTTAGTCCTCGAACACGTCTGCGATATTAAGCCGCGATTCAGCTCCGTTCTGGACGTACCATCTGCTCCGCCTTTTTCCCATCTGTGATCGAGTGTGACGGCCGGTAGGCGCAGAGATGCGGGGATAGGCTCAGCTTTGTGTATATTCTAGAAGGCTACTACGCTTCGTCTTTCTCCTACATTATACCTTGTTCCCTCCGATGCATGAGATGCAGTAGACAGGATTTTTCGCATAAAGCATGAGAACACGATTGAACATACAACATCAGAGGTAACATCCTGTTCAAAGTGTACTTTTCTTAAGCGCGCCACATATGAAATATCAAAGGTAGAATCGCCTCCACCTGAAACCAATGTCGAGGGTCTTGGGATACCCCCCATCCATCCCCCGCTGAAGAAGTGGTTGGTATCGCCAAGATCCCTGAAGCTTTTGCGTCTCAACTCATCCTGAGGCCTCATCCCGCCTGTAAAACTCCCACAGCCCCGAAATGCGGCAGCCCCCAACCGCCACGTGCGTGCACTATCATCAATCGGCATCCAACAGAAAAACCACTGTCTGGGACAGGTGCACTACGCGCGCCGGAACGTCATAGTTGATGGTACCCAGCTACTCGCTGCGGAACCCAAAGAGCACTTTCCATGGCTCTGGCATCAGTCGGCTGAGATGTAAAGGACTACAACGGCATGTTAGCAAAAAAGAGTTCATGTATGTACGGAAAAAGGAGCCCTCGATTGTATCTTACCATTATTTCCCCGTACAAAGACATCGCCATAGGATTTTCTTAACTTTCCGTTGACAAATTCCTGCGTCTTTTCCAGGGCGATGTTCATATACCCATCTATAGACTGCAGTTCGCCTAAAAAAAAGGAAGACCAACCGGGATAAGCTCATATCGAAAAAAGGGGGGGTTTACAACAACGTACCTTTGTAGACGACGCCAGAATTAAGCTTGACCGTCACGGATGCGCCAGTGATCCCGCTGAGAAATGCCGAGGGATCCTGGCTGTCGGCGGCTCCTCTGCTCTCCATTGCTGAGGCAAAAGAAAAAAATTGGTTCAAAATCAGGCAAAGTAGTAGCCTCTAGCTGGCTGCGGAAGAGTGGTTTTTTTAAATCTGTGACTCTTGGCGGAGGGCCGGCCTGACAATCATCAGGAGCTGTCCTTGCTGGTAGGTGGTGATTGAACTGGCGGGCCGGTGACGGCGTTAATGGATGAGCAAAACTCTCAAACTCAACGAAACTAACTTCCACCACTTTAGCCAACCAGAAACACCAGAAATAGCTTACTATTTGCTGTGACGCTATTGGCCTGGTGGGCAATGAAGCTTTGTGCGGATCTACGGAGTTGTGAAAGGTTGATATCTCAGAATCTATGGTAAATCGTCGTTCGCTATAGAAAAAAATTTGAGACAGGTTACCAATGCTGATCTTGCTACTCGCTCAGGGCTTTGAAGGACTGTAAAATTTAAGGGGAAAGGGATCTCCAGCATCTCAATATGATGTTCCTTTCTTTCATTAACAACCACATGCATTCATGGACGGGGTGCTCCCATATAGATCTCGACAAGTGAATCCGTGGCTAGAGGAACCTCAACTCGTGCTGTGTCTAACGCACACATTCTCGGCGGATCCTACCGGAAGAGCCTCTAAGAACACTTCTTTTCCTTTCACGTTTGCTTCCTTCCACCATCCGGCACAACCCACAGTCTCCTACAAAAAGCAGCAGAAATGGCATGCTTCTTGGTACTGAAGAGACTACTACTTGGGCCTTCCCCGCCATCTACCCAGGACCGCCTCCGGAAGAGGCTTGGTGAGTCCACACCTTTAAGAGAAAACCCCCCAGGTGCCGTTCCAAATCGAATCCTCTAACGCATCCCTATCCCTATAGAGCAACGCCAGCTGCTGTCGGACGAAGGCGAGAGCAGTCTGCAAAACGGCCAGAGCCGCAGACTCCTCGATTTGGAGGCGCAGACTTACGACACCTTTGATGACAACGCCAGCAACGCCTCGACTCGCTCTCGCATCAACCCAAGGATCATCTCCGATGCCATCTTGGGTCTTTCTGACGGCTTGACCGTTCCGTTTGCTCTCAGTGCAGGTCTTTCGGCTCTGGGCAATACCAAAGTCGTCGTGCTCGGTGGTCTTGCAGAGCTTGCAGCAGGAGCTATTTCGATGGGCCTTGGAGGATATGTAGGAGCCAAGAGCGAGATGTAAGCTATCCCATTAACCTGCTTTCTTGGTGGGTAAAGAGTGTCATGGAGGACCCCAGCTGATATCCCGGTGTGCAGGGAATCTTACCAGGCTACCAGACGCGAGACTGAAGAGTTAATCGATGCCGCGCCAGAGGAGACTGCCACGCGCGTTCGCCAGGTCTTCGCTGAATTTGGAGTCCCGGACAGCGTCGTGGAGGATATCAGCAACAAACTGCACGATTCACCCAACCTACTCATGGGCTTTCTCCTGAAATTCCACCACGGCGAAGCAGAGCCAAACTGTAACCAGGCCTGGATCTCCGCGATCACTCTTGCCTTGGGTTACTTTGTTGGCGGTTTCATCCCCTTGATCCCATACTTTTACATTGACAAGGTCTTGGTGGCTCTTTACTGGAGTATTGGCGTCATGGGCGTCACGCTCCTCGTCTTTGGATACATCAAAACCTGCATCGTTCGCGGCTGGTATGGTAGGGACAACATTATCGCCGGCATCAAGGGCGGACTTCAGATGATCTTGGTTGGAGGTTTGGCTGCCGGGGCCGCGATTGCGTTAGTGCGTGCTATTGATCAAGGGGCCGGGTAACCAGCGGTTGGGGGCGTTAGCTTACTGCTTTCGATTTCAGCGAGTACTCTCTGCGATTGATTGGTTCTTGTCCTTGGGGTTCGGCGCTATAATAAGGGGAAAAGACACCAGGAGTAAACCGGTGCTTACAGACTTTGCAGGATAGTTTAGACTATACCCAATAAGCAAAATTCGAATGAAGTCTCCCAATGCTTATATCTCTACGTCAAGGCCCTCGTAATCAGTTCCTTGCCTCTGCTTGACAGCGGGATCTCCAGAGCCAGCTCATGTCCCCTGTCGGACATCTTGCCCCATGTTTTCCTGAGAATCCCTATCACCTTCTCCTCGTCGTGCTCCCGCTCAAACTCCTCGAACTGGTTATCCAGGAACACCAAGCACGCAACGTCCTCCAGGATCTGACACTCCTCGTCCGTCTTCATGTTCTCCTTCCGAACCAGAGCCGCAACCCTCTCCGAGTCCGCGGCCGAATAGCCAGAATTCAAACAAATCTCCTCCACCAAGCTGGCATGGCGCTTCTTTAAAGCTGCTCTCCATGATAGATAGCCTATTTTGTTCATTGGGTAGGAAGAGCGAGGTACTTCCCATCGGCGAAGGTGCTGCGCGCGCACCGCTAGACGGAGGAGGTCTGACGGGGACGGAGTGTGCAGGGTGAGGTATTTGGACATTTTGTTGGCGTAGTGAAGTTCATAGGGAACCTGTTTGTCGTCAATTGTCACGACATTGGGATCGTCTGAGTGCGCATTATCTATCGCGTGCAGGGCCGATTCGAAATTAGAGGCCATTGTTTTGTTATTCTTGTTTCTTTTTTGAGCGTGCTCTAGTGGTGATTTGGTGAATAGTAACTGGGTATATGCACAAGCTGCGAATTTTTTCCTTGAAGTGTTGTGATTTGAAGATATTTCGCGCGGATCAATTCCGGCGCATATCGGGAAAGTTTTACGGCGGGGCGATAAGATTATATCGTACTGTACAGTAAGCGGACCCTCGGTTGTTCCGATTCTAGTGGCGATTTGCCAGGTATCGATGTAAAAACACCGGTATCAGAGGAAGGATGCTCTCCTTGCGTGGACGAGCGGTTCTTTGAGCGCTGTCCATATTAACAAGTCTACTTGCTACCGACAGCGAGGGCGGCTTGATATGTGAAGCAATTCCCTCGCTGCTCTGAGATGGACACGAACTAGAAGAAACAAAAGGAGATGCACGATAGCGGATATTTGTAGGCTTATAGGAGGTCTCTGTTCGGTTCAACTTATCGCATAGTATAGTGGAGGGTAACTATACCTTTATGCGATATGAAGTCAAACCATCTAGCTATGTTGTTCTCTTCCGGTTTCGCCGCACAAAGTACGCCCTATCAGGCACTCATGGCTGTCGGGTAACCAAAGAGGGACCCCGAATGCCCTCTAGCCCCTCCGCACGCCAAGCGCCGTGTTTCAATGATATCACGAGCGGGAGACAATCAATATCATCCAACAATTGCTATAAACTCTCGAACTCCACATGTCTAGATCTGGCCTTACAAGGTAACTAGCTGTCATCCCCATCGGATATCTTCCTGCGACACGGATCTATATTTCTTACAGAGCAACCCTCCCAGCATGGCCGCAGATCGACCCCTCACCTCATTTCGCCTGCTATCATTTGACATCTATGGCACCCTCGTGGACTGGGAAACAGGAATTCACGAAGCACTGAAGCCACTGGTATCCCGCCTCCCAGATAACCATCGCCTTAGATCCGATCATCTCGCGCTAGGGAAAGCGTTCGGTAAACATGAGCGCGGTCTGCAGACTACACAGCCACGGCTTACCTACGACCGTGTGCTGAAGACTGCGTACGAGCAATTGGCAAAAGAACTGCACGTCGTCCCCCAGGGGAACGATGCGGAACGCTTACTGGACGAGGAAGCATGCATGTTCGCTGCCAGCATAGCTACCTGGCCGCCTTTCCCCGACACCGTCGATGCGATGCGCCGGCTCAAGAAGCGGTTCAAGCTTGTTCCGGTGTCGAACGTTGACCGTGCCTCGTTTGAGAAGACTCTGCATGGCCCGCTGGGCGGTGTGCATCGCGATCTGATGGCAGGTGAGCCATTCTTTGACGCGATATACACTGCCCAGGATATTGGGTCGTACAAGCCCGACCTACGGAACTTTGAGTATCTGATATCCCATGTGAAGGAGGAATTCGGGGTGGAGACGGAGGATATTCTGCATGTTGCGCAGAGCCTGCATCACGATCATGAGCCGGCGAAGAAGATAGGCCTGAGCAGCGCGTGGATTTCCCGGGGCGATGGCGGGCAGAGCGGGATGGGAGGGGAGGTGAAGGAGTATATCCAGACGGGGAGGGTGGCTTTCGGGTGGCAGTTCAGAAGCCTGGCGGAGCTGGCAGACGCGGTCGATAGGGAGGGAACGAATAGCTGAATGCCGTAGTTTGGTATACTCCGCACTGTGTATCGCTTTGCTTGTAACTTAGATTTAGTTAAGTTAGACGGAGCGAGTTACATAAGATTACACACGTGACTGAAATGATCACGGGACCCGTCAAGTCAGCCGCTAAACCCGAACAGGCTAGATGCGGCGTGTAGGGCGGGCGACAAAGGCCGGCGCCTCCCTTCATCATCAGCGTCGCCCCCAAAGAAGGACCTTTTCTCGCCCTTTGGCTGGAGACTCAGTTCGGGATCATCGTCGGCTCTCTGGATCTCAGCACCGTGGGATTGATTGAGAACTCTGACGGCCTTCCTCGTCTCTGGGACACACTGATCTTCTCATGTTGCGGCGCGTGAGTTCAGCATCAGTCCCCCAGTCGCCACTTTTGGAACCTCAGAAATCCCAGTGGCACCATCGCCTACCACACTCAACCCCGACCGCTCATCTTGACGATCGAGCCGCTCACGTCCGTTTCCCTTCTCCATTTATGACCGCCACCCCTCAGAGCTATGCATCGAGCTTCTCAACGACACAGTCGACGTCACCCGCCCAGAGCGCATCTCAGTCGGCTCCAGACTCTTCATCCCCTCCCTCCTCACTCGCAATGTCTGCGCAGCCTGCCCAGCAGCTCACCGTGACTAACGCCTTCCCCACTCCCGCCAGCAGCGTGAGCGGCGTTGCGAAGGAATCCCAGGATCCATCCGAGAAGGCGGCTCGCGCTTTGATGGAGACAGCTGAAGGCGCGCCGGGTTTCACCGATATTGACAATGGCATCCTCCAGAACCAACAAAGCCCACAGAACCAGCAAGGAACCATCGCAGGACTGATTCCCCAAGAGGACGCAATGGACATAGACCGCAAAGATGATCTCTCAGAGGACCCCAAAATTGCCGCTCTCCAACAGGATATCGGGCAGGCGTTTCACACTTGTAAATCCTGTAAGGCCTCAGATCTACTGTTTGGTTTGTGACCTTGACCTGTGCTGTATTAACATGGCTAGCCTACTCGATATCTGGACCAAGCCCTCGCTTTGACCTCATTTCTCTTTACGGACTTGGTCCAGTGGCCGCCTCCGTTGCTCGAACGGATCCGGTCACAGGCGAAAAGATTAACAGGCTGAGGAAATCCTACGAAGGGAAGATCAAGGGGCTGGGACTCTCGGGAAGGAATAAAGCGGTTAAGCGCGAACCCGGAGCGCCCGGTGGATTAAGGCAGCTGACAATGTGGCCTGAAGAAGAGTGGCAGAACCAAAAAGTAATCGGGAAAGATATCAGAGTTGCTGAACCAGATTCTGCACTACACAAGTTGCATATGAGGGCTATGAAATTCGAGCCTGGGCCTGTGCCGAACAACGACTATTGGGAGGATGTCCTAGGCCACGAGAAGCCACCCAAGCAAGGTGCCGCAGCTGTTCAGCCGAAGAAAGCAGCGGACACTGTTGGTGGTGCTGTTCGACAGAGTACCCAAGCTAACGGCACACCAATATCGACGCCCGCCCCACCCGTTGAGTCGGGTCGACCGAAACGTGCGGGCAAGAAGAGAAGCTATAATGATAGCAGTTTCGTTGGGTACGGAGAAGGCTTCCCAGACGATGACCTAGATATGGATGGTGGCTTTTATTCAAACAGTGAAGAAGGGGCTAGGGGTTCGGCCAAAAAGAAACGAAAAAAGGTGATAATCTCTATCATTTTGCTCCCGCAGATCTCTTTCTCTTTCCCTCGCTCTCTCTCCCTCTTTTTTTAATTTGGGGCGGCGGGGGGTTGGGGGGAGGGGATGAATTTACTCGACTCGAGACTAACACACCTACCAGGATCATGTTCCGGTTGTTCCGCCCTCACTGACGGAGCGGAAAGGCAGTTATGGCGTCGGAATGTTTGGCGTTGGCACACGATGACGCATGCTACGATGAATGAGACAAAATTTGAATGGACACCGGCAAAGCGTTTGCCAGCGCGCATTACGAAAATGTTTCCGCGACGAAGAGTGGGGAGTTGCTCTCTCTGCAGCCCCAAGTATGATAGTTTATTGCTTCGCAAGCATCCATTACGGGATCGACGATTTAGGACCTCCGTTGGACAGACTTTCGATTTCGACTTCGACTTCACTGTACACAATTACGTGTTTTTCTATTGCTTTGATTATTATTCCGTCACTGGGGCAAATTTGCATAATGGCGTAGGATATACCCGCCTCGGTCCAAAAATGGCGTTAAGACGACGATTGGGTTTTTGATTTTCTCTGGGAGGATTTCTGGTCTGGCTGGGAGTGGGTGTCATTATTACAAGGGATTTTCTGATTGTTTTGCTTTTGCCCTGCCCTAAGTGGCCCCTATGTCTCGTTCTTACCGGGTGGGCCTTGGTGAATCCATATGGAATTCAAGGTAATAACTACCCTTTCCCCCTCGAAATTTAGCTTGTTTCTATTGCGATTTGAGTCACATTTCTCAGGCTACTACTTTGCTGCTTTGCTGATGGTGTCTCCCCCGCGATATACGTGGGCCATGAAAGAAAGATGAAGTAGTTTTGCTTTTTTGTTTTGTTTCTGAAGTTGGGCTTGTGTTGGGTGTGAAGAGAGCCATGGTCGTCTATGTCTTTTCTCCTTTCTATGCACGGATGGTTCGTTCCACTGCTGCTCATAATTCACTGCATGGAAATGGACAAGCCGCCCTCCTTGTCAGAAGAAAGGCAAGTATCTTCTCCACCACGACAAGACCCTGTTTCAACATCCCCAGATGAGAACGACGGTTCGATGGGAATATGCCAGTTTAATAGCTCCCTTAACAGGTTGCACACTCGAGATGGAAGATTGCTATTATACACCTTTTCCCATCTCCGGCTGTCTCTTTCTTTAATGATACCTGATGTGTATGCATGTACATATATGGCCTCTAGAGAGGTTCTATAGCGTGAATACAGACATGGGAACTTGAAATAAAAGCCTTTCTTTTCTTGTCGTTCGACGCGGTGGTGGGATAGTTATAGTTTGAAACAAAGGAAAATTTTTAGCGAGATCGAAGCCTCGAGAGGCACCAGTGACAAGTCGACTATGTGTATGATCTTGGCTGGCTCGACCTTTCACTATTTTAAATCCACACAGTGACACATTTGAGAGCGCTTTCGGGAAACTCAGCTCTTGACAAGCAAGCAAAGACCTTGAAGGTGGATGTTGCAATAATGCTCACTATTGAGCTCAGACATATAAATAAGGTCCCTAAGTCAGGATTGTGCGGCACAAGCACACCCTTTCCCTGTTGTTTACTTTGGCCGAGCTGCAGATATCTTTTCCTTTCTCAGAACACAGTCCTAATCACTGAGACAGCCTAAGAATTGCAATATGTAAGTTGGTTATACAGATCTGAAGGTCTCAAGCTATCTATATATAAACAACTTCAAATTTTCAACCTGACTCGAAAAACTGATAGCCTTAGTTTCCAGCAGACTCCTTGCATGCAGCACATAATTCGCAAGCGAGAAACGCTTTGGATCGCTCCCAATTTCTGTTTAATTTTCGAATCAGACCATTTGCATCGACAAGCTCATCTCCCTGGGAAAATTCTGACCAATGACGACATACATGGTTTAACTGAAAGATTCGGAAAACCTGATAAAAACCCTGGTAGGCGTCAAAGGGGAAATATTCCTGTAAGACAAGACTCTGTCCTCGAACTTAATGTGAAGTTCATAGCTCGTCCTAAAAACTCAGCTATAATGGCAAATTTTTGTGCCATTGGGTATTTGTACAAGCCTGTAAGAAAAAAGATATCCCCCCCCCCCCCAAAAAAAAAAAAAAAAAAAAAAAAAAAAGAGAGAGAGAGAGAGAGAATAGAGGAGCCCAGATATATGGGCCTTGCTTTAATGTAGCGGGTGCGCACCGATAGAGCTCCTAAAGCGCCCAGAAGTACACGTAGAAGGACCGAAAGTCAAGCCAGTGAATTCACTAGTGAGGGGCGGAACAGCAAGTATAATCGCAGGAATACACGCAACTCAGAAAAACAGGCGCATCAACTGCAACGGCCAGCGTTCATACACCTTTTCGTCCTGCCGTGAAGGAGAATCGACTCAGAAGACAGCTGAGATTCAGCGACGCTCATACGCGGGAATATTTGTTTTTGAGAAAAAAAAAATTATGATAAATGGGAAAGGATATCATTTAGAGAGCCGAAACAAGCAATAAAGGTGAATATATCATGTCAAGGCATTGTAAAACGTAGCAGATTCGTTTACGAGGTAAGACACATCAGGAAGCTCATCGACAAGATGCGCCATCAGCTCCGACTGCTCTTCTCGGCTTAAGCTTCGGTCCCTCCAGCCAGTATTGGGGTATGGTTGGTTGAAAAACTGCGAATATTGACCACCGAATGCGCTTGTCCAAATCATAGGATCCAGCGGGGCGTTACCATAGGAGAGATGGCTGGCCATAGTTGATGCAGCAGAATAGTTAGAATCCCAATTCCGTAAACCGGTGACAACAGACGGAAACGAATTATGAAACGAGCTTGGGTCAAACAAAAGATGGGGTGGCGCTAAAGAGGAGGGGGAGTCGCAAATCGGAAGAGGCGCAGATTGCTGAGTGGGAATAGAGTCAGTGAGGTACGGCGAAAGCGATGAGTGAGAAACGGTTGGCTGAGAATCTGAGCTGTGATAACCATTGCGCGAACGACATGCTTCCAGAGAATCATTGGTTCCATAAGAACACTCCGATGATATCGTTGGTGACCTAAAAACGGAGGGATGCTGTGGCGGCATTAGAGTGGCAGATGTAGCAGGATCGGGACTCGACATTTGCCGCGGGGTGGTGACATCGTGTGAAGAAGCTGGAGATGGTCGATTCGATGGAGTATGTACCACAAAGGATTCATCGCTGTCATAAGCCTTGAGACAGCCAGCTATCAAGCTCTTATAGAGTTGTCTGCAGGATTCGACCCCTGGCCAACGCTCAGCACTAACAGCAAGTACTTCCATGGCAATATTAATGTGCTGGATTACTTCCTCTATTGGATGCTCATGACGAATGCCAGGGTAAGAAAGTGACCAGAGAATCGTATTTAGGGCCATGCACACGGATTGGGTCCATATCCAAGTCAGATCCACCGAGCCTGTTGTCACTTGATCTTTGTGCATCTTGATATTGAACGCACAGGCATCGTAACACCTCTGCGCCGCCTGTAACGAAGGCTCTGGAACCTGTGGTGAGGGCCGGTACATAAAGACAATCATGGTATTACGCCTTCCTTCGAACCTGTAGCGCGTCAGTCGTCTTTTAATTCCGTATTAGCTGTGTCGTAAATGTATGGAACATACCAAACCGGGCTCAGTCCACTTCCTTCATCGTTGGTAGGACAGGAGTTAACCCATTTATCGATTTTCTCTAACATCTGGGAAAACCATGGATCTTGGTCATCAATGGGTGTATCCCGTTTTCTCAAATAGAGGGTGCGCCGTATTTCAGCTTGAAGAAGGCGCATTTTGAAAAAGTGGATGGCAATGCACTTTTTCATTATAGGCTGCGCTTCTGGCGATACGCCTTGAGGGGTGATGTACTTGTCATCGACAATCTCAAAGAACTTCACATTAATATGATCATGAGTAACGCAGAAAGCGCTCGGCCGGCCAAGACTGTGTGAGAGACCGTACTCCATGGATGTTACGATCCAGAACAGCCGTCTCCGCATATCAACTTCAAGGCAGTTCAAAGGTTCGCCAGTTGGCGACGTGGCAATGGTAGTTTCGTCAGTAAGGCCCAAATCTTGACATATTTTCACTGCGGTTCCGACAACCCAATAAGCTGCCGTCCGCGTGGGGGTCAGAAGTGAGTATTGACCAATGAGTACGAAGCATTGCAGGGTGGAAATATCCATCTTTCTGATGCTGGCATCCAAGTACGGTAGAGCAGCCAGGTAGAACGCATCTGCTAATCCGGCGAATTGCGTGCTCAGCTTTTGCATGCTGATTGCAATGACGATCCGCAACTGGAAGTTTTGGCAAGGATCATCGGAGCCATTGTAAACCGCGTCTACGTCCTGTCTAAAGGATGGCTCGTGCAAGGTGGGAAGCATGTATTGAGCTGCAACTCAAAGTCAGCCGACCATGATGCAGGGTTAACCTGTGCGCAATCGCTATATAATACCCTTTGCCATGAACAGGTCCACCAATCTCTCAGTCAAGCCCCGGTCAGGCAGGTCTGGTTGGGCTACGGAGCTAATCAGCGGATATATTTTCGACGTTGGTTTCTGGCTCTCTTTCGTAAAAACGTATTTGATCTCTTTGGCAGTTATCTCATTAACAACCTCCTTTATGCTTTTGGTGTCCGTGTTTTGTTTTGCCATCTCCATCACGAAGCGAGTGATTGCGATGCCACTCGACGGCCCCAGAAATCTCGATTCATCATTTTCTTTAAACTTGATAAGGCCTCCCCCCCGAACCATGAGTTCGGGGTCCGGCGAGTTCTCGATCTGACTTTCCACCTGTGCGAGTTTTTCGTGGAGTCTCCTGACCTTGTCTTGAAGCTGCAAGATATATGTTCTCGGTACAGTCGTATTCTTGACCGGATCGAAATAAACGCATTTGGAGTCGCTCCGCTGGCATGGACCGCATCGAGGAATTCCAGTGTCGCATCTAGATTTCCTCTACCGGAACCTCATGAATTAACGCGGCGGATTAATACAAGCCAAAGAAAGCAGCAAGTAAAAGGAGGCAAATTGAGAAGTGGCTATCAGGGACGTATTGCTCTTGTAGTTCTTACCTGTCTACATCGTGTGCAGGCGGTTAATGTATGCGCAATGCGCCCGCCCATCTGCTCCTCTGGAGACTGCGGGGAGCCTTTTGGCAACAGTGTCCCGCGGGCGGCAGAGCGCGGTGGTTTCGAAGCACCGGCATCCATTAGGACAAGAGCTGCGCGAAGAGACAATGCTCAGGCTTCATCGTCATCCTCCTTGCGGCGGGCTTGCGGTGAGCGAGCTTGATCGACGCAGCTGAAAGAGAGTTTGGCCGATTCGGGATGTGGGGACGAAATTACTGACTAAGCCCAGCCCTGTTACCAGTCGATACGCACCTTGCGCTGGTAGCAACCGAGCTGATACCGGTGTATTCTCAACCTCTGTTACCTGAAGGCCAGGGATTTGCACGTGACGCAGCTGGAGCGGCCTGTGCGGAGTCGGCGACATTCGAACGACCAGCGGCGACTGTTGGGCACCCTGACTCGCCAGGACGACGTGCATCCAGCGCATCAACACCGCGTCCGGAAGTAACAATCGATGGGGCTATCCATCTATCAAGACACCCTCCCAGGAGGCACTCTGTGCTTCATGCGCCGGAAAACAGCCACCCCCCCAAATAAGAACAATCGACTGCCGAAGGCGGAGCCAGAGCACGAACAGAGAGAGGGTTGCAGTGAAATAATAACGCTATCACACAGCTCACAGCATCATGCCATCCAATAGGAGCGGGGAAAGGTGAAAAGCACAGAAACATGAACAGGGGAAGAAAACCACCAAGGTGGAGAGTCACTTCCAGGGTGCATTGAAGGGCGAAGCTCATTTTTTATATCCGAGCCCACAGCCCACTCCCAAACGCTAATATCTGCACAGACGTATGATCCTTCTAATAGTAACCTTGAATAAGACTGATCAGTTCACTCCGCACAGTTGGTCCCCACAACACCTGCTTTCCTGCCCCATACTCTGTACTGCTCAGGACTTTCACCTGAATACAGACGCAGCATTATCCACTTTCCGTAAAGCTAAGTTGATCATCGCAAATACGTCAATTACAGTATTTAAAGCTTTCTCTCTATGCCCCGTCTTCTATGAGAGGACCATCTAATGAACATAATGATAGCCAACTAAAATAATCTCCTGAAAAATATCCAGCCCAAGCACTGAGATCATGCTGCAGTGAAGGTTCCGGGAACAGTGAAAGCTAAGCTTTATATGGAGATGTTTGCAATCAAAAAGTTTTGGAGGGATTTTAAACTCCATATGAAACCAAGATGAAAAAGTTGCTGAGTGATGAAGATAGTGACTTGGTCCATTCAGCCGCTGCTGAGAAATGCTCTTATGGCTCCAGTCATTGTGAAGAACAGAAGGAAATCAAGACCTGATTTGCCTGAAATAGCAAAATCATAGGGCACAGGACATACTTCTGAAGGTCTGTGTGGTTCAATTTCAGGTTCATGGTTTGGGCTGAGACTCATCCTGCTTGTAGCAAGGCCCTCTAAACTCATATTCTGTAGGCTGACACGCTCAGAACAGCGGAGGAAAGCCTTGTTTCTTGGCTGTGATATGTAATCAATTGTAGTGTTATCTGGTATGTTTGCTCGAGTGGTACCCAGATATTGGTATGTATAGAAGTCTTATTCTAAAGGAATTTCATTGCACGAGACGCGTGGGAGTCATATGCCGATTCATGTCCTTATTATTCCGTACAAATCCTAGATAGCGGACATTCATTGATATCTTAACTACCGAGGTGAGGTCCCACGGAATCCCGTGCAATTACAAATGGGCCTAGAATAGAGCAAGGGTACGACGAAGGTCGTAATTGGTCCCTGGAGGTGTTTCAAGTCAAAACGTCTCATAATAGAGCCAGGTATCTTTACAACACCCGCCAGTCAATTGGGTTAATCAACTATTCCACTGGAAAGAGACAAATCTCCCTCATTCATTCAGTCCGCAGCTGAAAAAATGGTTAAAGTTTTCAGTTCGGCGACTCCAAATGAACCAAGCTCTTTCTTCCGAAAGCCCATGCCCGGCTATATGCAACTGCCGATGACACTCCCGTGCTGTTGGTTATAGCCCTGTAGAATCGATATCTTCCCTGCAGGGACTGGCGAGTCCGTGGTAATTCTCAGGGCGCTGGTGGCCAATAAAACCATGGCGCACTACTGATGAGGAGCGGGCCTTTATCCCACTATGTACTGACACTAATTGAGACGTCTACAGAGTATACGTGAGTCTGAACTCCCTGTGGCATGTGAAGGGGAGCTTTGCAAAGGAACAGGCCCATACAACAGTATACACGTATCTGTCTGAGTTTGAGTATTATTCGGTCAAGGATTCTAATGATGTGCACTGCTAGTCAAAAAAGCTCCCGCGGGTGATCGTATGGATATGAACAGTTTAAGTATATACGAGAAACGAAAACAGACATGACTGTGGAATGGTTTTGGTTCCACAAAATGGGGCAATTTCGACGTCGAATTGTCAAAAAAACGATCCGCGTCAATTAAAAGGAGAGTCCGTAAAATTTTCGAGTATCTTCCTCCCCGTATTCATCTTGTTGATAACTCATTTAGAGGTTCTCAAACATAGCCTTGATACCAGCCCAGGTTTCCTCACCGCTTGGGATAATCTGGTCAGGTGGAAGAACGAAACCATATCTACCAGTATCACGGAGCTCCGCAGCGAAACCTAACTCAATATTTCCAACATCAACAGCCCAGTCGACGCTGTTTCCGTTCGCCTGGTAGATAGCGTTGCAAATTGGGCCAGTGGTGAAGCTAGTACCGTGAACTGCCTCGACTGCCTGGCTAAAGGCGTTCGCGAGGGAAATATGCATGTCGTGGTTATCAGGGGTCTCGGTGCAGCTGTAGCCATATGCTGTTTTAAGGGGAAGAAAATATCAGCGTGATACTATAGAGAAAACAGCCAACGGGAAAGAAAAGACAGATAACGACAGAAACGAGAAGGGAGCACTAACGAGTCATGAAGAGCTGAGAGTAGGAGTGCCAGTCGATGTATTGTTTTACACCCTGGCTCTCTACAAGTCTCGGAAGGTATTCGAGCCAAAGTTGGGTCTCTGGGGCGTCACCGGGCTGGGCTCCTATTGATATGAAATAAGCGTTTTGCGTGACAGAATATGATGGTTGAGAGAGATGCACCTCTGTAAGTTTCATCGCAAGGGTCTGGAGATGAGCCGCTTCCTTCCCACATGTAGGGCCAGTTGCGGTTCAGATCAGTACCGGGGCAAGCACCCTGGTTAGGGGTACGGTTCTTGCGCCACATGCGGTCACGGGTTTGGGTGAAGACGAATCCTACATAATTGCAGTTAGCAAAAGATTTCTTACGCAAGCTTGAATTGGAAAGCATCCCAGGACGAGGCATACCGTCTGGGTTAGCAACGGGGAAGATGTAGAAATCATAGCTGTCAAGCATGGCTTGCACTGTAGCGTCGGCAGCACTGGAATTACTCAAAAGGCTGGCAGCCATATATTCCACAACCTAAAACCACGATTAGTTTGCCGAATACAGGTAGCTGCAAACCATAAAATGAGGGTTCTCACCATGGTGGTAATCCATTCACGGGCATGGGTAGTTCCGTGCCAAACAACAGCAGGCTTTCCTTGTTCAGCTCCCCAAATATGGATTCCCTGGATAGGGCGATTCTCGTAGCTGTTTCCAACACTGACAATCTCGGAGTTCGAGGAATGCTGGCTCTGGAGCTCGTTGAGCCAGTTCATGTGGTCATCAAAGCTGTGATAATCCATGAACCACTCGGAGTCGGGAGCGGTTGCATATGATCCAGCTAGATCAAAGATTAGCGATCGAAAAAAGAGTGTCTGCGTCTCGTGTATTTACATACCTTTGAAAGCACTAGAGTGAGTGGATTCACCCTCGATAGAGGCTCCGAGATCCTCGTGCATAATCTCTGTCTTGAGGCCAGCGATGGCCTTGTTGAAGGCCGAAAGCTGGTTTGGTGGGATAACAATATCTGCATCGGAGCCGGCAGCTTTGGGGTATTTCCATGTATCCAGCTTCAGGGCTTTAATGATATCGACAACCTTGGCGTGGTTGCTTTGTTCAGTTGGGATGCGAACAACTTTGTATCCGCTGTAGTTTACATTGGGGACGGCTGCGGCGAGAGCAGACGCCACGAGCGTCGACAGAACAGCGAGCGACTTCATGATGCAATGAGAGAACGACCCAGGTACCAGGCAGTGCTTCACCAGTCCGGAAATTTGCAGGCACGGCCGACTTCAGTATGGTACTTGAACGCCTTGAGACCGCAAAAGACGGAAATAAGAGGAGAAGATCAGTTCTCAGGATTTCGTCAGGACTTTATAAAGAAGGCTATCCCGCATGGATGATACCGGTTTCCTTCGGGAAGTCATCACGTATGATCATATACCGCGTGCCATGCAAGCATGTCCTGCGGAGAAATGATGGTGCAGAGCAACTAATATTTAACGTGCGGAGTATTCCTTCCCACAAATTAGGTGAGTGGCAGCGTAAATCCCAGAGCTGCAATTCTAATTTGAGCCATTTCCACTGGCTGCCATGCACGCTCTCAGCCGAACGGTATCTGGAGTTAGCTTGACGTTTTACTCGCGAAACCAGAGACGGGCGACCAGCCAAAACACCCCCAATTCGCCCCACATTCATAATCGGACGGCAATGATCTTCATCAGGGACGAGTACTCCGTATGTTTCGGGAAACGTCAATCCTCAGTAAATCGGTCGCCGAAGTGAGCCGCCAGGGGTGAATGTATCTGACTGGCCACAGTTTCAGGCGCGCCAGTACCAGACATCAGCCCACAGGACAGAATGTGTCACCGGAAGCCACGCCGATCAATCCCAAGTGGCCTTTTCTTTTTTCATTCTGGAATACTTGGAGTGATCAAACGCGCAGTCAACTAACTTCCATCCTTGTTTCTTGCAGGAAACCACATGCTGTTGAGTTGTTGATGATGAATTTGTTCATGAGACCGACCTGCGAAGCATAAATGGGCAAATGAAACAGCCCCCCCAAACAATTTTAAGTCGACACTAGCTCTAAGAGTTTCAAACAAATGCTTATTTATTACTCTTGTACTCCGTACTATGCGGGCATGAAAATTTGTCAAAGCAGAGCAGCCAGAGGTGGCAAACATGACGAGAGGTTGTGAGTTGACTCCGCATTCCGGAATAGACCTTGATAACCTGCTGTGGTTGTGGGGGGGTTTATCCAGGGACTGGACGAGCCGAAAATCTTGGACGCCGCCGAATCAGCGCTCGAAAAAAGACGTCGAAGAGTGGAAAGGTTGGGTTGCACTCGGGCCGTATCAGGAAGATGAGCATCCTCCAGGCGTTGCTTCCCGTCAAGACCCCACTCCTTCGCCAATGCGAAGATCGACTCAAGATCTTCTGTCGAGGGATTCGGCTAGCGCTAGCTGCGTCCTCAATGTCGCAAGTGATCTTCATACCGGTCCAGGTGGCATCCTCTGACCACGACAGTCGAAACGTCTCCAGCAAGGTCCTGAAGGCCGCTAAATCCTTCGAAGAAACCGACACCTCTCCTGGCTGCTCTCCGTCCAGAGCAACGCTTCACGCCGCCCTGCGATGTGATGGGTCCTTCGACGGAGGTGCAGTTAAGGTTGTCGGGGCGGTGGAGCCAGCTACCCGGCTTCCGGCTCGCTGACTGGCTGTTATTACCCCTGGATTTCACGTGATTATATTGATTACTAAGTTTATTCAGCCAATCAGCGCGCGTTAACTGCTCGCTCACTTTTTATTTTTTTTTCAAAAAAAGGGGAAAAAAAACTGGGAGTGCAAGGAGGATGTATGGATTGTTAACCCCTGCCCCATGCCGTCCTTCCCCCAGTCAAGTTATTCTACGGAGTCCTCTGAAAAAAGACGCGTCACACGACGTCGGGGTTTTTCCGGGGTACGGAGGGCCTTTTGTCGAAAAGGGACCCAGAAACGTTCCTCTTTTGTGCCGGCCGACGACGGCAACGGAAATTCCATGGCAAGCGTCGCGTCTCGTACTCCCGGCTATTTTGTGCAAGAAGCTCGGGGCGACAATAAGGCGTTGGAACCGATGAACCCTCTCGTCAACCAATTGGAAAATAGCCCGCGCTTCTACGAGGACCTTGTTGTCTGCATCACAAGTGAAAGGCGTTCGTCCGCATTTCACAGTATTCGGGGTTACGCGAATGATGCAATGTGTTTGTGAACCCGCCCCCCCCGGTACCCCGTATCCCCCCTACTTCGCCTCAATTATTCACCGAGTTTGTGATCCATATTCTTCATTAACACACTTCATTGCCGTTTAGCAAAAGGGATAATAATGTACATCGAAAAATAGGCAATGGCATTAGCACAAAGGAAAGAGGCGCCGGGCCTCAGAATTATTCAATAAGACGCATAAGCCGTAAAAGAGCGATCCCCTGTTTTTTAAAATAAAAAGATAATCAACGTTTGAAATCTCTATCTTTAGTAATATATGTATATATGAAAGGAGCGGAAGAGAAGGAATAGGTAAAAGAGTGGAAACGGAGTATCGCGCTTGAGTATCCCTCTCTTTCGAGTCATGTTGAACAGAGGAAAATTCTATGTCACTTACACGCCACTATTGTTATACAGCAACCGGTTTGTGGTGTCTCGCCCGGGGTTGCGAATTCGAGGCTGTGATAGGCGCTTGATCCGGTTGCAGACTTGGCCTGAGGAAATCCCTTCAAGGGCCATTAAGTAAGCTCCCACGCCAGCAACATGGGGAGCAGCCATGGATGTGCCAGACAAAACCCGTCTCGCGTTGTTAGGGAACACGGAGGGGATTTGGTCGCCCGGTGCGTAAATATCCACTGAAAGCCAAACAACACCGTCAGCAAGCGCCTTTCGGTCATTTCACTCGTACAGTTGGAGCAACGGTTTATAAACCTACCAACACTCCCAAAATTGGAAAAGTCCGCCCGAGTGTCTCTTTCTGTGCTCGCTGAAACCGTGCATACCCCACGAGCCGAGGCGGGTGAGGTATTCGCTGCGTCTTCCTGCAAAGGGATCAGAACACACAAACTGCCAACGCAGGTTGGGGAGAGGACACAGCATTTTTAGAACTCACCCCATCGTTGCCGGCTGCAACTGCAAGAAAGATACCGGCGTTTGCTGCATTTGTAGCAACCTGGTTGAACGCACGTGCCCCGGTTCCACCCAAGCTAAGGTTCATAACGGCCCTCCCGAGGATGTTGTTTCGTCTGGCATGGTCTACACACCAGTTGATACCGCTAATGATGCCGCTAGTACTCCCACTGCCTTCGGCATTGAGCACTTTAACAGCAACGATGTTAGCTCTCTTGGCCACGCCGAAGTTTCTCCCGGCAAAGGTCCCGGCGGTATGAGTTCCGTGACCGTTTTCATCTTGGTTGACATCGTTAATCTCATTAGTACCCCAAGTAGCGCGTCCCTCGAACTCAGGGTGCCGAATATCAATACCCGTATCAACCCCATAGATGGTGATTCCCCGACCAGCGGATTCATCAAAGATATAGTCACGGTTACCAGGCCTCTTGTTAGAGATTCGTCCCAGTCCATAAGAGGGAGCATTCCTCTGGGTGACGAAGGCGGTAATATTCACCATTCGGTCTGGCTCAACATACGCCACCTAATTCAAGTCAGGAAATTGGGGTTAGTCATGGGCGGTATGATTCATTTCTCACAGCAGAGTTATTTGCTATTTGCTCGATCGTCTCCCGGGCAAAAGAGCCGCTATAACCTTTCATCCCAGTCGCGCTCCAAGTGCGAGATACACCGCTAAACGCTCCTGCACGCTTCCGGGACTTACTATTCATACCAGTGGCCCAAGTTCTGTGTGATTCGAAGTCGGATTCAGAAATTCCCTCATTCATGACAACTATGTACGAATCTGGAATGACGTCGGTAGCGCCGGCGGCGGCATTGATCATCTCACCTGCCTGGGCAGCAGGGAATGCCGTGATTAAAAGGAGAATGGCGCTGGAGAGGAATCCCATGGTTGATGATGGTTAGGAGTACACTTGAGGGCCCTGCGATGAAAGAGATGTTTATCGCTTGGTGACCAGTGGTGAGAAGATGGAAAGAGACAAATATATATCCAAGGCGGCGGGAAGGCATCCCAATGAATTAAGTGTCGGTAGCATCCGCAAACCTGCGACACCTTCAGAGGGAGCCCGATTTACTTTACCCCGGAGGACTCTTCATGCAACGCGAGACATCTCAAACACCCAGTGTACGGTGATTTGTTCCGTTTGCTGTTTTACGCCACAGCAAAACATCATGAGCCTCGTGCAGTCCTCAGAAGAAAGGTGAAATTATTTGTCGGGCTGTAAGATTTGGCTTGGTATAGTGGTATGCCGAATAGACTTGGTTTAGGGGCATACGCCTTCGTGTCGCTGGAGCAAAGCCGGCTTTAACGCCAGGCCATAGCAAACAAAGACTACAAAGGAAAAAGAACATGCTCGGTCCTCACGTGCGGACGATAGATTCAAATCGGCCATGAAGCAGCCGATTAAGTAATGAAAACCAAGGGAATATGTGATTCTATCACATATCTTGAGATTAGGCATATTCTGCCTACTGGCACTCGACATGGAAATTTCCTTTCCGGTGATCGAGTGAATTGTCCTTTGCTGTGTGCTTTGATAGAAGGATCCGACCACCAGGAACCATTCCCAAACCTATGAAGTCAGACCAAGACTCAAATCTCAAACCCTAGTACCGGTGCCACATGTCTAACACACATAGAGCACGTTAAAAATGCGCGCTTTGTGTCTTTCGCGATACCATAGCGCAGACGCCACGCCGTACTCTGATATACAAGCAAGCCGAGCTCCATGCTCTTTAATGGCGGGATGAAGAACGCCGGTCATACGAGGAGGGGAAAAAAAGAAAAGGAAGGAATCTCGACCTCGTTCGACGGGTGGCTTCCCGCTTATCTGAAGCCAGCACACATCCAACCGAAATGCGTTCGAACTCTGAGCGAACCGAGCCGTATCCTGCGACACGACAAGTTCCATCTGCAGCTACAGATGGGTCTCCTTGCTCCCTAAATAGTAGCAGCATGTGGTCTGACCGGACGAGTATCCTCATAAGCGAAGAGGTAAGCATCAGTCATGGCCGCCGCTACCTGCCCTGGCCCCCTAGGAAAAAGTTGTCCGTCCGTCTGCCTTGCCTGTCTGCCCGTCTTCATCAACCAGCAAGCGACGTTGGAAGGCTTGCGCTCTCATTGGCTAAGGTCCCTGTCTGAGCTAACATGCTTAGTCACATAGCTGCAGCCAATCTCGGCAGCGGGATAGGCTATTCACGTGATCATTCCCCTTGCCTCACCGCCTTGCAGATCGCAGGCTGAAACTCGACGGAAAGGAAATGCGCACAGAGCAAGACCGCTTCACACCAGCCAATTCGTATCAGACGGGTATCGGGGCCCCTGTGGTTGTCCCACTGTTTGATCTATTTTAAATCTGCTCCTTCGTGCCGACTGCGCCGGTGAATATGGGCCCTCGGAGAGATTCTGCAGAGCCTGTGGATCTCACCACGCGGGTCGTGAGTGTGGTGACTTTTTGAGATCTGATCACATGCAGATAGTGGACATTACATCATATATTAGTCATCATGCCCTTATCCCGTCACGTGATACGTAGAAAGCTCTTCATTCGTACTCCGTAGTGGTGACTCGATCAAAAAAATAGAGGAATGGAATCAAATTGAACTAAAGCAAATCATGATTGCATAACCTTGACCTTGTCTCAAGTTTGCACCGTGGATCCTTCAACGCAATGACATCTGCGTAGAGAAGAATCACGCTGACAGCAGCAGCGCGGGACGTTGGTTGGAGTATCTCCGTGTTGTCATTTGGGAGTGAGCTCCGCCAGTGGCTGCAGGCGACGAGGGCCTAGACGAGCGGGCGGGGTTAACCGGAATTGGGTATCACAACACCCTCCACGCAGCGCCCCAGAGATATCAGAACCCTGCCGCGTACGCGCGTGTCCGGTGAATCGCAGTTCCCCAATAGGCGACCAAACCGTCTCTCGCCATCAAGCTTCTAAAACAAACTTCTGATCGGTCACACCACCCTTGATCAAGCAACCTTCTGGTCGATTGATTCCAACTATTACCTTTCTGCGTCTGATGGCGCTCGGTAGATGCATTTTATAAATCATAGGCGAAGGTAAAATGAGCCCTTTGGCTGAAATTTTTTAAAAAAGGACCCCAAAACAGTTGCTACCTAGTAGTGAAACCTATTGGCCAGGTCTCAGTCATCCAATCAACCAGATTCGTGACATTTCCATACTCTTCCCCACGGTTGAAATAGGATGGGATAAGAAGTTGTACGGAGTACCAAGAGTGAGGGACCAAGAACGAGCCTGGATTTGGAATTTAACTGGAAGCCAGGGAAAAGACTGGAGAACTTATTTCGTATACTGGTGGGAGACATGGATCGGCGTCTGTGTCTGTGACCCTAAGGTAGTTGCCGAAAGACGACGAAGCAATGCTATCGATTACAAAGTTCTTCTCATCGGTACCCTTGTTGCTATCGCTCGCTGAATGTCCGTGGCCTTTTCTTGGGTTCAGAGAGAGAAACATGGCGCCCAGCTATAAGATCGGGATACTCTTCCCGATGGAAGGCGCAAGTATGTGGCAAAAAAAGATTGATCCAAGCATGTTGCGAAGCCTGATCGCCGTTGGGAGCAGTCATGTTTTTAAGAGTACATAGGCAGCCGTGCCTAACGCAAGCAGCTTGATTGGGGGAACTCGAGACGACTCATTATTTGTCGAAGACCCAACTCCCGTTCACAAGGCACGTTTCTTCTTCCTTCTCCGCATTTCGTCCATCTAACGACGATACTGGGTATGTTAGCATGCGAATCTGATTGGGGTCTCCCGATGCAGACTGCATACGTGCTTGTTGGGACGGCTACACACATATGGGCCACGTTGGTAATCATAACTGGGCTGGTCAACCCTCCGTTTCTTCATTATCATGCACGCCGCTCGATGCATGATTGTGGAAGTGGATGGAAGGAGGGGCTCTAGAGCCGCTACGATCGTAGTTATGGTGGCATTGACGAGGCTGCAGCGCCTGTAGCTCACTCAGAACCTGAACTGTGCAGGTGTCCAGCTGGGATGAAGACAACAGCAATGCAGAGGGACTATAAGCATCTGGTGCGAAGCACTGTTGTCATTTCGCAGTATAAATCTCTTCAATTCCCACCCAGGGGCGTCGTTTTTACTTATCCACATGTCCCTCTTGACCTAGTAGAGTGAAACTAGAAGAGCGAAACAAAGCGAATGCCTTGATTCATGGGAAAGAAACTCCCTAACTATAGATTCTCGAAAAGGAAAGGTCGAACTGTCTCAAAAACTCAGTCTATCATTGATAACGCCATTGCTAGGTTTTCTCGCAGATATTCAACCTATAAAGACACAGTGAGTTGGTTTGAACATGTCATAAGCTCTGTGAAGGGAGAGGGGAGGGACTTATCCCAATCTAATAACGTTTTCCACCGCCAGATGCCCTCAGTTAGCGGAGTCGCTCCTGCAGCTAGAAGTGAACTATATAGTAGGGATGCCCAGATTGTCATCGAAGAGCAATTCCAGACAGTCATGGACTCTTTTCAGAGGCTCTTTGGGATATTCAGCGTGGTGAATAAATCCGTGTATTATCGCGATTTACTCCACCTCGAACAGGTCATGGGCGCAGAACTGGACAAAGAAACACATCTCCGAAATTTGACGAATGCGGTGTCAGCAGTTTCCCAGACAAAAGATGAGGAGATTAGAAAGCTCGCCGAAGAAAACGAGAGGTTAAAGACGGAGCATGAGACCTTCGAGGAGAACAAGAAGACCTTTAAAGCTGAGAAAGAGGAGTTTGAGAAAAAATGTCGCGACATGGAAAAGAACTACAAGAGTCGGGAGGAAGAGCTTGAGGAGAGGTTTAAAGAAAAACGTAAAACTGCGGAAGAACTTCTTAAGAAACGTCTTGAGAGGGAGAAGAAGGCGGTGGAAGAAAAGGTGGAAAGCGAACTCGAGGAGCTCAAATTCAGGAACGCAGAACTGAAGATGAAACTCGAGACAAAAATGTCCGAGTCCGAACTCAAAATTGAGAGGTACGAGGCGTACGAAAAACTGCAGAAGGAAAAAATCAACGACCTGGAATCAAAGCTGCAAGTCGTTGACCCCAGTTATGCGATGAGCAAGAAGTCCAGCACATACTAGTAAGAGAGAAAGCGCCCTCTTGAGCAATAAAAACATGAAAAGCTAACCTCCATCTGCACAACCAGTCACGAGATCTTCGGGAAATTTTCAGATAAGATTGCGAAGATTGCGGACGATCATTTTGGAAAAAGCCCACCCGAGGATCACATAAACATCGTACGTCCTCCGTATTACCAATATGAAGATGATTTTGGTTCCTTTTTTTCTTTTTTTGGCTAACAGCGCAATAGATGCAACTTTTAGGACAGCAGCACAGACTTTCTGAGGTCAGTAAAATATTCAATTATGCTTCCAGTTCGGAGACGGAAGTCGCAGCAAACCTCAGAAAGTGCGCCATTCGCCATTTCATTGCATCTCAAGTCGCTAAGGTGCTCATGAATTCACCCTTCTCCCCAAGGACATCAGATCGGGACAATAAGGGTCTGCAAGCTATTCATGACTCATCAAAACTCAACAATCACCAAAGGATGTTGTGGAGAATGATCACTTTGAGAGCTATTGATAGCCGCGCCGGGTTTACAGCATGGGCGAAAGAGCTATCAGCGGAGGCCATGGAGAAGATTCAATACCTCGTCGAAAACAAGCAGCATAGTAAAATCAAAAGAGAGCTGGCAAGCCTGTTCGAATTTACACTTGATGTGTGGGATATAACGATGAGAGACGGGCGTAATTTGGTGATCAATACGCACCCGCCCAGCAAGCATAACGGGACGTGGAAGTTCATAGACAACCCTTTGCCTTTCAGCAACGGAAACGGTAGCACTACAGCAACTGCAGCACCGAGAGTCGTAAAACAAGAGTCGTTTGCCATCTTCCCTCGGATCACAGGGGAGTTTGAAGTGGAAGGAAAGAATGAAGATATGAAAGAAGAGATTCTCCATCCGGGAATTGGGCTCTTCTCTGATTCTCCTGTGTTCGAGCTGGGCCTAAGGGAATTCCAGGAGCTTAAGAGAGAGGTCAACAATTCCCATAAGCGACACGCATCCATTTCGTCCCCAATAATAGCAGAGCCGCAGCAGCTATCACTTGACACAGGAGCTGGCAGGCCGAGAAATGGATCGACCTAACCGTTGGCATTGGCTGGAAAAGGGAAAATGAGGAACATGACCGATGAGTTTCAACTTGGATGATAGGTGTCCCCATGTCGTTGTCGACTTCCGCTTTCCAGAATTGCACTCCAATTGCTCAGCCCCACGGAAGCGTTTCATTTCATCGGTAGTCAAAGCAGCTGGGGCGAAGTCAGCGCAAACAGGCAACAAAGGGCCTCAGCACCATGCCTAGGCTAGAAAGGGAATGGGACTAGTAATAATAGTAGTTAGTAATGATAATTTATCAAGGCCGCCATTCCACATATTCACATTCATTTTGCATAACTGACGAGATCGGTAATATTGGCACTTCTGTCTCCTCCGCCCGGTGGGTGGTCTTATCGCACTGTTGGTAAACTGCGGGGAAGTATGTCGGTACTTCATTGGCGAGAGCGAGATTCCCGGTAGCCATGGACCGCCCAGCTCTTTGCGTCGCAGGTGACTCCGACAGACTCGAGCCTTGAGGGTGTGCGTATCCAAGTGTGCGGCTATCGGACGACATTAGTGCTGCGAGAGCGTTTTTGACCTGTGAGGTTTACGCACAAGGTGCAATGGAGCTGTCTTTGAAGGATAAAACTGTCTGGAGAGTAGTTACAGAGAAAACAATAAACGTACTCCATATTTAATCGCTAAATATATATATATATAAATATAAATATAAAATAATAATAATAATGAAAAATAGAACTAATTTTGCCCGAATTTCCTTGTGTCCTTCAGGCCCCAAGGGAGTGATTGGCGCCAAAACGGACGGCTTCAGCAATCAAGCTCGCACAAACACCCAAATCTAAAAATATTTCTGGGAGCGGACATGACTCACCATTGGTCTGAAGCTGAGCCCCAGGAGTCTCCTTGACTTGTGTGACTGGGGCTGGGAATCGTATTTTGTGCGACGTCGACGACCTACACGTTAGGCGGTCGATTGGCGCGGGGAACTCTGCGGGCGAAGAGGACCCTTGGCCTCACCACAGTTAATCTCGTCCGTCCCAAGGCCAGCGACAGGCCCGGCAACAGAACGGCGGCCTGGGTCTCACTGCCATCATTCTTCAGCCCCCGTTTTAATAATCATAATATCACCGCTAGTTGGACGGATCTGCCGATAGGGCTGAAGCACTAACCCACCCGTGAAGCATCGAATGTATGTCAAGCTGGGCTTGCTGACCCAGCTCCAGAGCCGCTGATCCACCCCTCGTCCACCTTGCGCTGCTTGAAGATGTGTGAGGTTCGTGGATCTCCCTTTTCTCGACCGCGTTTCCCGCCCAGACGATGCGTTCTCCTCAGTCTTTTGGTATTATCATAGTTAAATCAGCTGCACAATTTCACCTGCTTCCCCCGATGCCCCTGTCGCCCACGGTGCCGGGAGCTTGGGAGAAACCCCAACCGCGTCCTCAAGCACCAACCCGCTGGAACACGCACCCTCACGCCCCGCTCGAGTATGCATTGAAGAAAACTGGTTCTAACCCTGTCGCAGTTGGCTCCTAGCCATGGCATCAGTTTATCCAGACTTAGATACCCCCCTTCTTAAGGTCAGCCGGCCCGTTGCAGCATGCTCCCGGTGCCGCAATGCAAAGATCAAATGCGACGGCAAGCTGCCCGCTTGTTCCGCCTGTGAGAAAGCAGGAAGAGGCAGCAGCTGTTCCGGCGCCACAGATAAGTTTGCCAAGGGCAAGGAAAGAAGCTACGTCGCCTCGCTCGAAGCCCAATGCGAGCGACTCGAAAAGAAGATCGAGGCCACCAAACGGCGTCAGCAGGGAATTGTTGTTGCGCAGGCTGACCGGGAGAATGTCGGCGTACATGCAACGCCGACGGCTACTACTTCATCCTCCAACAGTGGAGATGCTACCTACGGCCAGGAGTGTTCTGACATTGATGATTTAGTCGGCGATTTTGGCTTTTTGTTCGTTGCTCCTCAGACCCAGAGTCCTCAACCCCCCTCCCATTTCACGAGCTGTGTTATGCTTACGGCACTTACAGGGCTGTAAATGCGACCTCCAGGGATTTCTATGGAATCTGTTCTTCCACCTCATTCGCCGGCTTACTCCTTACCGTTGCTGTCGCGCAACCACTGCCGCGGCCAATCCCACGCATCGGGTTGCCGCCCCATTCTCAGGTTGCGAGTCTTACCCTGAGCTACTTTGATAACTTCTATCCATTGATGCCATTTTTGTCAGAAACAAACTTCTGGGCTTCTGTGGATGCTATCTACCAAGATAATGGCCGCTTTGCAAATAGTCACGATCATTGGACGCTACGTATGGTGCTGGCCATTTCCGCCGCCTCAAAATCAAGACTTATGAATGATCGAGACAGTCAGATAGCAATGTCCTATGTGCACGTTGCACTTGGTCATTCCGAAGATGTCCTAAAGCCAGGCACCATTGCCGGAATCCAGGCCATCTTGCTTCTCGCACAGTATTCCATGCTTAATCCGGGTCATTTTAGGACATGGTACCTTATTGGGATCGCAGCACGGGTAGCCACTGACCTAGGCATTCATCAAGAGCACGCCTCCGCAGCCTACCTCGACAAAGCTGTTTTGGATTCTCGCCGAAGAACTTTCCACTGTGTATATTCTCTCGATCGGTATGGATCCGTGTTCCTAGCCACTCCATTTTTCCTTTGCCTAAAGGCTAACACTAAGACATGCGGGCATAAGAACCGTGAGCACAGCTTTGGGTCGGGCATTTTCATTTTCGGATGACTCCATCAACGTCCCATTTCCACCCGATCCGCCGCTTTCTGCCCCCACGCCGCCCTGGCACAGCGGCCTATTTCTCAGGAGCATTGAACCTGCATTGTGTCTCTTTCAAATACGCCACTTTCAATCGGCTGCTTATCAAGACATGTTTCTAAGTGGGCACCAGCATTCACCTACTGCGCAATCGTGTGCCTGGGAACGTTGTTCAGCGGCAGCGACCTGGTTCCAAAATTGTCCCAAAGACGCACCAGCGCATTTCTCTACCTTGTTTCACCTCGAATACCTTTACACCCTTATTCTCGTGCTATCTCCATCAAACCGCTCTCCAACAATCAGCGAGACGAATCAAATTCTTCTTTTCGAATATTCCATCGACTTTATCTCCCAGCTATATAATGAAGTTACAACTCCAACAGCTTTCGCCCCACTTCTCACATACATAGATATCGAACGCACCTACTACGTAGTATGCAAATTATTCAATCTTCTCCGTCAAAATCATCATGAACTCTTGCGAGACAAGGACGCTGAGCAACGAAAGCTTCAAAGATCACGTCCTATTGGGGGAGCTCTTCCCGCACCATTAAGAACGACCGCCACATGCCGACAAGATTCGACGAAGCGGGCCCTAACATGCCTATATGAGGCACATTCGATATTCGAATATGCGTTCCGTCGTTGGAATGTGCGCTCCTTATTGGATGGCTTCAATCACAGCTCTATTGAGCTTCGAGTGATGCTGTCATCGATGCTCGAGCAGCAGCAGCAGCAGCAGCAATACACTCAACCTGCACATGGAGCCGTTAAACAATCGCGTTTGCCCAGGTACTAGCCTGCTTAGTGGCTGACAACATCAAACAAACATATCTTGGATATCTGACATCTACGGAGAACACGTCTCTCAAGGCATCTGTCCAGCTCTTTAACGGGTGTCTATCATTTCTATACATCTTCCCATGAGACATATAACTAGGACTCCCTTTGTTTCGCCCGTTTAACTAGCTTCTCGATTTCATTTGTTCTGCAGAAGAGGGGGTTGTGCCCCCGAATGTCATGATCCTCTGACGCGAGCATTCCTATACATTGGCTTGGATGATCAAAAGCAGCCCTATCCGTTCTGCCTTTCTCTTTGAAACTGTTTAACTTTCTGCCATCACCCTTGACGGCGATAGCAGGTATAGCATAGCGCTTTTTAATCAAAGTTCTCACATTTCTGTACATGAGCACGCGCTTTCCTATGCATAATATCCGCACAGGCTGCACTTGCCTCGCACATTCCTGCAGCACAAATATATGAAACGTGCAAAGAAAGAGCAAGCCAATGGCCGACTTCATTCCCGGGAAAGCCAGCAGGCCATCCGATCATAACAAGTCGGCCATCTCAACGATGATATTCACGAGCCCTTGCGCAAAGCACCGCCGGAAGAGTTCGCCTCTCGAATAGGACTGCAATTTTATTTTTTGAGTTGCCTATCGCTACACTACAAAAGAAATGTATTGGCCATTGGCCTGGGCGATCTTCACCACAAGCAGCCTTATGATATATGGTAAATTCCCGGCCCTTGAAGGAAAATCTCACCTACTAAAAGGCGTTATACTTCAGCTAGATCAATAACAACACATGCCGCTCCACTTGACGGTGGAAAGAACCCGCAGATCTCCCAATCAAGCCTCGAGACCGTCGAGACGAGCCGTGAGGAACTCGACAAACTCCTCTCGACAGATTCTAGTGACGGTTTTCGCGGCGATCCCATCAAACCATACGGCGGTAAGGTTCCAATACATAGGAATAGTCTCCTTCGTTCCGAGCAATTTAGACGGTTGGTCGGCGATCTACAGACCTGCGGCACGGACCTCCTCCCGTATGGATCTGAAGATTTCCTCGCAAGATCTACCGAAGTAAAAGGGTCAAGTATAAGATCTTGTCGGGAGGCGATATTCACCTTCCTCAAATGGACCAAGGGCGATAATCCGTACCTGAATCTTTCGAACGTCAGTCGTGCACAGTTGATTAAAAGTGCGTTAGATGGTGATTGCGGATGTGCGTATCTGCCCAGTTCGGAGCTGACGTTTTCGAGTCTACGCCATGGACATGCAAAACGAAACAACATCGATTCCATGGATGATCCTCCCGCTCATGGTCACACACAGTGTAAAGGATCATCAAAGATACCCAGGGCTAACCCACTTGAGATCCCCGATGTGCCAACTCCATCACATCTACAAGCTTGCGAAGAGAAAATGTGTAGAATCGGCGACTTGGACAAAATATGTACTCAGCCCAAATATCGAATGACTATGGCTGAGATCGGGGTTTGCAAGATGTGCTACCCCAAAAATGAGGAGCAGCTGCGACTTTACTGCATTGTCCGTGAAAAACGGGAGAGGAGGGCCTTTTTTGTGGCGTCTGCGATGGTAGCCATATTCGCGATCGGCGTAGCGGGGGTAATCGTTTTTAATGACTGCGTTCAAAAAAGGGCGAGAGAGGCATCTAGCAATATGGGAGAGGGAAGGATATATCCGCTTCGATGCTGCGGTCTCTGGGATTTTCTCAAACGGCCCTGGGCTTCACGGGTTTGCGGATACTTCAAGCGCGGCAGAGAAACAACAGGTGTCGAGGGATCTACATTCAACAGAACAACCGTTACAGAGGAGGCGGTACTTGCTAAAACTTTCGAGGACGGAAACAGCACGAACGCCGATCATTCCAACGGGTACGAACTCGAAACTATCGATCCCAGGGCCCTGAACAGTTTTCGGAGAGTCGGGACGTATGGGAATTGGGCAATAGGAAGTACAATTCCTGCTGTGCCTCAAGCCGAGAGACCCAATATTCAAAGGCGATTCGCAACGACGAACGTCTCGTCAGCTTGGATGTCTTCCAGAGAAAGCTTTGACATCGATGATGTTCCATCTCCGTCTGCGTGTCCCACAGAACCTAGCTCTTCACTTCAAACTGGCAACGCCCGCAGCGAACGCTGAACGATATGATTGGGGGCGTAACCGAAAATAAGATTCTTGTATTGTGAGGCGAAACGACGAGGAGTCAAGCTGCGGTTAGCTATCATAGGTGGCAAATTTGGTTTTGTCTCAGCTAATGGCTTCAAACACTCACAATCCCTTTTTGAGTCCAGATCCTTTGTTCGTTACTTGGGTACTTCGTATTGAATACAAATACTCCGTAGTTACACAATATCAGACAAAGCTCTAGCAGTGGGACGATTTACCTCAGGATACAGTCACCATTCCCATGACTTGAACGGCAAAGCATATTCCCTGGTCGAAGAAAGGAGGCCATTCTGTGGAGTTGAGAACAATCTGTAGTCGACCGTGATCACCAGAGTCGATATGTCTAACTCGCTTCAGCAGTTCAGGAGGGTTAATCATTTTCCACTCCTAACAAACTATCTAACTAAGTGATGTCTGAGACAAGAGATACTCCACACTGTCAAACCACACCAATGACTCCCGAAGTCCCTGTTCTTCTCAGCTTAGGTTGAGATATGCACATATATGTACTCCGTATATCCGGAGAATATAAGATATTTCATACATGCCTTGCAAGACATTGTGCATGCAAGCCCCGCCCCGTCTCCCATTTTAAGTCATGAAAACATGAGGTTCATTTCACATATGTACTCTGTATCCAATCCTCAAAACAATCGTCCTACCTTTGATCTTTGCCAATTTGCTTCTTTCTTTCTTTCTTTCTTTCTTTCTTTTTTTGCCTTCCTCTTTGGCTTTATAGATCCTTCGTCCTCTCATCGCTTCCCTGGATCCAGGCGTCCAGCTTCGCGCGATCTCTCACCTTGAATCCGACTTTGAACTGCTTTGGATCAAGCGTCAAAGCACACTTGTTGATACCGGCCTCGAGACAATCCAAGATCGGATCGTCAGCGCGGTTCTTCGCCGGAACGATTCGGAACGCGGAGATGAGGCGCAGGAAAGCGGTGTAGAGTTCTCGGTTGGCGAGGTGGGAGCCAGCGCACATGCGGCTACCAGCGCCGTAGGCGTAGTGTGGCGTTCCTGCACCATCGGAGACGTTGAGGTAGCGTTCGGGGCGGAATTCGTAAGGGTTCTTGAAGTGGTTCTCGTCGTAGTCGGCGGCATAGGCGTTCTGTGAAAAAGACATAAGTGAGTTAGCGTTCATAGCTGGAGGAGGGACAGCCAGGATGGCACTTGTGGGGAGGGAAAATACCATGAAGAAAGTAGTTCCAGCGGGGATAGTTGCTCCCTTGTATTCGATGTCCTTGATACTGACGCGTGGTAGGCAGATGGGGATGACGGTCCAGAATCGGAGAACTTCCTTGACAAAGGCCGTGATGTAAGGGACTTTCTCTTCGACGAGACATCGCTCCCAGGCATCGCCATCGGGGTAAACCTTCATGATCTCCTGATAAGCGCGTTCCTGGATCTCTTGGCCATGCGCAGAGGCGAGATAAGCGATCCCCATAATCAAATTGCCGGGAACGGTATCGAGACCGGCGGACACCATAGTCAAACAGATAGACTTGAGCTCAGCTATATTGATACAGTCAGCGAAACTGCCTTAAGAATCATTCGAACTACAGGAAGAAAAAAAAAAAAAAATACTCACCTTCATTGAGCTTGGCCTCTGGATCCTTCAAAATATTTCCGGTAATACATGGTTTATCGGTGCCCTTCGCAATTCGGTCTCTCAGCATATCCAAGAGTAAAGACAGATATCTATCACGACGCTCTCTGAACTCCTTGGCTTCATTGTTGCGGCTGGGCCATAGCCGCAGCAACGGAATATAATCCTGCCAGTTGTTGCTGGTGCTTCGGAAGTTGCTGACCACGCGCTCGACATGGCAAATTTCCTTCAAGAGTTCGTCTTCGATGCTGCCGTCGATGCGGATACCGTAGTTCAGGGTCAAACTGGTGTTAAGGGCAAAGCGCTGGAAGTATGGGTTGGGGTCCACGTCCACGGTTCCATCTTTGCTGTCGTTCAGCAACTCCTTGATGCTGACTGTGGATTCGAGGTCGATGATTGGCATGTATGATTGAACCGCAGGACGGTTAAGAGCGGTGGCAGCAGCCTTCCGGCGGCGCTTGCAAGATTCATCCCATGGAGAAGTGCCAATGGTGAACCCCTGTGAACTTGAGACGACGGTATGGAAAGTATGAAGAGTTGGGCGGGAGATTAGGGATGATTGGTGAGTGATCCAAAAGTGTTTGACGGAGTCAAACGTGTTTGCAAAAATGATTCTCTGAAAAGGAACAAGTTGACCTCAGTCAGTCGAAATTCTGGATCTCACTCCTCCAGGGGGGGTTGTGTTCTTCACGTACCTTATTACCAAGTCGGACCTGGAAGACCTCTCCGTATTTCTTCACCCAGTCTTGGGCCTTTTTCGCGTGGGAGTCTCCGAGCTGTATCAGGTTCCCGAACATCGGTACACCTGGAATCTCCGGGAGATTCTTGATCTTCGGGATGTCGGTCTTATTCAATTGCTTGATCACAAAGTAGACCACCGCCACGACGGCGATGGCTATCGTCTGATAACCCATGTTTGGCAACCTGTGCACCACCGCTCTCAGAGATTCAGACCAAGGATGGCAATGACGGAAACGGAATGTTCGATAAAGACGAGCAAATTGAGGTGCTGGCTGACCCGGGGGGCAGATACCGATGGGCCGCTGCAAGCGAATTCGGAAGAGTGTTCTCTTCCCTGAGCCTACATGCAGAGAACTAATCCAGCCACCGAATGGGTTGTGCAATATCCGAGTCTGCAGCTACGGGTCACAGCGAGTCTTGAAAAGAAAGGAAGGTCGTACCGGGATCAAATAAATACCCAACGATCCAAAGGCCGGAATTTCGACTCAGCGTCATGAATGGAGGCCACGGGAGTTCGTGAGAAAATACGTAACAGGCGCTGCCGTCTCAACCTATTTGACTTGGGGTGTCCCCGCATTTACCCACAGCCCCGTATAGAATCTCGCTGAGCGCGGAGGTGTGATTCGTACGGAATTCCGCACACGATGATTCTACAGCTCAGAATCCCGTTCTGAGGGACGAAAGCCAAGCATATTTCTATGCATAACTAAGCTTCATCGAAGGTAGAATCTCTGACTGTGGCCACGCCGGCCATACAGTATACGACCCCCTAAACGCGAAGCAGCAATTGCGACGAACGACGAACGATGATAAGAAAGCTGCACATCCCGAAGCTGGCCGGCACGCCCGGGCTCAACGCCAAACCCCACACCACTGCAAACCTTCCCCGGCGTTTCCGGCTTGGCGCTGGCCCGTGCGGCAGCAGTTTGATGGCGCGGAATTTCCGCCGTTGCGCGTTTTCCCCCGCAATCAACATAGCCGGATCGGGAGTCGGCGGCGGGCGGTGCCGACGACGAAGCCGAGAGCTGGCAGTCAACGCGCACATCAAAGATGCCTTTCTAACTGTCATGTAACTAGCTATATTACTCTGTACAGCAACTCTGATCTGTTCCCGGGAGCTACGGTGATATCTGTCGTCCAAGTGCCCCAGCGGCTAATGCCACTTGAAGGAAGCCAGATGTACTCCGTACAGCGAGCTAGAAATCCCCGATCGTTGGCAAACGGCGAAGAGATCCACTTGGTGGAAAAATCGACCCCATGCCTCACGCGCCTGTCACCCGCCCAAGCGACAACGTAAGGTTTCATTCCGCACTTGGAGCTGTACCCCAAGCCCAAGCTTCCTGCCCAGGATGCGAGCTTTTCCCTATGCTTCACTCGAGATGGTGGTTTTGATAAAAGACTTTATTGGGGGGAGGAGGGAAGAACGCCGAAATAAGGCCGTTGGAGAAGTCGATCTGATGCTAATATCCACTTTGGGCTACGGGGCAACTAGTCACTAAATTACATACTCTGCGTTTACTACGTAGTCATCTGCAGGATTATGGCTCCGCATAGCAAGCCGGATACGGAATGCAGACCATCAACATTTTGAATGCCTTCCATGGAGATCATTGCCGCCATGTGATAAGCTTGGGAAAAATTTAGTCTTTCGATAACGGGGCTTTGCATGATTTTCATCTCGCATGGCGCGGTGGAGATCTACATCCCTCGCCCCTGTGAGAACCGCCATCATCCAGGAACCGCATAGATGGAATTCGTGCCGCTGGGCCGACTGATCTTGAATATCGGTCCAGGACACCGGTCCCAGTGCCGTCGACCGGAATGCCCTCGCGCGCTGGGTAGCGGCAATTGGGATGGCAAACACAGCAGGGATTCGAGGTGCCAATTTATCCTGCTCCTCTGCGAATGGGGAGCTAAGAAAAAATCAATATAAGGGACTGGATGATACCCTCTTGAAGAAACATTCATATTCATGTCGGAAGCGAGACGCGCGTGCATTCCTCAACATAATGATACGGAACGATACCATCCTGGATACTCTGTACACCTCACAAAAAGAAAATAGATCTCAGGCGTTGAGCGATAAGTGCGCACCTTATACGGAGTACATACAATGCTTGATTGTGAGTACAGATACAGACACACATGAAAACTCCAGCACCCTTTGATCAGCATATCACAGGATTTGCTACTGGCCTTGGCTATAGTGAAGGCTACTCACACCTTCGCCCGTTATCAAAGCCCAACTCGCTTGCGGCTTCTACTTATCTGGATCAAGATATCGTTTTGCAATGGTCGAATTAGAGCTAAAAGTATTGCTGTCTCCCTGCAGATGTATGGTTTGACAGTTGAAGTGAAGCGACTTTGTCTTGTACGACACTACGTCCTGTACATGTGTGCGGTGTTTGTTGGAACCAGATGAGTGACAAAGAGCGTCGCAGCAGGCTCAGATTCGGCTCAGATTGGAGACGGAAAGATTTGAAAATGACCCGAAAACTCAAAAAGAGAGATTTTGCTGATCAGGATCCCGATCAGCGTCAGAATGGCAAAACGAGATGTTTCTGATTTTCAGCTTGTCCGCCTAGCATTTCAAAACTGGCCGTGAATTCGTATTTGCTGACCAGTCTCCCGTCCAACATGAGGGTCACAGCAGATTCAGCGACAAGAAATAGCAAATGAATCCATGACCGAGGAAAACCAAAGCGCCCTAGCATCGATGCACGTGAAACCACGGAGCAGTGAACAGTTACCAGGCCATTACTCGCTAGGCTGCTCCTAGTTGAGTCAACGGATCAAATTGCTTGCAATATCAACTCGCCTTGCCAGTTTGGAGGAGTGCATTCTCAAGCTTCTGGAAGGCTTGGCGGAGCATGCACTCGTCTTGGCGATGCATGACAGCTGAGCGAGCAGGGATGAGGGCGTCGCGCAATATGGCGCCGTCAAGAACACACGTCGAGCTGTCCAGACAGATCATGCATGCGGATGCACGGCGATGGAAGGCGAAGGAGCGCTTTACATGCAAGGATCAATACTACATATGGGGGTAATCATCTCATGGGATCATCCCAGCCAACAACTGTGGCTTGCCCCTAATCTTATATGGCTCGACGGAAGACATGGTTTCGAGAAAAGAGAATTCCATCCTTTTTTTTCAACAGGAAAATTTTCACTCCACCTGGATCGTGCATTTTAACAATCTCAACAAAAAAAAAAAAAAGTTAAGTTTTCATGATCCTATATTACTTATAGGTCGGCATCTTAAGACACTCTGAGCTCCCCTTCTCATCTCATTGCTCATTTGACGAACGCTTTCCTGTAGAGCTATCATCCGATTTGTCGGAAGATCTGTGAAGCTACCTTCGGAAAGACGACGAAGAATGTGGAGGAAAAAAAAAAAAAGAAAAGAAGACAAGCACTTGTGTGAGTTAGTGGCAGGTCACCTAGCATCAACGAAAAATCGACTTTTCTGTGCGATCACGCAAGAGAATAAAGTATGGGATTCCGAAGTAACTCGCTGGTGCAACTCGATGACGGTGTGGATGCGGGTGAAACAATCGTCGCACCAGTCAGAAAATGTCTGCTTTCCCAACCGCGACTCCCTTCCGGTCGATCTATGGAGAGCGGTGAATGCAGTCAGCCGCAAATCGATGTGAAGCACCCACATGAAATGCCGACCGTCTGAAGGCGTGATCTCAGGCAATGCACCCCCAAGGTGCCTCGCTTCAAGGTTAGTTTTACCCAGCATATCGCTGTCAAGGTAAATTATGATCATCTCAAGATCGGGATGCTGGTTTATTTTATTTTACTTTATTTTCCTTCCCTGTCTTTGCATTCTTTTTTGCAATGCATCCACCCAATACCCCGTATATCCTACCTCTTTCAAGTGTTGTTTTTTCTCGAAATTTCTGCTATCTTTCGAGAAATCATAACGGGTGCAAGTAATTCGAGACAAGGACTCTCGTACGGAATATTTCCATGCTCGGTCAAGTCATTTAATACCTATGGCAGTGAACCCGGTTTTGCCCTGTCAGCCAATTATGCGGCTAAATAATATGTTGGTTTTGAATCCCGGGGGGAGTTTTAACATGGATACCCATGGGAGATTCCATAATGCGATTGCGTATGTGTGGCCATAATCTCTTACCAGGGGTATCTCGATCTTATTGGACGTTGGAATTCACACGAGCCAAGGTCGTAACTCGCACTCTGGGGTTCCCACCCTCTGATTGATCTTCTGGACGTCTCAACGGCGTTCCTTTTTTCTCCACGTTTGGCCGCGAATTGGTTCGCGTTCGCCTATCCTCCGCTGTAGATCCGCATGGTTGTTCTAGGGCGTCAACCCTTGGAACGCTTCTTTGCGGTGGGGGGCATTTTGTTGTCCGGTATTCAATACGGTCAAAACAATTTCCTCGCACGCCGCCTTTCACTCACAAAATAAAAATCTCCGTCCTTGAGTAAAAGAGCAAAGAGACGAAGCATCCTTCGTATCGTTTGCAGTCGATGAGCGATTCGCGAGCGAATCTGGGGTGGCATTGCTTGGCAAAAGCTTCATCTTCAGCGAACCCCCCCAAGGAGGCGAACTCCCGTCAAATTGAAAGCATGGCTGTGTCCACCTGCTGCTGGAAGCGTCAGGCATTGCTGACCCTGGTCTCAGGCGCTATCAAGGGGGGGTCCCCTCTGGTCATCATCCACGCGCCATTGAGCACCATAGCCGCCCCTTGCTCAAGTGTTACATCGAAATAGCCGTGGCTCCACATAATATTGGTCGGCGGGTACGAAGGAAGGAAATCAGCAGGACCCGGTACAAACAAGGAAGCCCAGGAAAGCAAGGAGGTTATCCACATATAAAAATTGGAAAACAGCCTTTCAGACGGAGCTGCAAAGGCTGGTGGAGTGCCAACAGGTTATCTTCAAATTCAGCCTCCATGGATTTTGGACGAATATCGATAGCGATATTCGTGCGAGATGGGAGGCATGTATCAATCGATACTCTCACAGGCAACGCGACCAATAGCTTCTAAGGAAAAAGAGAACCGAAGTGATGGAGTCATCACCATATGCAGGACGCAAAAACGAAACCCCAAAGATTTAGCGAGGGCTAAGCTTTGGGGAAACAAAACGGGCTACATGTCCTCGAAGTCACTCGGAAAAGTGCGAGAGGCGATTTCAGACCTTCGGCTATTTCAAGTATTCAAAGTTGTCAGCCACTTAACTTACCATGCCGTGATGGCAGCTGCAAGTAAACTGAAGGTGGTAATTTGTTCGGACAACTTAATTCTGATCAAGTTCCCCTCGCCGAAAACGTGTAACAACGCCCGGGCGTACCCCTTTCCCCCTGTTGCATCACTGAGCGCTAGTTAACCTCTCCAGCTTGGTGGCTCTTTTTTGTATATTGCGTGTGGGGTGCGGTGCGGGTGGTTGCTTTCGACGAGGGCGCCGTAACTACAAGCCAACTAACATCTAGAACGACACAGGTGGCCGCACGAGAAGCCCAGGGATCTGTGAGAAAGCCGACTTTAGCCCGCGATGCTACTCACCCAGAAACGGAGATAACATTTGCTCTCTGCTGCAAGCAACAAACGTCTGACCACCCTGATGGTTTTTGATGATTGGCGCCCGCCAGGCTAGGGCCTAGGAGGTAGGTTTGTAGCCGCCGCCCACTAAGCCACTTTTCCCAGGAGTTGGATCCCCATGTCTACCCGTTTCCCACCACGGAGACCATTTCCTGCTTTTTATTGTCTCAGATTGTGGATCCGATGTGACCTCCTCCCGGGCTATTCTCCGCTCGACCAGCGGAGACCAACGTGCCCATGCTTTCCCCGCCGCGAGATAGAGCTTAATATATCTTGTCCTGTTTCCCTCTTCCTCCCTCCCTTGGCCGCCTTTCCTTCCGTCCTCTTAAACCTGTCTGCTACTTTCCTTCTCCCTTGGCCACGTTGGACTAGGTTACGTCCCCAATTAACCCACCATGTCCGACAGCGACGTCAATGTCGACGTCACCTCGACGGACAATGAAAAGCGACCAACTCCTCCAGCCCGGGTCTATGGCCTGGCTGCCCGAGTCGATCCTACCGTTACCTTCGAGGAATTTCGCTACTGGGCGAAGCTCCAGCGTGCAGAGGAACGAGAGGAGAACCTTCGATATATCGAAGAACAGGGCCCTATGACGCTATCCAAGATGATCAAAAACCGATTCTCCCACGGAATCCACCATGAGAGGAAGAAGAAGGAACAGAAGGAAGCAGCCAGACGGGAAGCGCTACAGGTCACTGCGGAGAGTAACGGCGAGCAGGAGCAAAACCCGAAACAGACCGCGCGTGAGGAGACGATGACAGTGACGGAGGAGGAATGGAAAACAGCCAGCAGGGCGCTCAAGACAGCGGGCTGGGGCAGCGTTTTCTATCTGATCACAACCGATATTCTGGGCTGGGAGACCACTGCGTATGTAATCTTCTCTTTGAATGTCTCCGTTCACCCGAGTTCCAGGCCTAGTCTAATCTGGCCTGGGGAAATCTAGGTTCGTGTTCTCCAGTGTAGGATTCGGCCCCGGCGTGGCTCTGTACATCATCTTCGGTTGCTTCGCCGCCCTCAGCGGTTGGATCTTGTGGAGAGTTTTCCTAGGATTGGACTCGGCGCAGTATCCAATGGTTTCCTTTGGCGACACGTACTTTCGCGTTTACGGCAGGAAGGCACGGCACTTCATCAACGTAGCACAGTCGCTCCAGCAATTTATGACGGTCGCAGTGCTTATTCTGTCGAACGGTATCAAGATCGCCCAGCTGTCGAAAAGAGAGATCTGCTTTATCGTCTGCATGATCATCTTCATGGTAGCTGGCATGATGTTTGGCAGTATTCGTAGCTTGCAGCACATCGGATGGTTTGCCAACGTGTCCGTCTGGGTTAACATCATCAGCTTCATCATCATGTGAGTACCTACCTAACTATGCCTCTTGCTGAGAAAGAGATAATGACTGGCAATAGCATGGTGGCAAGTGCCAACTTTGGCATCGATTACGCCGCCGTCACGCGGTCCACGCTAATCAAAGAGATCGGGCCCGTTCGGACGTTTGCAGGTCCTCCACCGGACCAATACCAGCAGCAGGCGCACGGCTTCGCTGGCCAGTTCAACGGTGTCAACCAGATGGTTTGTACGTATCGCCGATCTCTTTTTCCTTTTCTGCAGCTTCCTCTTGCCGGCTTGCGTTGACGCCTTTGGATCGTGATATTAGACAGTTACGGTGGTGCTCTCCTCTTTGTCGCTTTCATGGCAGAAATGCGCCATCCGTGGGATTTCTGGAAGGGCTTGCTCTGTGCCCAGGTCTTCATCTGCCTGGTCTATCTGTTCTTCGGAGCCTTTGTACGTCAGCGACGTGTTCTAATTCTCGGGGTTCGTATGGATCTAACCTCATCCTCCAGGTCTATGGGCATTACGGCCAGTACTCAGTGGCCAACCTCAAGAACGTCATTCAACCCCGCGCACTTCAAATCGTCTGCAACTCCCTGGGCCTGATAACGGCCTCGATCGCCTGTTGTAAGTAGCCATCCTGTGCCCACACACCAACCCCCCCCCAAAAAAAAAAAAAAAAGGCATGCGGGCGCTGAGAGATTTCGGCTTGGCTGACCGCTCTTATCTTGGTAGTGATGTACTTCAACGTCGGCATGAAGACGGTCTATATTGAGGTCTTTCAGGAGGCCTTTAAATTCCCACCGATCACGACGCGCAAGGGACGATGGATGTGGTACGCCCTCGGTCCCGTGTACTGGGTCATCGCGTTCCTCGTGTCGGCATCGGTGCCGAACCTGAACGGTATTTCTGGTCTCGTGGGCGCGCTGCTGATCCTCAACTTCACGTACACGTTCCCGGCCTTCCTGTACATCGGGTTCAGGTGTCAGACCGATGCGGCGCTGCCAGGAGAGGGATTCGACCCGGCGACGGGCGTGACGACGAGACTCGACGGAGGATGGAGGCGATGGCTGCGCGGCTACAAGAAGAGCTGGCCAATCAACACGCTCAACCTCTTCTACGGCCTCGGTGGGCTCGTGTGCTCCGGGATGGGGGCGTGGGCCGCTATTGAAGGGCTGAAACAGGTGTTTGGGCCCGGTGGAACCGTTGCCACCTCATTTGGGTGCGAGCCACCAGTGTAAACGGCCGAAACGCAGAGACGCTGGTACTATTCATCATGGGACCGCCCACCCTGCTTGTTTGCTTTCCCCCCCCGCCCTTGGGTTTGATGGAAAGGGATGGGAATAGTAGGCGGTTTTCAACGAGGTAATTTGACGGTGGGTACCGAGAGTCTCCGTGCAAAAGAAAAGGCACACGAAATGAGGATTATATGCGTGTAGAAAGTGCTTTGACATGAAAGGTACTAATGAGATATACTGTTTGTGTACTCCGTAGATATATTCCTAAAGCAAGTAATTGAAACCTTGAAAGGTGAGTTCAAAGTCATCATGGTTGCTGGAGAAGAAGAAGAAGAAGAAGAAGAAGAAGAAGAAGAAGAAGAAGAAGAAGAAAGAGAAAGAAGCAGAGAGAGGATTTTTTCTCGACTCGTCCAGGAGGTTCATACTTTTGTGGATGGGAACCTCAAATGACTCATTTTGGGGCTCTCCGATGATGCGGGGGGGCACGCAAAGCTTCGGTGGTTTCCCCAATCGGGTTTCCGACTTCTGGGGCCAAGTTGCTTCCCTCCTGATTGGGCAATTCGCCCAGGTAGCCGCCAAGAGCCGCGCGTGATGGAGCCTTTCCTGATCGGGTAGCACTAAACCCCACACCTTGCCTACAGTACATAGCTCTGCGTGCTTTTCTTTTTTTTTTCCTTTTTTTTTTGCGTTTCTTTTTTGCGTTTCCTTTTTCCCCGCCAGAAATCTTTCCCCTCCCCCCACTTTCTTGGCGCGTCCCCGGCCTGACCGTGCTGTAGTGTGGGGGAAGAGAAAAGCGAGAGAGAGAGGGAGAGAGAGAAAGAGGAAAGCGCAACCCAAACCTTTTCCCCACAGCACATCAAACCTTCCATTCTCTTGCTTAGAATGGTTTTTGCTTTTTTTTTTTAGCGTCGTTCCTGCTCTCTTTTTTTGGAGAAAAGCTCTTAGCTTCGCATCCAAAAGGCAGGCGCGGAATGTTTCCCTCTTCTAGCGACCACCATGTAGCTTTTCGCGGGGAAAAAGTTGTGGTTCTTCCTGGTTGTCGGGTCTTTTTGGCTCCCTTGGCTCCATCTGAGCTTGTGCGTTGCGTGCGTGTTTGTGTGTGGTTTGTGTGTGTGTGGACCGGCAATCCAGCAGTGAAGCTTCGAACCCCCGTCTGGATACCGGCCGTTTCGGAGCTGTCGATGACGGCCTCAAGGCCAAGGAATGTATGTATATGCGTTTTGCTTCCAAGGATGCGAAAGGAGCGGAATAATTCACTCTGGTGGATCATGCCCATGGGCAGAGCAGGTCAAAAATATCCCAAACCCTTGGGGGGGATTCAAACCGGAGTGTTCTCTGCAATCCGTTGTCTGCATGGGCCATTGCTTAAAACCCGGGGGATATGCTTCGCTGTCTTTTGCCTTTTTACTTTTTTCCTTTTTCCTTTTCTTCAATTTGCCTTGCTTGTATTTGACTGGTTGGTTTTCTTCCGGCCTGGTGCGAAACGGTTTTCTCGTTAGATAAGCTGGGAGATCGACTTACTCCTTGTCTTCTTGCTCGATTTTCGGCTTCTTTTCGCAGGTTGACCCAGCTAGCCAAGAGCTTGCGTGCGCAACAATTCTCGCGCTGTGTGATATTGATACCGGACGACCTTGTTCTTTGCGTTCGTCCTGAATCCTGCATTTCCGCGGGGGAAGTGCCCAGACAAATTGCTACATTGTCCTGCTTCCCTGGCCCTTTGCTTCTCCTTTTCTTTTTCTTTTTATTTTGTGGGTAAAGATCCTTATTCCGGAGCAATTGCACAGAAGAGTGGATTAAGATGACTGACCCGCCCTAGGTTGATAGTCCCGGGCGAAGCTCTCTCTCCCTTACACTTATATAAAACACGTTTCTTCAGCGACCACACTCCGCCTGCGCAAGTCTTACCGGCTCACAGGCCAATTGGTAGCGGCATTGGCCCCTTGTGATAGTTACTGGACCTTCACGTCCTTCCACCACGGCGAACTATAATCGGCGAAACGAAAAATGCCGGATACGAAAGAAGTCATCGACGACGCAAACTCCAAGGAGACGGTCTCCGAGGTGGAATTCGACCCGGCTGCAGAGAAGGCCCTCCTGTGGAAATGCGACATCTGGGTTGTGCCCATCCTCTTCCTCCTGTTTCTGCTGTCGTTCATCGACCGTATCAACATCGGCAATGCACGTCTCCAGGGCCTGGAGAGGGACCTGAACATGGAAGGCCACGATTACAACATCGCCCTTTTCATCTTCTTCATCCCGTACATTCTTCTTGAGGTTCCCAGCAATCTCATCCTCAAAAAGGTCGCGCCCTCTACTTGGCTCAGCGGCATCATTGCAGCATGGGGTACGTATTTTTTTATTTTCTATTTTCTATTTTGCTCATGAAGGGGGGGGTTTTCTTTTATATTTAGCTCTTCTGACGGGCATTATCATAGGAATTGTGACGGTTTGCCAGGGTGTCACCCATAGCTTTGCTGGGCTGGTGGTGTGCCGTTTCCTCCTCGGCGCGTTCGAGGCCGGTTTCGTCCCAGGTATGTTATGTTATGCTTATGCGCCTTCACTCATGTAACGATCTAACAACGAGCCCCAGGATGCGTCTACTTGATCTCGATGTACTACAAGCGACATGAGCTCCAGACACGAATCAACCTCTTCTTCTCTGCTAGTATCATTGCGGGTGCTTTCAGCGGCGTGAGTATTACCACCGTGCAGTGCATATCTCAAAAACATAGGAAAGGAGGGGGGGCTAAGAGGCTAACGCGAAATTTAGCTACTCGCATACGCAATTGCAAATATGGACGGAGTCGCCGGCTACGGGGCCTGGCGTTGGATTTTTATTCTGGAAGGGATCGCAACCGTGGTGATCGCCGTCGCATCAAAGTTTATCATTGCCGACTGGCCGGAGACGGCTAAGTTCCTCAAGGAGGACGAGAGGCGACTCCTGATCGCCCGGCTGGCCGCCGACAACAAGGGAGCCACCATGGATCGCCTCGATAGGAAGTCAATCAGGCGGTGCTTGACGGATGTCAAGGTTTATCTTGGGTAAGCACACACAGATCTCTTGTCGCTGAACAAACAGAAAAAAAATAAATAAAAATAAAAATGAAAATAAAAATAAAAAACGAAAAGAAAAGAACAAAGCGCATGAGGCTAATTGAGGCTAACGGGGTGTTAGGATCCTGATGTACTTTGGCATTGTGAACACCGGGTATGCAACCTCGTTCTTCACGCCCACGATCCTGAACCAGTTGGGATGGACTGCGATCATGGCCCAGGTGATGAGCATTCCTGTCTTCGTGGTGGCCACGGTGGTCACTCTTGTGTGCGCGGTGATCTCGGACCGCATGCGACACCGCTACGCGTTCACGTTGCTGGGCTGCGGCGTCGCCACGATCGGGTATGTGATCCTGATCTGCCAGCACAGCGTGTCGGTGGGTGTGCGGTACATGGCGGTGTTCATGGTCACCGCGGGAGGGTTTGTGGCACAGCCGGTGGTGATGGCGTGGGTGAGCAACAACATGGGCGGGCACTACAAGCGATCGATCGCGTCGTCGATGCAGATTGGGTTCGGCAACAGCGGCGGGCTGGTGGCCAGCAACGTGTTCCTGAGCAGCGAGAAGCCCGGCTACCCCACGGGTTTCGGGACCAGTCTGGGGCTGGTGTGGATCTGCGTGCTGTCCTGCACGGCGTTCTTCTGGTGGTGTCGCCGGGAGAACAGGATCAGGGATGCAGGCGGTCGCGACTATCGGTTCTCCCTGCCGGAGGATGAGCTGAACAACATCGGTGATGACCATCCCACCTTCAGGTTTACATATTAAAAGAGAAATAATACATTCAGCTCTCTCTTTTCTGGTTTCATATAATTTATTTATTTCCTTAGTTATACTCCGTATGTGGTTCGGGTTTCCTGTATATAATAAGTGCAGAACCAAAACTTGCCCCCCAACTAGGCCCTTCGTATAGCCATCCATACGGAGCTCTTCCATTTTGACTCTCTCAACGGCTGCGGGGTAATAAATTGACGGCGCCTTGGCCTGGCTCTTTCTCTTTCTCTCCCTCCTTCCTTCCTCTACTTAAATTTCAGCCCGGAGAAGCTCTCCGCCTTTCCCCGTCCGGCAGCAGCAACCGGCAGCGAAGTTGACGCGGTGATTGGCCTTTCCTTTTCTTTTTTTTGTTTTTTTGGGCCAATTCCAGCAAGCAGCAGCAACCTTGCAGCAGGCGCATCCGCCCTTCCCTTCCCTTTCCCTCTTACATACCCCACTCCTTCGCCGCCAGTCCCGATGCAGCCTAGCGCCACGCCCCGAAAGTGGTCTAGACGGGCGCCGATCGCGGGAATTCGAGTGGACCAATGAGGTCATGTGTTGCCATTCCCTTTTCTGCCAAGGTTCATGTCTTGCTTTTTTCTTTCTGCTTTTACTTGCTTTTTCTTTTTTTTCCTTCTTTTTTTCCCCTTCAATGTCCAGAGTCCAGATGATGGTGAACTGGTGGGAAAAAAGGGAGGGAAGGAAAAGTACTCTGTAACGTGAGAGAGGTACGGAGTACAAGAAAAAAGGTGGAAATTACCTTTTTTTTTTTTTTTTCCGGCTGTTCCTGAATCCAAAGCTTGGAAAGTCGCCACCTGTTTTGTGTGTCTTCTTCTTGTTTCTTTTTTTTTTTTTGAAGAAGCAGCTCAAGTTGGAAACGGGAAGGAAGTCATGATCGCTTCGACTGACGACAACAACTGACTAATCAGGTCGAAGTCAACTTTTTTTACATAACCGGCCGACTTCGCTGCTTGGTTTTTGTTTTCTCCGTATTGAAACCCGAACGAAAGACGGTTTTTGGTTTCTCTTCTGCTTCTGCTGATTCTGCTGCTGCTACAGTTTTGATTTCTCTTATTTATTTATTTATTTTTATTTTAGTCGCAGATTTGGCGGGATTTGAAGTTTCGGTTTCTCTTTTTTTTTTTTTTTTTTTAATCCCCTTTTTCCTTTTTTTTTTTTTTTTTCGCCTCCTTCCGAACAACGGGCCGGGTTTATATAAGGAAAGTTACACTTTTTTTGGTCAGATCTAAGACAAGAATCGTCGTCGTCCTTCTCTGGTATTTGTGCTGCCTGGATTGCGTCGACAGAGTGTCGCTTGTACTGAGACCTCCCTGAATGATTCAAAAGCGGCGCCTGGCGACGATGCTGAGGATTGAATGACCTCGAACTTCCTCCCGCGTCCTCCTTTTTTCTTTTCTTTTTCTTTTTGCTGCGCGTTCCAGATAGGACCCTGGCATCAGCCTCAAGGCTAAGAAAGATATAGAAATTCCTTTCCTCCGGGAAGATCCAGCCAAGATCAATCACAATTTTTTTTTTTTTTTTGGAGCGTTTTCTTCTTTATATTCTTTTTATTTTTATTTTTATTTTATACCGCGCGTTTCGACTGCCCATACGGAAGCCGAAACCTCCCAAGTGTTTTGCGACAACAAGAGGAGTAGGCCGTTCCCTCGCCATGCCGACGAATATCCCAGGCCAACCTCGTCCGGCCTCGCAACCAACACGAAAGGAGGCCGAGGTGCAAAAGAAAAGACTCCGCCTCCTCCCTCGCCCCATCAGAACACTCTCCTTCTCCTCCAAGAACACCTCTCCGTCCCCGACCACCCTGTCCTCGCCCGTTCAAGGCCCAACTCGCGCCTCCGCCTCTAGAACCCCTACGACCGCGCTCACCACTCCCCCCTCCCCTACTCCATCCCCCTCGAAATCACACCGGCCCGCCTCCTCCGCACGCAGATACTTCCGCCCATCCGCTCTAAAGAAGCTCTTCACCCCCAGCTCCTCCGCGACCACGCCACAGAAGGCGCAGCCACGGTCACACCCACAGTCGCAAAAAAAACACGGCCAAAACCAGAACCAATCCCAGATCCCGACGACCCCGACCCCGGTCCCGGAGCCGCCGCCGGCACAGCGACCGCCCCTGAGCCGTCTCTGCCAGGCATCGTCGTCGATCCTCACGTACCACCGCAACAGGATCCTCGACAGGGACGAGCGCTCCGAGCGCTACTGCAAGATCCCCCTCACGCAATGGAACCTTGAGAGTCTCCAGTCCGAGCTGGCCGAGCTCCGGATCCGGGAGACACTCAGCGCCAATCTCGGAAATAGCAGCGCGAACAACAAGAATAACGACAGTGATCGTGGTCGTGATCGTGATCGCGATCGCGATGATGATGATAATAATCCTCGGCGCAGAGATTACACCACCAGGGATGAAGCGGGAAAAGTTATACCTGACGACGTCGCCACCGCTGCCGGCGCGGCGCGGGTCTTTGGCGGCCAGGCGAATTATAATTGTAATGGTAATAATAATAACGGCATCAACATCAGCATCGGTGGTAACATGAGCGTCTGGAACAAGCCCTCTTCGAGCCCGAGCCGGCGGAAGGTCGAGGATTCCGTTTTGCCATGGTTGGAAGCGATCCAAGACTGATTCCTTTTTTCTTTTTCTGTTTTCAAGAAATTTTGTTCTTGTTATATTTTATTTTATTTTATTTTTTTTTTTTTACCCCCAAGTCATATACTCCATATACGACTGAATCCTGATCTTCTTTCTTTTGGACGATATTACTGGTGTTTATGATGATGTTGAATTGTTGGAGATATCCCCCTCTTTTCTTTTTACATGTTTTCTGGTGTCTTTTCTCTTTTTGCTTTTTTTGTCGCGGACGGGGTGGCTGGATGTGAATTGGGATTTCAATGACGAGTATGCGTCTGCCTTGGATAGACACAGGGCCTGCTCGTTTTGTTTCTGCACTTGTTTCTTTGCCTGCTTGTTGATATACCCCCCTCCCCCGTGATACTCTCTGGCACCACAGTAATGCTAGACGGTGCAGCTTTGCTATCTATATTTTTTTTTTTCTTTTTTTTTTTTTTCAAAGTTCTCAACTGGATCGCCTCTCCATATCAAGAACAACTCCGGATTGTACTATCACAGAAGAACACGGGGTTGGGAAGAAAAATAAAAAATACACAAACCAAGATTGTTTTTTTTCCCTTCAACAAGCAGTGCTGTTTAAAAGGGGGGGTTTGCTCAGTTAGGGCTTGTGTGCTGTCATACTGTGATTGTTTTTATGACTTACATGCTTATTCTACTCTAAATCTTGGTGTGAGAGTGAGAAGAGGATACAATCAACAACACTATCCATGACATTTTCTGAGATACATGTTTCTTTTAACTTCTTTTTGGACCATGTCTGGTATCGAAAGATGTGATTTGCCTCTCTCTGGGGACCGGAACCAAAAGACTTTATGCATGGACAGAAGGGCGAGGGGTGTAGATACAATTCTGCAGGTATCATTTTCAATTCATCTTTTTTTTAATTTTTAATTTTATGTATCCCGAATTCTATCGCATCGTAATTTGACACATGCGTAACCATTTATCTGACATAGAAGACAAATCTCTCATCCCATCTCATCCTCATCGCATCTCAGGTGTTTGGGGGGGAGGAATTCTCTCTCACATAGGAATTGTTTTTATTAGGGGAAAAAAAATAAAAATAAAAGGGGGAGAAAAAAGGAAAAACAATTCCCTCAAAATTTATTTTTCTCATCTATCATTCAGTTTCCCAACGATGTAAGTATACATAAAATTCAAAAATTCATTAGGTAGAAAAATAAAAATATATATATAAAAAAAAAAAAAAAAAAAAAAAAAAAAAAGGGGAGCGACCACCATAGTAATATCGTCATCATCAAGGCACGGCCTCCTCCCCCTTCCTCCAACCCCCTTCTCTCTCTCTCAATCCTTTCCCCCCTCTTTTTCAAAAAGGGCAAAAGGGAACTCAATGGCTCAACAGATCATGCACGCTGATGCCATTCTTCCCCCCGGCGTCAGAGTTTCCTCTCGGGAACGCCGGCCTGGGCGTGTCGGCTATCCCGCTCGAGGTCCTCCGGTCGATGTTCAGCATCAGCAGTGCCGTCGTAGCTTCGCGGTCCATGTCCACGTCCATGCTGTCCCGGCTGGAATGTGCCTGGGGCAACATTGAGGGCGTGGAGGCGCCGCGTTGGTGGCTCTGTTGGCGCTGATGTTGTTGTTGTTGGTGCGGGGGGATGATGGGCGATGTGGTGCTTGATGTGGTGGAGGTGGTTGAGACGGTCGATATGGTGGAAGTGTTGGAAGAGAGGGTGTCGCGGTGGACACGGGGCGGGAAGAAGGGGGTGTTTGAAGGTGGGAGGGCGGGACTGGGGAGGATCATGGGGATGATTTCGAATGGGGAAGTGTGGGAAGAGCGAGACTGGGTATCTCCGCTTGCTCGGGGAGACGTAGTTTGGGAATAAGATGCAGATGGTTCGGGATGCGGATTGAACTCCGGAGAGGCAGAGTATGAGGATAGGCCGGTTCCAGGTTCTTTGGGGGTATTCCACGTTGGCGACGTGGGTGTAGAGTCTCGGCGAATGTTTGCTGCTTTGAGGTCCGCGATACACTGTTCGAGGTAGTTTACGTATTCTATGCTTGCCTGTGGGGGGGAGAGTTTCAGCATCGGTTAGCCCAAGTCTGGGGGCATCTCTATACATCTCAAAGAGAAAAAGAGACCCAACCCGTACCTGTAGTATAGCAAGTTTATGCATCTCCTGGCCCTTGCAGGCCGGGATCATATTCTTCAGGGTGGCAAACTCCTCGTTCATCTTCGATCTCCTCCTCCTTTCGATGAGGCTATGTGCCGTCCGGCGTGCGATCTTCCGGCCGGCCGCGGTCGTCGCACCGGGCTGCTTCCTCTTCGACCCGCTTCCGTCCGCGGACGCACTCTGGCCATCTTTCCCCTTTGCCTGCGCACCGGCTCCGGAAGCTTTCGGCTGCTCCTGGCCTTTTGGTTTGACCTGGATGATCTTCCTGGTCCTGGTTGGTGGTGGGGGCAGGGTGAAATCGGCGGCTGGCCTCTTTGTCGAGGATCTCTGACGCAAGGTGCGGGTGGAAGACAACTGGGCGGCGGCATTGATGTCGGGAGACGGGGGCGAGAGAGGAGGGAACAGGCTGTTCTTGTTGGAGGAAGAGGAGGAAGAGGAGGAGGAGGATGAGGAAGTGTTTGTGGTTGTTCCTGTGCGGTTCGACATGATGACGGGCGGAGGCAGGGAAAAGAAGACGCCAACGGGAGAATTGATGCCCTTGTCCAGCGCCGCAATCTCCGCCGACGGTGCCGGAGTCAGAGGCAGCTGGGCCTTTGGCATCATGGGTTTCGATTACGCGGCAGCCAAGCCTCGTGGGGGATGGTGGCTTCTCTCGAGAAAACCCCAGTGACGAGTTGAGTCTGCAGGAAAGAGATGGAAACGAAGAGATAGAGATAGAGATAGAAGAAGAGGAGAAGGAGAACAGGAGAATAAGGGGGGTGAAGCCTCAGACGAGGGAAGAGAGGTCCGTGAGAGCGTGACGGCGCGGCATGATGGGCAGCTGCATCTTGATGGAGGGAGAAGCGTAGCTTATTGTACACGCTGCTGTTGTCTCGCGGCCCCGGGCACACACAGAGAGAGAGAGTCTTGCTGGGGACATCGAGGGAGGGCAGCGGGAGAGGGGGAAGGGCCCGGCGGCGCCTCTTATAAGCATTACCCTCGCCTTTGGCCGGGGCGAGTTGCGGTGCCGGCGAAAGCAGCGAGCTTCCAGGCAGGGTGTCGCGTGCTGCCACTGATAGGCTGGCAGAGTTTCCAGGGAGACGCACAGACCAGTTCACATGTGGCCGCTGGGCTGCGTGATTGGCCCCAGCTGGTGTTTTTTCGATCTTCTCAAACTCACGCTTTTCACTGTCGGATTGTTGAGCGTTTCGGTTGTTCCCGTAACGGCTGTGATCATGGAGTAGTTGTATGGAGTATACTATAACCACTATACTATACAGAGTACACACATACACACACGAGAAGACTACGGAGACGCAGGGTGTCTTGTGTTGTTCACCATATTTTTATTTTTTTGATTTTATTTTTTTTCTTTCCTCTGATTAACTCGTTAAATGCTGCTTTTAACACCACATTACAGAGTACTCTGTAGATACAGCCATCACTGTCTTCCCTTCTTCTTCTTCTTTTTTCTTTTTTGGGTTTCAAAAAGTGATCAGAATCTCCCAATTTAATCCAAAATACTCCCGTATTTTTCCCCTTCCTTCTGTTGGGCGGTGTGACTGGGGGTGGTTGGTGGTTTTTCAGTTTTGGTGCTTCACAAACAGCCGATCCATGACATAGCCCGCAAACATATCCGGCCCTGGCGTTCCTACCACCCAGTCAACCCGGTTCCCCGACCGATTAGCCAACCACAGCCCGTTGTCCTCGACGTCCGGGTCATCGTGGTCCCGCCGCTTTCGATTCCGTCTATCTACCACGCACATCCCACGCGTCCACTGCCCCGTCGTCTCGACCCGCAGGTCCAGCGGCGAGTCGAGCGACAGCATCCACTGCCACGAGTCCGGCAGAAGCGCGTACCAGATGCACACCGGGTCATGGAGGCTTAGCGCCGCCATGTCGCCCTCGTGGCCCGGGTGCATGGCGTCCAACTTGGCGAAGCTGTGCTCCAGGATCGCAGATGTCCACTCCACCAGTGGCGAGCGGGTCGCCACAGTGGACGCGATCCGGTCTCGGAACTGTCCGCGTGTCAGGTTGTGAGACCTGGTCACGTCGAGAGACACCAGCTTAACCTTGAGCTGCTTGCTCAGCGTTGCCGGATAGACAGGCAGCGCCGACGGGAGGTCTGCCGGCGGCATGGTCGACAGCGGCATCTGTGATGTCAGCGCAAAGATCCTGGCCGCCGCCACGGGATCCGCGTATGTGTTGAATTCCGCCGTGGGAGTTACCTAGATATATATCTAGTCAGCATCATTTCCTCTGAATCAACTCTCCCTTCTTTCTTTCTCTCTTTCTTTCTCTCTCTCTTTCTTTCTTTCTTTCTTTCTTTCTTTCTTTCTTTCTCTCTCTCTCACACACACACAAAAGTTCCATACATTTCCAGGGCAATCAACAGCACCACCCATCACCACCACCTCTTTCACTCTCAGAAATGTCTCCGGGTCTTCGGCCGCCGCCAACGCGAGATTGGTCAGCGGTCCAAGGGCTATAATCGTAATCGTCCCGGGGTCATTCTCCCGTAGTAACCTAAGCATCTCTTCGTAGGCTGGTTTCGTCGACGCGATGAATGACGAATGACGTCGAGCGGCAGCCTCCAGCTCTTCCACCGACGCCGGCAGAGGCGAGAACAGAGACTCCCATCCTTGCGCCGGCGTGAGATGGGGATGCTAGCAGTATACGATTAGAAACTCCAGCTTTCCACTCAAAAAAAAAAAAAAAAAAAAAAAAAAAACATCAAAAGACATACACTTGTATGGACATTACCGAGGCCATCTTTGCCGTCTAGATATCGAAAAGAAACCAAAAAAGTTAAAAATCCCAACACCTTGTTCAGAAGGGGGTGAAGCGTGACCAAGCTCCTTGGGCAACGTGGTTTGGAAAAGGGGGGTCCTGAGCTTACGAAAATAATCCGCCAGCATCTTCTCTCCGGTCAAGGGTTCTTCGGCGCCGACGGCCATGAGCGGCTTGGACGCCATCAGCGCCTCGAAGCCTGGGGCCAATCCGCGGTTGTGTCTCCATTCCATCTCCTTTTCGATGATGTGGAACATAGAGACTGCATTTCGAAGACAGCTATAAATGAGGCGTGTAAGTTCTCCCCTTGCTACATACGTACATGTACACACACACACACACACATATATATGTATGTGCATGTTCTATGAAGTTGGTTGAGGTTGATAAGAAATTGGAACAGACCTCCTCACTTCGATGTTTCCAAAGGTCAAGGAGACCAGAAGCACCTCGATCTCCTCTGCCTTGGAGGAGAAGGCGAGAAGAAGAGCGAGGATATCATCAATTCCCTGGGGAAGGAGAAAATGGTGTTAGAACCTTTGCTGGCCCTGTTGCCTTTTTCTTGTTTTCTTTTCTTTTCCTTTCTTTTTTTTTTTAATATGCAAGCTATCACCACTAACTCACGAAACAGCGACATGTGTCCCGTCCCATAATGTTTCCATGTACAGATACACCACCCGGGACGGGAACAGGAGTTACAAGATTTAAAAGGGCACATCAGAAGAACAAAACCAGAGGAAAATCAGGCTTTGCCTCACAGGATCCGTATCAATAATGACTCTGCTTTTCGGAGCCATTGTCACAAAATGCCGGCTCTATTTTTTTTTTTTTTTTTTTTTTGGACGCAGAGACAATTCCTGCGCCCTCCCGTACGTACGGGGATTATTGTTACTGTTTCTCTGCCGGTCTCCGACGAGCAGTCGTCGCAGTGGATAGGAGTTAACAAATAGTATTCTCCGGCCAGGCCCGAGACTCGCGCAAACCCCCCACAGGGCACGAGGCTGGATCGGTGGGTTGGTCCAGGTTGTGGTGACACAGATATTATATTAATGGACTGGCGGGGATATCAAAGGAGGGCAGCGGGGCTGAAATACATTAAGCCAGATGCCGACGAAGCAAAAGATTCAACAAAAAAAAAAAAAAAAAAGAAATTCCAAAAAATGGGAAAAAGAAAAAAAAAGGAATAAAGATCAAGGAAATGAAGAAGCGGAAGCGCGGGGAAGTGGGGTGGACAGTGACGGCGGCGGCGGCGGCGAGGAAAAAGGTTTGCGTTTCTGGACCGAAGTTTTTCCCTTTTTCATTTCACTGTAACTAAAGAGTTAATGGATGACGGATTCAAGCGGGCGTGTCCATGGTTCTGGCTGAATTTCCTCCTAGAGCTTAACTTGATGCGGAATCATTGTTCATTATTTCTTTTTCTTCTCTCTTCTTTTCTTTTTTCCTTCTTCCAGTCAAGTGTACATACTCCATCAGTTAGTTGTGTGTGGGTGTGTGGTGTGCTCGCCTATTGTCAAGCAAACCCCCCCCAGACACATATCATCTCCCTGAAATCCGTGATAAAACAACAGTGTCTCAGATGCCGCCCGGGTTTTTCGTCAGGATTATCACTGCTCCGCTACCCGGTTCCCTCCCCCCCCCCAAACACAAATCGTGGCCGAGAAATATGAGCAACAAGACACCCACAAAAACAGGGACACTCCGAAATTCCCTGCGCTCCGTTACAGCCGAAGCGCTGCGCCGCGCCGACGCGTTCCGAGCGCCTCAGAGTCCGCCCACTGTTTCCTCCCAATGAGTTATCGCCTCCGTATTGTTTATTATCTTTATTTTTAGTTTTAGCGATTTGCTGATTGGACGATCAATGATTCAATTGCTTCCACACCGCCGCGACGCCCATTGAAGACGCACACACACACGGTCCTCGTGTGACAGGTCCTCGTGTGACAGGTCCTCGTGTGACAGGTCCTCGTCGAAGGATGTTGCCTCTGGACCTCTTCTTTTTTTTTTTTTTTTTTTTCCCTCTCTTCTATTATTATTCTTCTTCTGCAGCGTGTGAAGACTTCCTCGTTATATGCGCATCCCGCCTCCCCTCCCCCGTACTAGACTCTTGACCCGGTTGCAGAATAATACTTGGTGATTTGCCAGGGGCCCGGCCCAGAATTCCGTTGGCTGACGACCGAGGACAGGAACCCCTAGACGGGATATTCCGCCTCGCCAGCAAGAGAAACGTAGCATCGGGAAGATAAGCCAACACTTTTTGTCTCTTGTCTCCCTCGTGGCGGCGCTGGGGGGGGGGGGGGGGTGTTTCGATCTTGGAGATATGGTAATAATACATGTAACTGAATACTAACAAACTCAAGGCGCTGGTAGAAAGTACTCCATGCCTGGGGGGGAACCTCCGAACATTGCCATCCGAGCGGCTTGTCTCCTCCTCAAGCCCACGCCAACGGGGAAGGGGGGGGGGGCCTGCTCACCCAATGGAGCGGCGCGCCGTGGCCGCCTCGCACCCAAGGGAGAATTAAGCCCTTTTTCTTTTATCGGCAAAATAGATGTGCCCTCTTACGCAAGGGACAACCCCTGTCATTCGTCGTCTGAGAAGGCTGCCATAGAGTTCTTCCATGCAGCATTCCGGAATGATTTTTTAAAAAAAAATACATACTCCATACTGTGTTCACAACTTTCGGTCGGATATTCCAACCCTCAAGGTCGCTCCCGTGCAGGACTTGTGCAAGATACAAAGTTTAGGTTACGTCGTCTAACAACATACATACATACAGAGTACTCCGTAGAGAGCGTCTATCTCCTCCACTGTGGTCCTCATTATGCAAGTTATTGTGGATAGTTATTTTCACACCTCGTTAATCAGCAGGGACTAGTTCACCTGGGATCTTCGCAAGATGTGTCCAGATTCCAGAACAGCTTCACCCAGCTTGAGCATGAGTAGTCAGTGACTCTGTAGTTGTTTCACAGGAGATTCAAGATCCCTCCCCGCAAGATGTTCTGCTCGAATCTCTGCAGAGAACAAGTTCTCCCTCCCCCCCTCCTCTGCACGCGTGCTCAAACTGGCTTACCTCCGCGATCATGTCATGATTTACTGCGTGGTGAGGGAGGAACTTGGCAACGATGAGAGTTGTCACCGCCACTGCCACTAGTCACCCTCAACAACCGCGCCTATCCAAATAGCGTTTAGCGCACCAGATGTTTCTGGTACTGATTACAGTGGATTTCTGGATAGCTGGCCTCAACCAACCGCGATCCATCACCCCCTTCAACAGGACAACTCCCTCTGCAACCCCGACCCCCAGTTCGACCTCGCGTCCGATCACTCTGCCATCACTCATCCGTCACCTTCACTCCCACTTTCTGACTTTCCCTTTCTCCTCTTCTTCCTGCTCTCCGCCAACCTTCTGCCTGCTGCTCTGCCCTCCCTTTAGTTGAGACATGTCTATCATACCGCGATGACCTCAGCTCCCGGTTTGACTCCAAGTACATAGAACTGTAGGTATTTTTTTTTCCCTCACATTGTCTCTCTCCATGCGGTAGCTAACCGTACTTTTTCGTACTTTCCTTTCAGGAACGGGCAACATTGATTCGACTGCAGCTTTTCTTTTATTTCCCGTCGTTTGGAGCTTAGCAACGCCTCTCGAGATTCACGCTTCGTTGTGGTCCTTTCCCCTTTTTCCTTCCTCTCTCTCTCTCTCTCTCTCTCTCTCTCTCTCTCTCTCTCTCTCTTCCCCCCGGCGCCACCTCCCCACAAACCCGGACGTCTTCGTGGGCGTCTCGATCAGCCGCTCTAGACCCTGCTTTTTTCCATTCTTCATTATCACCCGGTCGATCGACCCCAACTCAAACCCACCCACCCCCTATACTTTCCGTCCACGCAACAAGCCAGCGCTGGTTGATATCCGCCGCTGGAAACATCCTCATAACACCTGATCATACGTTCCACTGCCCTGCGGTAAGCTTTCGTCCTCCCTATCTGGAACGTGGGCGTTGATATGACTGACGCGTGTTAACGGGTGTAGCTTCCGCAACCATGAATCCGTATCTGCGCTGGGCGATTTTGCTTCTCGTCGCCGGTGGGCTGGCTTACTACTACCGAAAGGGTTCTCCCAAGCCGAAATCATCCTCCATCAGATCGAGCCTGGAGAAAACAGACCAGTCTCTGTCGACTAAAAAGCTAAAACAGCGCAAGCCGAAGAAGGCGCCTGAAGCGACAAATACCAGTGGTAGCCCTACCCCGACCCCGCAACCTCAACCGGGAGTAGCGCCTGCCACAACGTCTGCCGCTGCCGATGAGGGCATGAGCAACCTCGAGTTCGCTAAACAGTTCTCCAAGGTGAGAGAAGGAAATGCTATCGCGACCGGTACCTCGAAGAAGGCGACTCCAGCACCCCAGCCGGTATCTCGCCCGATGACGGGAGGCAGCGATGCGCCTGGTTCGACCAGTGCTTCATCTTCGATGACCGGAGCGGATGCAGATGACGATCTGTCTCCCATCGGATCCCCAGTCATCAAGCCAGCTGGCGACGTATCCGACATGCTCGAGGCACCTGCACCTGGAGCGTCTGTCCTCCGACTCACCGGATCGATTGAAGACGAGCAGAAGGCCAAGAAGAAGACCAAGAAGTCGGATGGATTTAAACCGGCGGAGACCAAGAAACAGAGACAGCAGCGAATCAAGAGGGAGAATAACAAGCGAATGGTTCAAGAGGCGGAGATGCAGAGACGGGCTCTTCTTGAGAAGCAGCTCCACACTGCCCGCGAGCACGAGCGCCAGGAGGCCGCGAAGTCCAAGCCACCAACCTCAAACGCGTGGGCGCCTACTGCTCTCACGAACGGAGTGAAGAAGACCGAAAGCTCCCCGGCTGCGCTCCTTGACACTTTCGAGCCAGGCACCAAGGACGCTACCCTCAAGTCAAAGGACAATAAGAACAACAAAGGTTCAGCGGCAGCGCCAAAGAACTGGACGGATGACTTACCTTCAGAGGAAGAGCAGATCAGGCTTTTGAGTGCCATGAGCAGCGAGAATGAATGGACGACGGTTTCAAACAAGAAAAGGGACCGGCGCCGAGCAAACATTTCAGGTGGGGCAATGAGTGATACAAGCACCTCAGACGCCCAGGTTGTCAAGCCTGAACCTGAACCTGTTGTGAAGAGCCGTCCCCCAGTAGAAGAGAAGACATGGACAGAGCAAGGCCATCCTCTTGATTCTGAATGGGCTGCGTGAACAGGAAACAAATTTAAAAAAGAAAAGAACAAAGAAAGCCAGCATCTATTTACTCTCCACACCTTTAACCATCAGCAAGCAGGCAAACAGCACTCACATTGCAATCCTCACCGCGCTCTTCTCAACTGATGCAATGTAAGAGTTATTTTAGCATTTGTGCACCTGGTGTTTAGTTTTTTTTTTTTTTCTTTTTAAGGCTATCTCTGTTTTTTTTGTCCTTTTTTCTGCTTCTGGTTTTCTACAAAACAAACTCTCCGGCACGGTCACAATACGACTTCAGTTGATCTAGGGACATCCCATTTGAGTCTCAGGTCAAGTATGCTCTAAATCTCATTTTTATACCATGCAGATGAGGCATTGTCACAAAAGGAGTTTCAATTCCTAGTCAAGCAATCCCTTTTATAATTGAGGCAAAGGTTGTTTATGCAGCTGATCTCCTGGTGCTCCAGAATTCACCTACTGTGACAACTTTATACCCTCCGCCCTCATATTCCCTCTCCTTTTCATCCTCTCTTCTACATTTCAGCTCTACCCTTGATACACCAAAAAAAACAATTCCCTGTCTGAACTCATGACCTTCAAATGCAGCCCAAGAGAGCCTGTTATGTGTCTTTATTTAATTATGTTTTTTCATCCATGTTGAGTGCTTCTTCATGCTGGCCCCAAGTGTGCTTGCTTCTTACCTCGCCTCCCTACTATTTGATGAAGAAGCAAGAAAGGGAGAGTTCAAACCGTACAAGAGCTCCGCGGAAGCATTTTGAAGACCAACCAGCATTTGATTCTGTTTTTTCCAATTTTGCAATTGATAGTGATGTTCTTTTCTATGTGTAAATGTATTCTGCTACTGCTTCTGTTTGTATGTATTTAATCCGGCGGTTTTTTTTTTTTTTTCTCTTCTTTTACTTCATTGCTCTAGTCAGGCTTGTCTGGGTTGTGTGGATTTATGAAGAAATTGCTTGTACAGTGACCGCAAGCCCTTTCTCTCTCTTTCAATGCCAACTTTATATTCATCCACGCCCAGGACTGATAGATCGAAAGGCCATGAAATATATCTCCATTTGAGAGCTTTGACTGGGTGTATGGGTCAAGAAAAATAGATAGGCCGGCTCGGTGCGGACATGAAAGGGTTTGGCGGCTGGTTGAACGACGCCCCCGGAAAAAAAAAAAAAAAAAAAAAAAAAAAAAAGAAAGAAATTAATGCTGAGACTGATCCAGTAAGAACCAGCCTCGGTGGACCTCAGCATTGCCATGTAGCATTTATAGACGACCTGCTCCAAGTTAGCTAGACTATTTGAACGAACCTTTCAGGGCACCACATTCTTGTCTTTCTCACTATATTTCTATGTGATATTCTTTTACAGCTTCATATGTGTGTGTGTGTGTGTGTCTTTGGAGAGCATGGCAGCATTCATCTTGAGCTGCTTGAGCAAAGGAAGGCAAATTATGGATATGGGATCACTGCCACTGCCACTGCCACTGCCACTGGGATGAGAGTTGAACAAGGGGCAAAGCATACATGATGTAGGGATGTGGTGTTTTTTTTAATTGATGTTTAGTGTAGCGTCTCTTACTCCTCCTTCCGTGGCCTCTTTACTTGTGTTTGCTCACTGGAAGGAAGCAACTGATGTAACATTTTGCAGAGTCAGTATGGCCCATATATCCCTGCTAGTTATACAGAGTAGTAGAAGTAATACTATGACGAGGGCGCTTCCCTGCCTGCATCTTTTCTGCAGACACACCCGTCCATGGCTGTCCCGGTCCGATGTTAATCCCTTGTGGATCCCGTGATATGATCGCCCGCCAGCGGGCTTGGCAACCAAACCGCATGCAGCAGCATCGAGTGCCGTCCGGAACAAGAGTTAATCGCATCGTGGCCTGTACTGGGCACCCTCCGGTCCTCACTTCACAGCTTGTTGTCCCAATTCATTTATTCTCACAACTCCCCACCTCTTCTATTCTGACCCTCTTTTTTACTTTTCCCCCTTTGTTTTATTGTTAAGTTGTCACAATTTTTTGCCCTGCGATTCTGTGAAGAAGCACCAACTCATCGGTCTCATCTCGGGTTCTTCTTCCTCTTCCTCCTTTACCCCCCGCCCGCGCCCGCGCAACTCGCCACGAGTGAGGAATCAACTGTCAACCTCCCCTTCCCCACTCATCCTTCCAATTCTTGAATAACAACATAGCTTGGGCCCGAGCGAGTCATGGCGCAGATCCGCGGCACTGCCGGATACAATCTGGGTCACAGCAACCCGTTTGTCGGTCCCGGTCGGGCTGACGCTACAAATGACCCGAGTCCCTTGGATGCGATCCGTGAGCAGACCAGCAAGATCGAAGACTGGTTGGAGACCATTTCAGACCCGATCAAGCCGTATGTCTGCAAATTTCAAGCCCTCTTTACTCACTCCCTTAACACCTCACCTCCGTTTCTTTTTTTCCAAGACCTTGTGCGCCCGCCCCAGCCAACTTTTCAACCTTTGTTTTCCATAGTACGTTGCAACTAACCAGAATATGTGATTTTGGTACAGATATCTTCCCGCAATTGGCCGTTTCTTGATTGTTGTTACCTTCCTCGAAGATTCTCTGCGCATATTGACACAATGGGGCGACCAGCTCTCGTATTTGCACGAATTCCGATCCTGTATGGGCGCCCTCCCTCTCTCCTTCCGGCTTCTAGCCGGCACAAATCGCCGTGCAGCTCATATGTAGCCTTCGGGTGCTAATTGCTGTTCGTATTATACAGTCCCACGAGGAATTTCTCATATCTTCCTTCTCCTGAACGTTATTGCCATGTTGGTTTGTTCCGTCTTTGTTATTGCCCGTAAACATAGCGAATACGCTGTCGCCGGTCTCCTTGGAGTTGTCGTTTCCCAAGCCCTCGGATACGGTCTGGTCCTCGACTTGACCTTTTTCGTTCGAAACCTCAGCGTGATCGGGGGTCTCCTCATGGTGCTCTCAGACTCGTGGGTCCGCAAGAAGTTCGTCCCGGCCGGCCTGCCTCAGCTCGAAGAGAAGGACCGCAAGATGTATGTCCAGTTCGCGGGACGTGTGCTGCTTATCTTCCTGTTCATCGGCTTCATTTTCTCCGGATCGTGGGGCTTCTGGAGAATTTTGGTCAGCATCCTTGGATTTGTCGCGTGTGTTATGGTTGTCGTCGGCTTCAAGGCTAAGTGGAGTGCCACGATTTTGGTCGTGGTGCTCAGCATTTTCAACATCCTGGTGAACAACTTCTGGACAGTATGTATCTCCGATCAAAAAAAGAGGGCGGAAAGGGTGTGGCACTGGGTGAGATAGTTACTGACCACACCGCACAGCTTCATTCCAAGCATCCTCACAAGGACTTTGCCAAATATGACTTCTTCCAGACTCTCTCCATCGTGTGAGTATTCTCAATGCATCGTAGCTGGTGTTTCGTTTCTTTTTGTCTGAGTCGCCAGCTGGACGATTACTAATGGATTTGTTTCATCAGCGGCGGCCTCCTCCTCTTGGTTAACATGGGTCCAGGACAGCTCAGCATGGATGAAAAGAAAAAAGTCTACTAATTTAGCCCTTCCCCCAAGCACTACAACTGCACGCATTGCATTCACATTACATTCTAGTTGTCGTATGAACTGTCACAAGAACAGTCCGGTTCTCCAAAACTGAGTTTGAAGAGCTGGAATTGGATCGCAATGTGATATGAAGGAACTCTGCATAGTTGCATGAGCCTCGACACCCTCAAAACTCATGTATACCCCCCCCCTCTGGCGCACCAGCCAGCTTACCCCACATTTCCCATATTCCAATCCTTGGATTGAATCCATCTGATCTGAACTACAAGCAACCTCGAAAAAGATCACCCTTTTCAACGTCTTTTTTTATGGTGGTATTAGCTGTCATTGGAATTTCAAATAGTCTCTGGAAGCACAAAGCTTGCAGTTTTGAATAACTACTTCAATTCAGATGCTAACATTTCTTTTCTGCCTTTTTTTTTTTTTTTTTTTAACAAAAAAGCTCCCTTTCGGATCTAGCAACTTTACGGTGTATCGAAAACCTTCCAATAGTGTATTCTATAGGCTTCCTTCACATCCCAGTTCGCATTCTTCGATCAGGCAGTTTCTATGTAAGATTAAGGTCCGTCTCTCCACTGCCTGGGGAAGAAAAAAGCTGCTCGATATGTTTGGTTCAAGAAAAAAGAAAAAAAAGAGAAATATAAAAGACAGTTGCAACAATCCCTTTGTCGAAACCTGCAGCTTTTACATATTGCGTTGCATGGTGACGTACATGAGTAGACTTTGCTTGTTTTTAGACCTGCATGAGTATGTGGCCGGGTAACATTGGGGTTGTGTGTGTATTAATATGTACTCCGTACTCCCGTTCTAATTCAAGACAAAAAGGCAGTTTAGCTTATGCATATACGAACCTGAAAGTACTCCACGTAACATGTTGCATCGTGGGGCATTGCAGGAATGGTATTTGCATTGTCAAAATACGTATGCATGCAGCCATTGAAGTCATTGCAAAGGGGCTTGTCCCAGATGTTTTCTTTGTCTTTCCATTGACTCCCAAGGAATATCTAACAATATAAGGATTCGTGGGACTGGAAGAAAAAAGAACGATCTCAGTTGCTATCAATCATTGAATAAAGAGCCATGGTTTCTTCTTTTCCTTTCGAGAAGAAAAGGGATGACAAAGATCATCGAAGCATCGCTTCGGTAGGTAAAAACGCTAATGAGACAACGTACTTGCTTGCGTTGGGATAAAAGAGACGAAAGGGAGGGTGTAAAAGAGTCGCAGCGAATAGCTGCAATAAAAGAGCGGTTTAAAGCGATTAATTTTGAAGCCGTAAACGATTTTCTACTATTCTTTCTCCAAGGCCAAATGGCAAAAGGTTCTAAATATCCATACTCCATCGATACGGTTGAATATGCCGAAAGTCGTCGAAATCATCAGCGTCCGCTTCTAGCCGCAAGCCAAGACAGCGCTTAGTGTTATCATCAAGGTTATTGGCATGAGTATTAGCAGCCCATATGGGTGTTAATGGGGTTCGAAAACGAAAAGCCTTTCCGCTATCAACAGTGTCGTTTGTCGATGGACGATCTTCGGCGTAGGTGGTGGAGGTTTTGTGTAGCAAGGCTGAGGATGATGCTACAAGGGGTTCACGTTGAAGAGCTCGGGGGCTAGGAGAATTAGAGGGAGAGATCAACGTAGGAGATGAGGTTAGGTGAACGTTTCCGGATGTTTCTGTGTTGGAGGGTAGACGGGACGATGACGCTATCGTGGAAAGTGGGGCACGGGGCGTTTGTTGTCTAGATATCGAGGATTCTAGAGAATCGGTTGAAGTCCCGAACGACAGGACTGGGCAAAGAATATCGCCTGACTGTTGCTCGGGAGTCCTTCGGTGACTGGAGGTTGTGGGTTGTAAGGCATGGGAGCCCTCGATCGGGTTAAGAGATATAGGTGGAGGTGATCGACCTGACAGCGGTTTACGTCCCTTATGAGATGGTCTAATGCTTGGGGAAAGCTCGGGTTCTTCAGGAATGGCTGAGGGCCTTTTGAGAGGGCTGGTATCACGACTTTGCCGTACCGACGTTTCAGCCCTCACCTTCCCTGCCATGACCTTCGCGCTGGGGGGAGGTTGTAACATCCACCGAGTTTCTGCTTTGCTTCGAGGGCCACAGACAACAGGAGGATGGAGATCGTTGACTTCTGGGTTCCGGGCAATGTAGTACTTGGACGAGTTGAAAGAATCTGATCGCCCTCGACCCGAAAGTCCCACCGATGACCCCTTCACCTCTAATCCCCACAATTCCTCATCTTCACGCTGATAGCGAAGCCTATTCCAAGCATCTCCAATAGGGTTCTTCAACGCATCTTTATCCTTCTTGAGGCCCTCCAGCGTTCCCGTTAGAACCTCCGGATCGGCCGGTCGCTGAGGGGAGGTCAGATTTCTCTGACTACTGGTACGGCTGGTGCCATTTCTATGTCCCTTTCGTGACGGCGGTCCGGGGCCGAGAGCAATCTCTTCACTCCAGTAGGAATTCGTGGTGAATGGAAATGGCTGGTGAAAGAAGACAGGTTGGTCTGTGACTATACCCTCCCTGCTCGGATCTCGGACGGTTCGTGCAGCCTCTCTCTTCCGCTTACGCCTGTAAAAGTACTCGCCGCATGGTGTACAGGAAGCGTAGTAGAACACTGCGGATTGTGCTCCTCTAAAGAGCCACATTCCGCGGCACTCAGACGGTGGAATGGCCGGAACTCGACAACTGACTGGTGGACAGGTCGAAAGGGTGCATTACGGAGATGGTGGTGGATTGTATTGCATGAGCTGGAGCACGGATCTGTATGGTCGAATGCACAGCGTTCTGCGAACATGGGTGAGGTCTATAGGGGGAAGCTTTTTTTTGGGGGGTCCTTTTGTCTATTCAAGGGAGGGGCTGGAAGTCGTCAGAGTGACCCGTGGCAACCGTAAATAAAAAAGACGCATGAAACCTTCGCCATCCGCCCAGCGTGACGAGATAAAGACAAACACAAAACGCCGGCGTATTCTATGCAGTGTTGAAAGAATTGATGGGTGTTGATGCCAGAGCAATCGAAGGAAAAGGAGAGCAGATCAAAGGAAAAGGAGGAGAATAGGGGATCAAATGGGCGAGTTGGGGTTGCAGCGAAGTGATGATGCTGCGATGGGGGTGCTTAGCGGGAAGGGGCAGAACCGCCGCGCTAGCCCGTCCAGGTTAGGCTGGAGGTTGGCGGGGCTTTCGGTGGATCCGAAACGCTTGGCGGGCGAAAATACATGACGAGGCAGTTACAACCATACGCAGTACCGCCGCGGCGGTTCCCCTGGCCCTTTACCGTGCCCGGGCTGCCATTGGCCGGCGCCGGCGCTAAGCATTTTGTAACCGAGCCTTTCCTCTAGTCAGTGGGCCGCGGGTAATCTATTTTCGAGCATTCTGTATCGACGTTTCCACGATTACCGGCCTCTCCTGCTTGTTTCGACTCCGGGAAGGGAAAATCCTCCGGAACGCTCACCCGATATCAGATCCGATCACAAATGTATGTATGTACATACATAACTGCGGAGTACAGCTATACCTCTGTAGATATGGGCGTCGTTGAGGCCATGTTGGAAGAAACATCTCGTAGTTGAGTCGCTCTGCACTAGGCTGCTCTGAGGGATTTCCTCGCCTGAACAGATCCACACACTGGCACCTAAACACCCAACCCGCTGCAAGTTCAGGAGAACCATGCAATTTCTCTAACAACTGATGCTTGGGCCTTCCAAGCAATTGGGCACTTGTCTGCCATTGCTTGACCGGAAAACGGTGAAATGCGGCATTTGTTTGCACCCATAAACTCACCTCCTTACGGTAAACCTGCGCCGAGACTGTGCGTATTATCGTCTGCAGGCCTGTGGAGGGGCCCTGTGCACCCTTTGCGTGTGCTCGGTATGGAGGTACAGTAGAAATTGGCCTGGGAGTTGAAAGCACGCACGCGACACAACACAAGAAGATTGGAGCATAAATTCCCCCTCCAAGTTATTATCCTATAATTTTTCGTATATGATTTTTATGTCTAGTTGTAAATCCTTTTCTGTAATTCGCTAGGTCGGTCTCCGATTCAGCCCCCAAAGTTCCAAGAAATTCCAGCAACAAGGCAAGGAGCATCAATCGGATTAGACGCAACCTCGCAAGCATTGCCAACATATGTCCTGGTTAACTATACGCTTGGCCCAATTGAATTAGCTGCATTCCCCTTCATATTGTTGCTCGGGCCCGACGATAGGTACATCAGACTTGTAACCCAGTTCACCACCTATCTTCTAAACAGGCCTGCAATTGTTCAATTGGCATCGTTTCGAAATAGTAGACATAGCCGCACACCTTCAATCTGCCGAACAAGCCGGGAGGGAATGCCGTACTCATATCAAGAGGTGTTTTTGACGAGATACGCCACGAAGGACAAAAAAAAAAAAATTTATCCCAACCTTATACTGCAATGCCCGAACTTCTCCATGGTATGTAACATTGTGCTAGCCAGCCGTATGCCCGGGGGAGCCAAACGCCTCGCTGAAAGACCATTATTATTTTGTTTTATTGGCGTTGCGAGTATGGACAAGGTGCGCCTCTCAATAATTCTTCGTTCCCTTGATGACCTCGCCTTTGACTTTCGACCAATCGATCTTCCCGTCTACCTCTTCGTCAATCTCCCCGCATATCACCACGTTGTCGCCACGAATCAGATATAGTCCATGGTCAACTTCTGAGCTCGGTTCAGGGTCATCTGGCGGCCTGATTATCCGCTCCACCGTTTCCGACAGGACGAGATTGGTGAGTTGGTCCGTGGAGAGAAGCGTGCCTATCAAGGTGCGGCCATCGACAGTGAGAACCAGGACCTTTTCTTAATTTGGCGGAAAGGGAAAGAAAGAAAAGAATATGTCAGCATCATCGTTTGAAAGCCGAGTGAGTCCAACAAAAAACGAAAAGGAAAAGAAAAAAAAAAAAAAAAAAAATTAAAAAAATTAAAAAAGAGGCGAACATCCATGACGATTCGGTCGGGGAGAAGGGGCATTGGGTTACCAACTGTTTATATAGGGCTGCAGAGACATGGTTCGAAAGTGCCCTTGATTTTATCGATAATGCTGCCCCCGGATTCACTAGTATAACCCTATGAGCCTTTCTCTTCCACGACGATGCTCTCCCTCCCAAACCCGCGGCGGCGATTGTCTGGTAGGTCTTGGGTTGAAGAAATCGCAAAAACAAGCTGCGATGGCTTTAGGGCAACAGTGAAGTCATAGCCTAAGTTCCGTATCTGAGAGCATCCAAGAAGAGGTAGCTTTCGTTTTACGTCGTTCTCAAAGCAGCAGCAACACAGCCGCGGTGCATAATGCCAGCGCCGTCCAACAACGGCGACCACAGCTTCCAAGACGCGCTGCTTGCTTAATCCATGCTTAGTCATCATTTTGGCACACTTTCCACAACAAATGGAGACGAAAAAGCAACTGTTTGGAAGATGGGCCAATCCTGTCCACTTTGGCTCGATTTCTATCTAGGCAGTTTGGTATGATGCAAATAAAAGGTCATCAGAAAATGAAGTATCCCCTAATATCCAGTTTCGCCCCCGAACCCAAACTCCCAGTGAAACAAAGCAGTAGAAGCAGCAACTTTCGCCTATGCCGAACGCTCGAAGGTCCAAAGAACTCCGTAAGACGCAAGAAAAAAAAAAATAGAAGTTATTTGCTGGGAGCAATGTAAGGTATATTGCGAGCGCCTCTCGCGACGATGGGCGTTGTAGCTACCAGACTAGATTCCCACACAAAGCATAAACTAAGCGCAGTTATTTAGACTATTGTGGTATCCATCATTTTCCAAAGAATGCCTCCCTTCCCTGCAATAGTTTCGACTACTTCAGGATCGTCAGATCTAAAGGCACACTGCTCCCTCGTCCTGCACGGTACAATTTTTGGCCCCCCTTAAAATCCCTAGGTTTTGGCAAGTGAGATTCATCCTGGAACTTAAACCTTGAATCCTGAACAATGATTCTTGAACGTCCTCCTGTAGTTGAGGTTGTCGATCCAGTGCTTGACCGTTGCGGACCAGTGCCGTTTGAGAGCGTGTAGGCGGACGGATCCAGCATCGAGCGCATTGGAGGTTGGTGTGCGGGACGCGCATTGTGGTCAAGGTGGTCTGCGAAGGACGGGGGACGAGAGGATAGTGGTGTGGAGAGAAGGGATGATGTGCGTGCTGATGAGGCAGACGGAGGGGACGCTGGAGGTGGAGGTGGCGGAGGAGCTGAAGGAGCCGTAGATGCGGCGGAATGTGAAGGTTGGGAGTGACCAAATGCGTTGCGAGCCGCTTGCATTGCTATGGAAGCGGCCGCCGCAGCCTGTCCGCCGTTCGCGACCGGTGGAGTTGGAGGAGGGGGTGGCCTAGGAGCCGATGTAGTAGGAGGTGGTGGAGGTGCGGATGGTGGAGCAGGAGCGGACAACGAAGGTGGCGCGGGGGGAGGGGGAGGGGCTGCGGACACCGGGGGTGCAGGAGGTGCGGAGACCTTTCGAGCAGAGCCAGGAACAGGAGGGGGTGCACGTCCCGCTCCGGGCAAGGGAGGTGGTGCGCGTGGCGGTGGCATGTCAGGAGCGGACTTCGCTGAAGCCGTTGAAACCGGCCTTGAAGATGGTTTCGGTGGTGGTTTCCGAAGGTTTGCTACTAAAGGGTTTATCGCAGGTGGTGTTGGGGCTTCTGCGGATGGCCGAGGCGGTGGACGCGCAGTTGGTAACTTAGGTGCTGTTGGGGGTCTGGGGGCGCTTCCTGCAGGTGCTGGAGGCTTCGGAGCCCGTGGTTCAGAGTCCGTTAGATATGAAGCGTCAGGTGCGGCTCCGGTATCAATTCCACCACGTTTCCTTAGCTTGGGCATTCCTCCGGCAAACAGGCCACCAAGTTGTGGAGCCGAAGGAAGAGCAGAGGCACCGTCGCCCATATGACCGTCTCGGCCACTGTCACTATTACTTCGCGCTCGATTTCCCCCAGGTGCAGTGGGAGGAGCTAAACCAGTGGGTGGTTTGAACATCCCGGGTATAGGCGGTGCGCCCCCGACAGGAAGACCGGCCGAACTCCCTGAACTCTTGGAAATCATTGGAGCCGATCTATCATTCGTCACCGTTTTCTTTAGGCTCTTGCCTTTTGTGATATCCGTTAATAGCGCAGACTGGTATCAAGGTTAGCCTACGGCTCATTCGCCGGGTATGCTAGGACGCTTACTCTGTCCTTGGCCACTGCTTTGGGGGGTTGCTTTGGGAGATCTCCACTCCTTGGTGGTCTTCCCGGTGGGGGAGGCGGCGCCGGCGGAGGGGCACCACCGCCAAATCCGGGCAGGGGCGGTGGTGGAGGGGGAGGTGGTGGTGGAGGTGGCATGGTGCCTACGGGAGAGGTAGAGGGCGGGAATGTGGTTTAGTGAGGGAGAGGCATAGAAAATACTGCACTTTATCGAGATGATAGTGTATATCGAAAAGCAAAATGGATATTATGCCGGCGTGTATTAGATGCCCCAACAACAAGAAATCAATCATCAATGAATCGCTGCTGTGGAGGCAGTCAGCTCACGATGTCGATGTGACGAGATGTTGGGATTGCTCGCTGCTCAATATCGTCAGCGTGTGGCGGTGCGGGTCAAGGCGATTAGATAAGCCACACCTGCACTTAGCTGCTGCGTCGGGATTTCACTGCATCATTGGAGCACAGAGAGCGTCGAGTCTCCGTGCTGCAGCAGAGAAATATGAAGCGCATTGCGCTTCGGGCTCCAAGAGGAGCTCGAGATCTGATATGTCAATTCTGCGAGTTTTCCACGTCGTCCCGACGATTGGCGATGCGCTCCCAGCCAGCACTCGTCGCACCGCACGCCCCACGAGCTTCCAGAAATGCCGACACAATTACGGGCCATTCGAGCAATCTCACCCTTCCTAGAGCGTCTCTACACCGGTTTGCTTCGAGCTCTGCGGTTTTGAAATCACAAGATGACCCAGACCTCATGCTTCGTGAAGTGCTGAAAGATTCACATGTTATGATAACTGGGACGACATTACCAGACGAAGAGACGATTGTACGCTTACTCGAACGTTGCAAAAGTATTACGAATATTGCTCTTTCGGATAACAATGCTGCTGCGCAGACAGCTCAGGATAATGCGACATCGTCGCTTCTTGACCTTGAGAACGAAAACGGGAGCAGTAACAAGCCAGCCCCAAAGAGGACTGTACAGAAAAATTTCCGGCAGAGAGCAACAATTGGGATCTCCTCTATGCTTAATGAATTACTGCGAGACCCGAAAGTTTTCATAACACCCAAAATCCTCCATGAATACACTGTGATCCAATCCCAGCTCAAAAAAGGAGACCACTTTCCCGAGATCTTTTCCCTCTACGCAAACAAACCCGCACCGCAAGTCAGCGGATCAACAATCACGTACCGTGCTGTCAATGCTAAAACACCGAAGAACGCAATACCACAGAAACTTGCCGATATGGCCCTCGAGGTTGCCATTGAGCAAAAGAATCTATCCCTTGCTCTCGCTATCGTTGACACAACTTTTTGCACGCCGGCTTTCCGCCGCGCTAAAGTTCTACAGCGGGCCTCCCTGCCTATAGCGGGATTAATCGGTACTCCCCCGGCAGCGTATATGGCCGCCAGCTATGCCTCCACTTTCCAAAACACCATGAATCCCACAACTTCAACGTGGATTGCCTTCTCTGCCATCCTAGCCTACATTACATTTACATCCTCAGTGGGATTGGTTGCTATTGCCACCGCAAACGATCAAATGCAACGTGTTGTATGGATTCCCGGCATGCCACTTCGACAACGCTGGTTGAGAGAGGAGGAACGTGCAGCAATGGATAGGATAGCCGTGGCTTGGGGTTTCAAAGATCCATGGATGCATGGTGAAGAGGAGGGAGAAGAGTGGGATAACCTAAGGGAGTTTTTGGGTATGAGAGGCATGGTTTTGGATAAAACAGACTTAATGGAAGGCATGGAATAAATCTGGCTTACATATGGCCCCATTATGACGAAATCTTGATAGAGTGTACAATACTAGGGCGATCTCAGTGCCATTTCTTAACCAATTACTGGGTGTCCGAATGAGAAGAGAACTACGACAATGAATAGAAATAGTCGGGATATTGCTTTTCATTCGTTATTTGCAGTAGATCGTAAATACACATCTATCGACATGATAATGCGGTCATACAATCCATGACAGGCTTAATAGAGTCTCTTAGGAGGAGACATGGTGGCCTTAATTGTCAAGCTGCCAACGTTTTGCCAACCCTTCTTCAACAAGGAGACCAAGTAGTTGATGGCCAACATAATGTTAGAGATCAACTCATCCTCGGTCATGCCAACGTTTCCAACAGCGACACCCATGCAGAGCACCTTCTTGAGCTGGAACTTGATGGTGGACTTGACATCGTTGATCTTGCCCGCGAGATCTTCGTTGTGGGAGATAGGGGTAGGGAATTTACCGGCTAGACACATTGTCAACGATGAACCGTCATGGAATATTGCAAATCGCGTTCTACCAACCTTTGGAGAGACCTGGACCCAAAAGACGGGGGATCTGCTTAATCAAAGAGTCGGAAGCAACAAAGGCATCGTATTTGCGAGCCAACTTCTTGATGAGCTTCTTGTTCTTGTTAAGCTTCTTCAAATCATCGGCGGACATGGCGTCAATGCCGTGGTGCTTGGCACGGTCAATGTCATGCTGGTCACCAAGAACGCTATCCGTCACAGTCATGCCATCAGCCAAAATCTAACCAGACTACATCCCACATATAGTTGTTCACGACATACCAGACGCTCATTCCAGGGCGAGGAACGGAGGGCAACTTGATGGTGCCGGAGAAACGCTTGTCACGCTGAGGATCATAGTTCTTCAAGCCGATCTGGAGCTCGACGGTTTCGAGGAAGTTTCTCTTCTTCTGGTTGTTGGAGTAATCCAGAAGTTGTTGCACGTTTTGGCGCACGCCAGCTGTTCGAGTTCCGTCAGTAACGGGCCTAGGCCAATTTGTCTATGTAAGCCCACTTACCGACTGTGACCTTGGACATGATGAATACAGTCTTCCAGAAGAATAACCTTGGGAGTAATTCTTATGGTGAGGACTTTGCGCTCGATATAGTGCTGACTTGAAGAACGAAAACTTCACGAGTTTCGCTTTCCAGCGGATTTGTGGAGCTGGGCCAGTTCTAGCCTAATAAGGGTTAGTGCAGCCCTAGATAGTTGTGCTGACTCATCCAGTTAACATTTCCCTGCAATTTCTGGGCTCAGCGCATAGTTGACCCAATCAACACATTCAAAGGATGGCTCTTCAAAAATCAATTAAAAACCGGTATAGATTGCAGCAGCTATTTTTTCGCATTCTATACTCCGTATACAACGTCTTTGATATTTGTTCTTAGATAGTCACAAGTTCAGTGGTCTTTGCCATTGCGACAGTCACAAGGTCCTTTTCCTGCAGCTCCTCTATTTGTGGCGCTCCCTCCAAGGCTTCAAACCCACAACTCTGATACAAACTGATCGCAGGTGCATTATTTGCAGACACTAAAAGACTGATATTGACCTTCCGGGCCCCAAAATTCATAGCATCCTTTCCAACTGTCTCCACACTTTTGACCACGAGCCTGCGGCCAATCCCTTGTTTCCGTGCTTCTGGCAAAACAAACATCGATGCGGCAAAGTACGCCGCCTCCCCACTAACGAGCGAAGACATGTCCAAAGTCGAAGATGGCCCCATCGAAGAAAATACTTTCCATGGGGAAGCTGATTCAGATCCATCCGCTGCAAGCGCCCGAGGGCCCAGAAGAACAACCATTCCCACCCATGGATGATCTGAGAGGAGCTTTAGATCATCGTCAATGTGATCATCCTCACAACCCTCTGCCGGCGACGTCCTATTTTTAGCAAGCGCCACGAAAGTCTGGGCCAATGGGTTTTGCAGCCGCCGAGCCCACGCCGCATCGTCAAATTGGCTTTCTCGTTCATAACTCGAGGAAAATGCTGATGGATCAGCCTGGAGAGCGGCCAGACGAGCTTTTCGGAAGTTTTGGCTTAGCACTGCGAGGGTCGGGGGGGAAATGTTAGTCCCCGGCGGAACTCGGACCACGGTAGCTGTTTTGGGATTCATGTTCATGCAGGGGACTGTTCAGTGGGCTGTTGTTTCGTTTGAAATGAGGGGACGATATTGGTTTCACCCAATAAATGTATACGTCAATGAAGCACAGCAATGTTTTGAGTGAGGGGAGGAAGCGACTCAGGACCGTCTTCCCACAGATCTCACGATATTTATGTTACTGCTGACAGGCTAACTGTAGTTAAGCCTGGTGACTCAAGGCGAAATCCCAGGCATGGCTCTGAGTCAATCTTTTGCCATCGAGCGTTCCATCGCATCGTATGGACCTTTTCTGAGACCCCCTGTCCAGGGCAGTGCCTTAGCGCAATCCGGAGAGCACATGAACGGAGAAGAACGCTCCCTGTCCACTAGTTAATGGAACGCAGCCCGCACTGCCTCGGCGGCAGGGTCTGGTTGGTATGGGCTAAGCGCCGGGCAACAGTAAGGCTTGCTTCCATGCAGCGCAGGCCTGAAACGTCCGCCACCTTGTACTCCATAGATTGCCTTCAAAAGGGAGTGAAGTCCGTCATTTTTCAGGGTGTCACGAATTTTTAGTTTCCCGGTTGTGAAACTTTTTCTGATAACAATCTGGAGAGTCCGTGATCATTTGAGTTTAGAATTGAGTTTAACTACCGAATCGTTCCCGCAATGGCGAATCCACACCCCGCCTCTGAGGAGACACCATCGATGCCAGATTACTACAACAAGCTCCCAAACTGCGAATCGTTACGAGCGAAGCTTTGCAATCTCGATGACAGTTCTGATTTCAGGCGTTGCCAGTACTATCTCGGAAGTGATGAGACGCGTAACTTTGTCGTCGATTTCGATGACAATGGCGCCTGGTGTGCTTTTAACATCGAGAAAGATGAGCTATCTGCATTACTAGATAGGAATGTATGTTATTTTATTGTTTTTCCCATAACCTAACTGTACAAAATCACAAGACGGATGTGCTAAAAAGCACGTACATACTAAATAGACATCGAAACCTTTTGAGACCAGATGGATGTAAGATATGGAATCGTCTAGCCAAGCGAGATATCTTTGATCATTGACCGGTTTGGATCTATAGTAATATATGGGCCCCTGAACGACAGGTAGAATTGATACAGGTAGTGTTTGCAGTTGCAGCGCATCTTCTACTTGTCGGACGGATAAACTGATGTATGCAGGCCCTTACCACCCGTTACGAAATGTCCCATCGCCTCGGAGGGTTAATGTGCTCGGATCCTTCGCGATCAAAAAAGATCACTCCCGTATCACCAAAGCTTGCGTGTGACAAGCCACACGCAGAGCATAACGAGGGAGACGACCTTTCCGAAACCACCAGATCGGGGGATATTGAATCAGGATCTCGTTTTGAAAAGCTTGCCTCAGTGGAAGGCCCCACATCCCTTGAGAAATCAAAAGAGTTCGACATGAGTGGCTTCTCATTCTCACAACTGGTAGACAAGATTTGGCACTTTTCGTCAGTGGACTATGGAAATGAGTGTATGGCTTCACAAAGAATATTCCTATTCGGGCCATTTTGCTAATTATAGCAGACACCTGTATAGGATACAATTCTCTTTATGTTGTTCCCAGTGTTGCATTCAAGCAGCCCCCAGGTAGACCTGATGGGAAGAGAGTTTGGTCTTGGCTTATAGTGTGCACCGACGGTAGGGTTATTCGAGTAACCAAAGTTGCTTCAATAACACAGCTGACAGTGCAAAGGGACTGTTATCTCCATCCAGGAAAACCCTTTTGCCCAGGAAACGTTGAGCCCCGACCAGAGACAAGCCGCCTTGAAAGTAATCCGACGTAATACTGGTCTGATTCTTTCTGGGATATCAAAACAGCACAAAGAGAAAAAGAAGCAAAATCCGCTCATGAACACGCACATTAGGAATTTTTCTAATGCTTCCTCAGATATGAGGATCAAAGAGGGTGAAGGGCCCAGCTTGCTCTTCTACTATATCTTCGATGATTGGGTAACCAATTATGGCTTGGTCATAGGAAGAGAGCATTCGTACAGCTCCGCCCTTGAAAAGTTGGTGAGTAGTTTTTGCCGGTTCCAAGAAACCGTGATTGAAGTAGGCTGACACCAACCAAGAGAACCGATATGCTGGAAAAGCCCCAAGTAGACCTGATAACGGACCTCCACGGGATGGGAAGAGAGCTCGCGATTTTAAAAAGACTATATCAGAGTTACGAGCTCATTGCCACCAGAATCCTTAATCGACAGGGGCAGATGATGGAGCAAACGCGCAGAGTTAATACACGAACGGCCAGTCAAGTCCGAGGCCTGCACAAATATACTTCCGAGCCCATGCGAAACGAGAGTTGGAGATCGTTTCCCACTGAAAGAGACTGTGACGAGAGTATAGAAGATTTCGGGTTACAACAGATCGGAGGAGCGCCGTTGAAGGAAGCGGCACTCAACCGTATCGAGCGGCTTGCCGACCGAATAAGACTCTATGCTTTGAGTGAAATCGAGGAGTGTCTGAATGAAAAGGAGACCCTTACATTTTTGGTAAACAGTCATTACCTCCCAGTGTCCAAGTAATTTTCGAAATCTAACTCGTGTTAGGTTTTCAACTTGATCGCAATCAAAGATTCGCACGCTGTCGGAAAGCTAACCCGAAGCACTGTTCTACTTTCCAAGGTAACAATTCTTTTTCTACCAGTGAGCCTGATGACTAGTTATTTTTCCACGGAGATCGACGATCTCAAGGCCTCTTATACCGCCAAAAATTATTGGGTCTCCTTCGCAGTGATCATGTTCTTGTCCGCTGCAGGACTCTCTTTGTTCGGATGGATCCACAATGTTATTGGTGGCAAGTCAACACATCGGTCTATAAAAAGGCACTTCATGCAGGCGCGGAAAGCTCTGCAGCAAAGGAGGGCGAAGAATTACTCGTGATTTAGAGGGTCCGACTTTGGTGACGTCGGTCTTTTTCAAGCAACTTTGGTCTATCTTTCCAGTCTTGGTGAAAGACATTTTGGAATATTTATGATGCAGTGATATGGAGTATGACGAATGGAGTCTTATTATTTGTGGACATAGAGGGAGGAATCTCATGCAGTTCAGCTTGAAATCACTGTACGCCATGCAAGTCAGTAAAATCTCTAATCCAATAGGCCATGATGAAGCGCAGTCTCCTGCATTCTGAAAATGATGAGGAAGAATAACACCTAGCTTCTCTAACAAGTGTTCATGCAGAGCATTCCGTTCAGTCCTGCAGCTCCAGAACCTGATTAATTTTGGAGCCTGAGAGCTAAAAACCCTTTCGAATATTCACATGTGCCACTTAGAATTGAGAAAGTGGCCTCTTGTCAAGGAACCATTGCTGATCGCAGGCTGCACCAATTCCAAACAGAAATAAAAACGATGGCTGAAGAAGGATGATGAGACGAATGCTATTCTCATATTTTCTCCCGAGCGAAAGCAGTGTCATTCAGATTGCCTCCTCTTGTTTTTCTGTTGCTTTATCGTGGAATCACGCCTTTTTTTTGGTGTGGTGGGCTAGTTTGGGTGGCAGAAGGGCCTTGGCTGGGCAAGTGTGGGAGAGTGACAAAGGCTACGCTGAATTCCTCGACCTGACATTCTCCCCAAAATTTCCATCTCCATCAGAACAACTGTCAATCACCGGAAGATAGGAGACCTCTTATCCTTCCACTCAACCACTACATTGAACTTTTTCTGACATTCGCCCCATCCGGCACTCTTTTCCTTGTGAGTTGATGCTGTTTCTTGTTTTCAGCCCTCTGTCAAAGTTACAAATGGACCCAACCTGTTCTGTCCCCTGGATGCCTGCCCTCCTCATTTCACGTCCCTCCACCTCCCACATCAGCCACCTGTCCGCTCCCCTTTAGAACCCTCTTTGCAAAACTTTTACCAGGCACGTCAATATTATTGGTGCATATGCTAATCTGTTGCCCTGTTTTCCATCTACGTTTAGATCTCTTTTCCTACCTCTTTCTACGACGACACCACCAAGATGGGTATGACATTCTCAAAGCTGTTTGACAGCATATGGCGGAAGAAGGAGATGAGAATTTTGATGGTCGGTCTTGATGCCGCCGGAAAAACCACCATCTTGTATAAACTGAAACTCGGTGAAATCGTCACGACTATTCCCACAATTGGTAAGTGTTGGCGTGGCCGCGTTTGCATCCAAAAAAAAAGACGTTGGGAGAATCCGGGGGTAGACGCTAACACATGCTGGTACCCGACAGGATTCAACGTCGAAACCGTCGAATATAAGAACATTCAATTCACCGTGTGGGACGTTGGTGGTCAAGACAAGATCAGACCCCTTTGGAGACACTATTTCCAGAACACACAGGGCATCATTTTCGTCGTTGACAGCAACGATCGTGACCGTGTTGTCGAGGCTAGAGAAGAACTCCAGCGCATGCTTAATGAAGATGAACTCCGCGATGCCCTCCTCCTTGTCTTTGCCAACAAGCAAGATCTTCCCGTACGTCTTTGAACAATCCCTCCGATGTACTGGGCGCTACTAACGTGATTGCCTTACAGAATGCGATGAGCCCCGCTGAGATCACCCAGCAGCTCGGCCTCCAAAGCTTGACACGACGTGCCTGGGTAAGTCGTATCTCTCCCGTCATGCAGCGTCAAGCATAGCTAATCCGTCCCACAGTACATCCAATCCACCTGCGCTACAACCGGTGATGGTCTTTATGAGGGTCTCGAATGGTTGGCCAACGCCTTGAAGAAGTCCGGACATGACTAAATGCTCTCCAATGATTGATGTGTAATGCCAACAATTGGGATTACGTGTTGCGTCGGTGCGGAAATGTGGGCTTGGCGGTACACGTTTTGATAGGGTCCTTTGTTTCTCAAACCTGGCGTCATCTCTCTTACTTTCCGCCTAGTATGATTGTCGTGCTTTTACCTCTTTATATTTTGTCTCCTTTTTATAACCTTACTCGTTGTCAATTGAAGCCCTGCTTTATTTATATACACATCGGGGTGTCTTTGTGTCAACGAAGGGTGCGTCGTCTTTGGCCTGTCATATGTGTGCTCAAGCCTCGTACAAAGCTGCCCCGTCAAACTCACTACAACCCTACCAGAGCTTTGGCTGTCTAGTATTCCTCTCCACACCTTATACTCTTTTTAGAAGTGTCATAATTACGGGGAAGAAGTCGCAAAATAATTGTACAAAGCACTTGCCGGCGTTACTTTCCGTCCCGCGGGGGTTTGCTTTATTCCGAATCATTTTTGGACCGGTCGGAACAGGAATTAATACATCGAATCATCTCGTCTCTTGCAACTTGGTTTCAGTGGCATGTCCATTCTTTTGAAATGTTTTGGCGGGGTTAGTGTTTTGGGTGGAACGTACGCCGAGGTGGCAAACAAAAGCTATATAGGCTTCGATAAGGCACTTAATTGCATCAGCTATAAGTTTCAATACATTCATCGGTTGGTAAATTCGCTGCATATCTGAAGTAAGGAATCTAATCCAATACTAGATATGGATTTATCTCTATAGAAACCGAGCAACGAGGCACAACGGGGTGTGAAGACCGAGGACATTTAAAGCAACAAGAGTTATAAAGAATTTAAAAAAAAAAAAAAAAGGGACCTTAATCTAGGAAATAGCAACCCGCCAACTTCGTTTAAAAGGTTTGTATTAATTGGTAAATTGGTAAGGTATTTGAGGGATTGCGGGCGACATATTTGCTTATGTACGTAGTAGAGTGCTGTGTGTTTGTAGGAGTCTGGTATCAAAGAAAAGAAATCATGTCAAAATCATTCAAGAACCCGGGCATATGCGCTTGCCATTGCTCGTTGGTCATCATCGTGAGGTCATGAAATCGTTACCAAGCCGTGTTCCTTGTTCACATCGATTCCATGGCGTATGCGGCCGTATCAGGTCGTGTGGACATTTTGGTCAATTCATAGCCGGATTCGTTTCTGCCTGAGAATCACCGTGTGTCGCTCGCTGAACTTGTAGAGTGGCAACCTTGTGGGTACAGCTTTGAGAGCGCGGTTCGATACCCGTTACCCACCACGCAGCGGCATGGACGATCTGTATCACACACTGCAAGTCCTCTATCGTCTGGGGCGCGTAGATCATTACGAATCCCGTAGGCACAAATCTCAGCTTCCACCACCAGCTCTCTCTCGCTAGGGGATGGCGTTCTCCCCATCCCTTATCGATGATGTGTTTCACGTCCAGGGGGTGAAGTGTTAGGTGGAGACTGCCGTCGCTTGGGTGAGAATGACATACTTCGCCGTTGCAGGTCGGCTGGTTCCTCAGAGTCGGAACCGAAAACAGACCAGTACTGTGTTTTTCGAAGCATGAAGTATCAGTGTAAAAGCGGTCGGAATTATGGACGGATATATCTTTGATTGCGGCTGCAAGCGCTGAGTACATGGCCGAAGTGCCTCGCTGGGTTATTTGACGCTGGGGAGCGATTCCCGCGACTTTAGGTCGGGATAAACTCCTTTTGGGCAAATTCTGTAGAATGCCGGCATGAGGGTGAAGGTCGGGAGGTAGATAGGGCGGATCTAGAGGATCTCTAAGCACGAAGATCTGTAGTACACAGATTCGAAGGTACCCCCTAAAGGTCGAGGGCGTACCTCCTGGGCCTAGGGCCAAGAAGGCATGATATCCGCTGCGTACCCTCCGAATGAACAGCGTCAGAACCAGTATTGATATTGTAGAGAGAAGCGTAAGCATGAGCGGTGAAGAGGTGTATGAATCCACATCAATAAGGACCATGTATCCGGCGCCAAATTGCTGCGTGGACGAAGAAGCTGCCTGTTGATGTCGAGGTGGTGAGCGTGATTTGCCGAAAACCCAAGGCACAAGACCGACTAAAATTCTCCGGACATCCAACTGCATACCATTTGTGCTTGAGTAGGCTGGAAAGGTAATCATAGAACTTCGTGATTTGAAGTAGAAAACAAAAACTCCTCTTGCATTCGGACTTGAAAGCAGGGGGACAGAATATATGAACCAAATAGAAAAAATCATGAGAATATAAACGCAATATCAAGAAGGATGGTTCCTCGTCTTTATCACAGGGCTCATTGTGTGATTGATGCAGAATCGGCTCTAACAGTGAACCAACACGGCAGGTGAATTCCAATGCCTGACTGGTCATGCCCAAGGATTGATCGATTATTAACGTTTAATTGCATGAAAACTGTGTTCAAAGCTATTAGCATGATTGTTTCTTGCAGCTTCGGAATTGGCCTAGGCCATTGCTAAACAATGTTGTGTCTGCATGACACATATGCCTTGTTCAGATGACATCCAGGCCGCCCAGCCTAGTTAAATTTGGGTGAAGGTGGAGTGAGTTTGTCACAAATTGCCACTCTTTTTCAGATTTCCCACCATAGATCCAAGATGACGCGCCTTGTTTCTTTATTGAATGTCGGGTTCTTGATGGCAGTGTCTCCAAATGCGATTAAGAAAAGAAAAAGAAAACTGAAAAGTCCAAAAGCTGTTCCCCACACAGCTGGTGCAGAAGCTGTAGATGCATAGATTTGTCCTTTCAGCTTTATGTCAGCTTGAAGGGAAAGTCACTTTGGATGTAGCTTTCAGCCATCCGCTGGGACCAGTTGGTGTGTTTCTTGGATTCGATACCACCATGGAGCACGGAGACGTTACGCAACAGCCAGCGTCAGGGCCCCACGCAGAGCCATCTCATCGATCCACGTTCATTAGGGACGGAACAGTTGCCAAAATCTCCAACACTATGGACGATTAGCTCGCATACTCAGCCCAATTTGTGCGGTGTATTTTGTCATCGATAGCTCTGGATTCCTCGACGCTGAATGGTACCCATCCCACCTGTCAGGCCAGGACCGTGGCTAGGGATCAAAATTGACCTTCATCTCACCCTAGTCTGACTCAACATAGAGCGGTTAATCTCTTTACTCCGGGGTGTAGAGGAAGAAACTTATATGTCCAAAAATTTTGGAAGTCTCAAAATCCCCACTTCTACGAAGGAGACATGAGAAGGATTACAAGTAAGGAATTCGAAAATCGAAGATACCTACATATCCATCCAGTGACAGTTGGGCCTCAATAGCCGCTAGCTAACATATTCTCGTATGTTTTCGCCAGACACCCGGCATCCGCATAGTTTCTCCTGAGTCCTGCATCACACTGTTACCTACCCTGGTTCTTCCTGTAGCATGTGCTGCTGTCCTTTTGCCTCATCACTGTCGTCTCCCTATGATAAGAGGCCACCAATGAATTGCTTTTCGATATATGTACGGGGTACGTACATACATATATCAGCTGTGACACTTTTGCAAACAAAAATAGTTGCTTGCCGCGACTCATATGGACCCTGTATGCTGTTTACCCCCAGATTTTAGATCGAACCAACTAATTCCGGGGGAGTGGGGTGGAATCGATCTGTCAACTCGGCTGTTTCTTCAGTCACTGCAGGAGAAACACGAAAAGTTGTGTCCACAAGTCTTGTCGGCATTTCAGATCCTCAATCCAGGGCCATACGAGGCTCAGTGCTGGCATTGGATAGAAACGTTTTTGTAAGTCATCTGATGCATTACTCATTTTGTCCCTCCATGCCAGCTCAAATGCTGTCGCTGGACAGAAGGCTCATTGAATGCATCCTCCATGCAAAATGTCGTGGATTCGATCCTGTGTGGGTGTCCAGCCGACATCGTGGATTTGTGGATAACGAAGATGCCGCGCTTACCTCATCAAATAGGCTATTCTACATTTGGATTAGTTAGATTTCTCGCTGAGTCATGCCCGAGGATGGCGCCAAGACGTGGTTGCCGTGGTGAACGCGCTCTCACACTAGACCGAATTAGGTATAACCTCAACCAATCAAAACGGCCAACGGGACGGGCGGGTCTCGAGTCTGGCGCTGCGATTGGTGGAGGCCTTGGCGACTGTTGACTCGCGTCCGTTCCGTGAGCGGAAGGCTTGGACGACAGAGGCACCTTTGACGTCAAAGGAACGACTGAGCAGCCCCGGACGTCGATTGTCTCGAGAAGATTCCCTACCTCTCTCCGGTGGCTCAAGCTTCTAATCTCATCCTCCTCTCTGGCGGATCGCTCTGCGTCGCCAAAATACTACTTTCGCTCATCTTCCATTGGGTGAATCTAGTTCGCGGGGCGTTTGACGGCTGTGAGATGCTCGAGTGACAACTCTCGCCAATGCTTCGACCCGCGACTTAGCCTGTGATTCTGGTACGATTTTTTTTTTCCCCTCTTCTTTAAGCCAGGGCAGCGCAATGGGCAAAAAAGATTCATCACATCGGGAGAAATACCCGTATCTCTCTCGAGAATCGTCCTTCGAACGCGATGAAGAATACTACTCTTTCTCTGACTCCTCTTATGGAACGTCGGACTCTGCAAGACCAATACTGCGCCCTCCAATACCGCGCAAAAGACCCGTATTGCGGCCTTATCGTTTCCCGCACACTGTGATGAGATGTGTCTGCCTGGGAGTGTTTTGTGCATTGCTCTTGTTCGTCTTTGCCCTCTTTAGGGTTACTCTGATACACACCTTTATCAAGCCCATTGAAATAAAGCTCCCAGAGGGTGAGCTGCTGCCGAGACCACCACAGTGGGAGAGATTTCCCTTTCTCAAGCGATATTACGGCGGTATAAAGACGTTAGTGCCAAGACAGAATAATGTGCCTGAATACCCTGGCGAGGAAGTCGACGAAAAAGTGAAGAGCGGTAAAGGCTTGCCCACAGAAGATAAGAAGAAACGGGATTCTCAGCTCTCCAGTTTCATCTTTGATCCATATCCAAATTATACCTCCCCAGAATACATCGCTAAATACGGCAGTAAAAAGGATTGTTTTCTCGACACAGCTGAAAAGGTCTCGGTCCCATATGTCCGCCATTACAATGGCGTCCCGAAGGGATTTCCAGACGCCATAATTGGTTCGAATGAGTTGCTCGGAATCAAAGACGACATTTGCTTCGATCGATTCGGGAGGTTAGGTCCTTACGGCTTGGGATACGGTTCCAGATCTGGGGGCAGTGGTGCCGGACTTGAGGGTGAGAGGTCTGGGATAGAATCTGTTTGGGAAGACGTCCCTCCTGTCGATTTTCGGGGTATCCAATGGGCAGAGGTTCAAGACCGTTGTGTTTCCGCGAACCGACACCGTTTTCCAAAACCATCCAAACCGAGAGTTGACTCTTTCCGGACGCTTCCACTTGCAAAACGACCCGAGGGTGATCAAAAGGGAACTGAGACGGTTCCCGCTAATGTCACGATTGGAACCGACCGTCTTCCTCGGGTTGCATTTATCATTCGCACGTGGCACGATTTCAAGTATAACAAGGAGTCCATCATGTACTTACGGTCGTTGATATCCGAACTTTCTTTGATATCTGGCGGAGAATATATGGTACATTTCCTTATCCATGTACGGGATGACAATCTTCAAATTTGGGCCGACGACGAAACATACAATCGCGTTTTGGAAAACGCCCTTCCCAAGGAATTTTGGGGAATGGGGAGTCTGTGGTCGGAAAGACAGATGGGACTTATTTATGGTGGGCTTGAGGACGCGTTCGTCCGAGGTCTACCAGTTCATGGTGTTTACAGGAGCGCATTCATGCCACTACAATACTTTGCTCATCAGCATCCGGACTACGACTTTTACTGGAACTGGGAGATGGATATACGGTACACAGGGCATTGGTATCACCTACTCCATAAAATCTCGGAATGGTCAAAACAGCAGCCACGCAAAGGGTTATGGGAGCGAAATTCACGATTCTACGTTCCCAATGTCCACGGATCGTGGGAAGATTTCCGACAAATGGTCCGTGTACAAACTGAAATTGGAACGAATAATCCGCACAATATGTGGAGCGCGTTAAGGAAAGATCAGAAAAAGGGCTACCGACCATCAGAGCTCCAACCCGATAAGCTGATCTGGGGGCCCGAAAGACCTCCGGCAGAACAAGATATCCTCGAGGTGGGCGGTGAAGGGATACCGCCAACGACATACGAGAAAGATAAGTACGAATGGGGCGTCGGCGAGGACGCTGACCTCATTGTTTTAAACCCACTGTACGATCCCGAAGGAACAACCTGGCTTCTGAAAGATGATGTCACCGGGTACAACAGGAGCCACGAGTATCCACCGCGACGAACGTCGATCATAACAGCATCTCGTCTTTCACGCAAATTACTACATACAATGCATCGTGAAACTACCATAAAGCGACACACCATGTTCTCGGAAATGTGGCCCGCCACAACATGTCTTCACCACGGTTTCAAAGCCGTGTACGCCCCCCACGCTGTCTACATAGACCGACGGTGGCCACCGGTGTACCTGGAGTCTATTTTCAATGGAGGCAGGAATGGAGCCAGCGGTGGTTCACGAATGTCAGTCTTCGGGGACCGCGAACATAACTTTAAAGGTACGACGTGGTTCTACTCGGCGGGACATGCCCTAAACCTCTGGAACCGATGGCTTGGGTATAAAGTGAACAATGACGGCGGTGAAGACTTTGAGCTCGCTAACGAGGGGCGCATGTGCCTTCCACCGATGCTGTTTCATCCGATAAAGGAAGTGAGTTTGACCATTGACAGTAGTTGACCCGTGACCAAAAATCGGAGCTGGTGTTCCATGGATTGTTGATGTTTCAGAAAATGCTTTCCGATCTATACGTTTTCCGCACTTTTCTGTTTTGTTTTAAAATCCCCAACGAATGCTCCGTGTTCAGTGCTTCTCACTTTAGTCAGCGCCGTGGGATTTCGACTTTCGAGAAGTCGAAATCCACGATCCACAGAACTTAAAAGATTTGAGATCAGATCCCGGCTGGATCTTTTTCTGTGGCGAAACTATTTTCTCTACCAAGCAAGAGGGCTTGGGGATAAGGCTATGCATTCCATGGTTTCACTGTAACTCGATTATGAACAGTTTTTATACATCCGAGCCAAAGGCGTGGCGATGCGCATATGTGTTTCTTTTTTTAGGAGGTCAGGCCTGGTGTTAATGGGGAATCATCATTCTGCGGTATGCATCAAGGAGTTTATGTGGCCATGGGAAATTGTTTCTAAGCGGGGTAGAAGGACCAGAATTTCTTCCACATGCATATGATGTACTCAATAGCTCTGTGAATAATATTTTTCTTTATATGCGACTAAGACTCCAAAGATGACTTCAAAGTTAATGAACCAAACCTGGGAGCAGGGAGTTAGAATGTTATGTCGGAGTACGGGATAAGATTGCGAGCCTATATATCTGACAATCAACATCATAATGTATATTTCCCGACTTGCTTTTGAATGGACGACGGGGCGCATGCTCGGAAGAGGCTGAGGGTCTGACGGCCCCTTAACGAGGAGCCGAGAGGAACCCAAGCCTACCTTGGCCTGCTGGATATAGTTATCTCTGATGCTACATTCCACATCCGACGGTTCTCGATTTGCTGGGCGAGCAGGAAATCGCCAGTCCATCCCACCAGCGGACTGGTATGTCTTTCTCGTGCGGAGGCAAAAATTGGCCTCCTGAGAGGGAAGAGGTGTTTCAGCTAGGTCTCCAGCCTGTACTCCGTGCTCCGTGTTTATGTTGTTCGTTGCGATTTTAAAAAAATTGTCGCTGGTAGCTTCAAGATGTCCATAGAAAAAGAGAGAGAAAAGTTAAGAAGGGCATGGAGACACCAAGACCAGCTGACGACGGAATACACAGTTTGGGGGTTTAAGGTTATTCAGAATGTTCACCCTGTCCAAGAATATGCATAACTCAAGAGCACTGCGGGACCTCGCTCGCCACCTTGTGAAAGGAAATTATGACAAATTAAAAAAACCAAAAAAAAAAAAAAAGGGTTGGTGGACGGTGCTGCATGATGCTTCCCCATCTCCTACGATGCGGTGAAATTATCTGCTTGATCTGCAGGTAAACCATTTTGCCGGTGATATGCTCTGTAACCATGCATATGTATGTACGTCGTCGTGGGGAAGCTTTTTTGAAACAGGCACCTTGGTAGCGCGGGGCCTCGAGCCATGTCCGAACATCCTGTGCAGAACAATCAGCTCCGTGCTGGCTGGCAGGCAGAATTTTGGCGCTTAACAGCAAGATGTCATTGCACCAGGATGGAGTGCCTGAAAGCCAAGCTCCTAGCTCGCCAGCTAGCCAAACCGCTAAACATCCGGCGGCTGCAAGCTGCAGCTCTTCCCCAGATGTCGACCACAATTGGCCAGTCAGTTGTGTGCAGCACACCCGCTTTGACACCAAGGAGCATGTAGGTGTGGCCGCTTCTGTGACGGCGATGTTTCGGGCAAACGGGCAGAAAGTGGGTGGTCTCAACGCCAGTGGGGGCTTGACCGGTTTGACCAGACCGGCCACCAAACTGTGGTGACAGTGGCGGCAGTGCGGAGAGAGCAGCTGGGTGGAGGGGAACGCCCATTTGCTATTTTTGGTGATTTTCTTTTTCTCTTGTTTTTTTCTTTTTTTTTGTTTTGTTTTGTGTGAAGGGCTGCTGTGTGCATGAATATTTAAGGAAGCTGTGATCATCTTTCTTTTCTTTTTTCTTTTTTTCTGTCTTCCTCTTTCTTTCTTTCATTCATTCATTCATCGCCAGGTCAACCGCCTTGCTCTCCTTCTCCCCCTCTCACCGTCCAACCACTCTCACTCTCACTCATCGTTCACTGCCTGTCATTGAGCGGTCTTGTCCATAGTTCCCCCATACTTTCTGCTGTCACTGGAATCTTCACGGCAGAAAATTGCTCTTATTTACTTGCTATCAAAGCTAATCTGACACCTGTGCTCTGCAACATACCCCCCATTCTCAGACCTGCTGTCTTGGCAACTTCAAGTTTGGCTTTACCTGTCTGCACAACTCGCATCTAATTCTGCTTTCTCGGTTGACTCGCCTGATCCAAGATGCATGCAAAATCCCTTCTTGCTTTTACTTCGCTCTTGAGCGCAGGCTTTGCTGCCGCTCAGACTGGAAGGCTTGGAGATGCCGATGTCACTGTTGGCAACTCTCCCACCGTGGTGTACGAGGCCGAATTGCTAGACAAGAACAACACCAACGTCCGTGGCACCGTCCTTGTCAGCGGTTCTAGCGACGGCGTCGGCGTCATCTACAACGTCAATTTTACTGGGTTCCCCCCTTTTGGAGGCCCATTCAGTGAGTAGCTCCCGCAACCCAATTCAACCTTTAACCCTTGGTTCTGACCGTTTTGCCCCACCAGTCTATCACGTCCACGACCAACCCGTTCCCGAGAACGGGGACTGCCTCGGCACTCTTGCCCATCTTGACCCCTACGAGCGGGGTGAAATGCCCAAGTGCGACCCTTCCAGGCCACAGACCTGTCAGGTTGGAGATCTAAGCGGCAAGTTCGGCGATATCGAAAACGTCAGCGGCAGTTTGTTCTTCCAGCAGCAATACCACGACCCCTACTCCTCCGTCACCTACGGTCTCGGCTCCTTCGTTGGAAACCGCTCTATCGTCGTCCACTTCGCCAACACAACGCGTATCAACTGCGGCAACTTCACCCTGAAGGAAATCAGACCAGGTAGCCGCGGTCTCCCTTGCAACGGAAGATTCTGCCCAAACAGTCCTTCAGGAAGCATGTCAGTTCCTGTTCCAACTACAACTAGCCCTCCCCCCTTCGAGGGTGACGCTGCGAAAGTGAGCGTAATGTCTGCTACTGGAGTACTTGCCGCTCTCATTGGTCTATTGTGGTGACTTTGATTTTTCAATGTCATCACTGATCACCTTTTAGGATCATATTCTTTAGCGGTGGCGTCTAGGATAGCTTAATTTAATCCGTTCAAATGTGGCTGGAAATGCCTAGTTCACTGTGATGCAAAAATGCTCTTATTTGCTGGGTAGCTGCTTTGACCAATCCCTCTTTTTTTTTTACCCGTTTTCTTGTATTCACTTTCACTAATAATTAATGTATACACCTCTTAAAAGTGAATCAATATGCAAATAACGGGGGTAAAAAAAGCTCCCCTTCATCAATCTTTGGCTTCCTTTTCACCGTATATAAGCTTGTACTCCATATAGTGAGTGGGTAACCAGTTTATCAAAGTGGCTTACTCGGTTCTTTCTCTGTGCAGTTAGCTTTTGATTATGTATATGTGTAGGGAGCATACGAAGTACTTCTCGAGGAAACATACCCGTTTGGGGACGGAGCTCGCAAGCTTCGAGTATCACTTGTTGCGGTGGCTGAAAGGGAGGTGAGTTTGAAGACGGTGGCGGTCTTCGCGGGGGGGGAATTTTATCTGCTTCTTTGCAAACCTCAGAATGATGATAAACCCGACCTCCTCTGGGAGGGGAGGGGAAAGGGAAAGGAGGGAGACAGGTGTGTCAGTTCTTTTACACAAGTTTTTGAAACAACACAGTAACACAGCCCATTGGAAGCAAGTCACGGGCATCTTCTGTGATGTCTCTGATATTTCATTTGATATTCTTGAGTGTTGAATTCAGGCTTTTTATTTTTTGAGTTCTATTTCACCCTTTTCTAACTACCTATCTATAACTTCAGTAACTGTATTCTGGGGAACGTGTATGTGGATTATATGCATCGGTATGCATCATGCATGTTTATGTATGTATATGCAGTGAAACACCTGGGACAAAATGCAAGAGCTTATCCTGTGCAATCCTCCAGCTGCTGCTGGTTGGCCACATTCTGAACCTTGGAAGGGTGGGACGTACGTAATGCAAAGTACAAGGTCCTCACGCGTCTCAAACCAATATGGTTCTCAAGGAGGCATACACAAATCACAAATCATCTTCTCCAGGCAAAGAGTACACCTATACTCCAGGGTGTTTCAATCGTTCCGTGGTTTGGGTGGTTGGGAAATATAGACGATCTGACCGTGTTGTTGAAACCTTTCCTTTTTTTTTTTTTTTTTTTTTTTTTTTTGGGGAGAAGTCAGGTCTAGGTTACCCTTGGGCCCACGGTACGGGAGAATCTTGATTTAGAAAAAGTGACTAACTCCATCACACACCTTTAGATTTAGACCGGGCAGGGCCCCGAAAAAATGGTGTTGAGATTCGACGTTGTGTAACTCCCCAAGTTCTCTCCAAACGTGTCATTATCGGAGGAAAAGAAGGATCAGCGAGTGCAAAAAGGGAAGGGATAAAAAAAAAAAAAAGAAGGGAACAACGTCGAGAATCCAAAAGGGAAGATGGAGATAGTTTCCCCAGTTTGGAAGTGATTTTTGCTAGGCTTCTTGGGCCCAACGACGTTCTCGAAGCGGCATCTCCTCGCCAGCTTTGGCGCGGGTGCCATCTACTTCGTGACGCCAAGCCCAATACTCCCCAAGGCGTTCTTCAGCGTAATTGGCATAGTCGAAGTCGATCTGCGAAATCGTCGCTTGGATCAACGCCCATACACCCCTGTTTAAGCACGTCAGTTCGCAGGCGCTTTGACAGCATGGAGAGGGGATGGGCGTACCAATAGAAACCGGGGATTCCCCTGAACCTATCAACGTCCTGGAACAGCTTCTCGACAGCTTCTTCCTGGGTTTGACCCAAATCTGCATATTTACTGTAGCTTTGGACGTATTCTGTGAGGAATCCACGGCGGACGGAGCGCGTGGGCATCATGTTGTAATCACAGTCGTAACCACCCCACTCGGCGAAGTGGTTTGCAATATCGAACGCTGCGGGCGATGGTGTGGCATACTCGTAGTCAATGAAGCTGACAGTTTCGACCGAGTCCTGTTCAGAGGCAATAGACGTGGCTGACTTCGGCTGTCGAATAACATTCGCGCTTAAAAGGTCGCAGTGAGCGAAGACCAGCTATCACATCATCAGTTCCAACTCCGATTCAGATATATACAAAAATAAATAAATATAAAAAGTAAAAATAGAAATAGAAATAGAAAAATGTATATATTAACCCAACTTACCCCATTTTCTCCCAGGCCTGACTGATCGTCTAACTCCGCGACAATTCTTTCAAACTCTTTCTGAAGCCGCTTTCGTCTTTCACGTTCCTTATCGGTGGTAACGGGGAGAGCGAGAATCCACTTCTGCAACACGGTCCAAAGTGTGGGTATTCCATCTCCCTGCTCTTTGACCGGGTGTATGTCATCGTCGACTTCGACAGAGCAGTTCGTATTTCCATCCACAATGTCCAAGGGAGTTGCAGTCCCGTTTGCGGAGTCTGGGATTACTGGATTAGTGGTATAGTCATTGATCGGGAGGACGGCATGCCACTGGGCAAGCCGCCGTGCAACCGCCCGCCAGATATGTGGTTGGGTAAGGTCATGCGGAGAGGCTACCTGTCCACGGATAAAGCGATACAGGAGGCCATTCCTAAACCGAGCTAGCAGGGGAGGAGCGAGGCCTTTCGACGCAAGCAAGGCATGGGATCGTATTTCCTCTGCACATCACAAAAGATCGGTTAGAACCATCTATCCCCACGAGTGCCAGGAAAAAAAGAAATTTGGGCAGAACGTACTTTCTCTATCGATGAGGACCTCTGTATGATTGCCGTAGGCTCTCATTAACACTGCTTCATTGTCAATCTCCTCGTCGGTCATACCCGGGGCTCGTCGGATAATTTTCAACAGCTTTGAGCAGCGTGTTAGTGGGAGTAAAAATATATATCAGTGGCATCGAAATGGTGGGCGATTTTGCTACGTACCGTGTTCGTGATGCCATCGGTGAACCTCACGAATTCAATCTTGCCTTCAGCATGCTCCCACTCCGGTCGCAAAGCCAGGACAAGCCTCAATGCCGAAGCCTGGGAGTCAGCATGAGTGTACGACAGAGGAATGTACCTTGTCGATGCATGGCCTGCACCTTGGGTCGACTGGCTAGGAGCCATACTGTAAACAAGTTCTCTATAAGGGTGGTCTCGTGCGAGCGGGGAAGCAGATCAGTCCGGGGTTGAGCAGCACTGGGCCAAGTGTATTCAACCAAGGAACGCAGATTCCACAGAAACCTGGCAAAGGCAATTAGCGGACGTCCCTCTCTTCAAATAACAAAAGAACGCCCGTGGTACGGAGGAGCAATGAATGAGGTTTTTTTTTTTTCCTTTATGGCAAAGGGTGTGAACAGGGTGGTTTATCACATGGCTTCCCCACAAGGTCGCTGACATCTACTGGACCGGGGTGTCCCAACAAAAGAAGAACCAAAAACAAAAAAAAAAAATCCCTTGAGGGAACACAGTCCCACGATTGAATGGAGCTACATACCAGATAGTTACGGCGAAAGGCGGCGATGCGTCTTCTACCCCGGGTTTCGTGACACGGGGGTGAAGTGGGTGGGAAAGGGGAGGAAGAAAAGCAGGGCGGTCTCGTGCCCACCATGCTGTTCCTGGTAGCCTGCCCAGCGCTTGGTGGGAGCGTCCCTAGCGTCATTCCCAATGGCCCTGGAGCGACCCAAATTGCTTGTTTTGAGTCTTGCCGAAGTTTGGATCCCGAGCGAAAATCCCACGGCAGCTGCCCGACGGACGAGTCACAGCTCCGTTCACTTATGCGCTAGACCGTACCAGGCTAGCGTCGGTCGGACCTGCACGGTCTAGACTTTTATCCGATTGGCCGGCGTCGAACTTGCTGGGATTCGCCAAGACACACATTACATAATAAACACGCCTTGCCTTATTAGGACTAGTTATTATCTTTAATATATCACGTGAGTCCGGCTACAAAATCGTCGCTTCCGCACAGAAAATTTTTCCCTTCTTTTTTCTCTTCTTTTTCTTTCATCTATCATCAGTAGAGGTTTACATTGACCATGTAAATTTCGCACCGGAGCTCCGTCAATGACGGCTTGCTGAGGGTTGTTCTGTTTCTTTCCCTATGGATTGCCTTCCGTTCCCGGCTTCGGAGAAGAGAGTTGATTTGACGACTTGCGTCTTTGACAATTCGCATGGCGAGGCTTTCAATCGTGAAGTCTGGCTATGGAGGAGGCGTGACATTATGAATTTTTTGCGGCTATCTGCTTTTGTGGGATTCATCTCTGGAGCTGCTCGGACTGTGACTGTCGTTTACGAGCTGTATCATGTGTCATATAGAAGTTGATAGGAAAAAGTTACAATGGAAAACAGATTTTTGACAATCCATGCTGAGGTCCTTTTGAAGACGAAAGATTTCCAATTCTCGCTACTCCGTACTATGCCGCATTTATGCTTCTGCGCTGCGTTTTTTTCCTTAATTACTCTCAACGTTCCTCTCCGGCTTCAGGCCTTTGGCCTGCTTCCAGGTCCTACAAAATCACGTATTAATGCGTCACTTGGTTCGTAATCGTCATATTCTCCTATCGTCGTCGCTATGCTCATGCCTTCGTTGCCCGTCCAGTTTGAATAATCTCCCCAGTCCTCCTGTCGTCGCTTCGTAAGACCGGCCAGCTCGAACCGTCAGCCTTAACCAATGTCAGCTCCATTTTAGTTCCCATGATCTTGTATTGCGACTTCTCCGTGTCGATGGGCGCGAACAGCTCATAGGTATCTCGAAATCGCTTATTATCCGTAGTTGGGAGGTCAAATTCGATCGTGTTCGGAGAGGAGAAATTAACCTTCGCCGTGTCCTTGTCGATCTTCTTCAGATAAAATGATACAATCACTGTGGAGGGCGTTTGATAGAAATCCGTGCTGTACCGTGGAGGGCCAAATGTTAGAACGGGCTCGAAGACAAACTGTGAAACGGCTGTGAGCTCACCGAACAGTGTCAACTTTTTCCTCCCCTTTCTTCCCTTTACCAATGAATAGATGTCTCTTTTTTGTATTACAGCCGGGGATTTTCATAAACTCGTCAAACTCCAAGACTCGTCTCTTGCAACAGCTCCATCCTTTGCTCCCCTCATGGAATATCGGTTGTCCGGGATGGTTCACGCATTCCTCCTCGTCTCTCGAAGCGCCGGGACTATATTTCTCGTTGCAGCCCCTTCGGCGACATACCGAATTCGCAGCGATCTCCAGCGAAGGATCGTCGGATTCTGACTCCGGAGGGGCCGGAGTGCCGCTCGGAGTAGGAGTGTGTACTCCAGTAGCCCCGAGTGTCACTGGGGGATGGCTGGGCCGCGTCTGAGAAATGGGAGCGGTCTTGAGAACTGCGCCTTCTGTTATCTCCTCTGTTTCTATGCCTGCTCTCTGTGGTTCTGCTGCGGGCGTGTCATCCACTGTCGAGTGTTTTCCAACCGTGCACGGCGCGATCTCGAGGAATTCATCGAAGTTTAGCACACGCGGTTTGCAGCATTTCCAGCCTGGAGAGGCGGGGAAGGAATAATTAGTTCCAACATGCTCTGTAATGTATTCCGGAATAGAGAGGGTTTCTGTAACCCCGGTGTTTGAAAAGTGCAGAATAACACTGGGAGGTTGGCAAGACAAAATGCGCTTGTGTACCTACCTTTGTGCCCCTCATGGAACACTGGCGGGCCAGGATGGTAGTGGCAAGGCTCATCCGGGTCCTCAAAGTCCTTCCCACAACCTTTGTGGACACACTTGAGAGGCATTTTAGCTAAAAGTAAGATCGTCAATCAGCAAAACACTTTTACCCAACATCACACAAGAAAGTAGCTGTGGAAGACAAGTTCGCGGGCGGAATTTTAGCGGGCAAGCGGCACAGCAGCTGCCCCCAAGCAAATCGAAGCTTCTGGATAATTTTCTTCCACATTCAAACCTGCCAACGTCCACGCCGTCTTGGTTCAATTGACTTTCAGCCCCAACCAACGGTACTTACCCCAGGTCTATCTTTTACAAAATGCGCCCGACCAGATTTCTGTCGCAAAATCTCCGATTGACGCTATTCACGCGGGTCAATTGCTCCCTCTGCGATGTCGTCAAACACACATTGAACCAGGTCCAAACCGCACGGCCGTTTGACTACTCTGAAGTGGACGTGTTGAAGAACAAGGAATGGAAGCAAGCATATCAATACGAGGTTCCTGTTCTACATATTCAGAAGCGGATATCCGCCGGTGGCGATCCCGAAGTGCTCTCGGAAGCAAAAAAGCTGTTCCATCGCTTTACCCGGGAGGAGCTGGAGAAAGCAATGGATGAGGTCGAAAGCTCCAACTGAGCCGGTGAGTCGGATTCTACTGCAATTCAATGGGGCGTACAGTATCCTTAACGTGACATTTAGTAAAAATCTATATATATTGCTCACACAAGCCCGACCACTGACGGCGGTTATCCAGCCTTTGCCGTCGTCAATGAACCTTCGAGATGAGTCGAAAGCGCGTAGACGTCGGAAGTAACGGAGATCTGTCCGATTAAAACAATGATCTTAGAAAAGTGCTCTATACAATCAACGGCGGAGGTTTGGGATTTCTCCTCTGGGACAAAATACCATGTGAAATCCTTGTGAGGCAAATTTTTTGGCCATTTCGCCATTTGGACTGAATATACCGGCTTTTTTGCCATTGTCCACTGCTGCTTTGCGAATTCGCTCGATCGCGGCCTCCAACTCGGGGTGAAACTCATTAATCACTGGCCGGCCAATGTTGTTTCCCAGGTCATATGGCCCGACGAGCAAAACGTCAATTCCTGGCACCCTGGCAATCTCTTCGACCTTAAAATTCATACCCTCTTGTATTAGTTATGACGACAGTTTTCCCCCATGTACAATAGAGAGAATCTTTTTTTCCAGGCGATTTTTGCTGACGCACATTTTCTAATCCTTCCTTGGTCTCAATTTGCACAATCGTAAGCAAGGTGTCGTTCGCGTGGAGTAAATACTCCGTTGCAGAGACATTGCCAATGGGACCCATGGCGAAAGGACTCCCAAAGCCCCTTTTTCCCATCGGAGGGAACTTCGCAGATGCTACCAGCTTTCTAGCATCATCTGCAGTGTCAAGCAGTGGTACAAGGATCCCATGGGCACCGGAATCAAGGGCTCCTTCAATTCGAATGTCAGCTGCTTCGCACATGTGCTTCTTACTCCTGTCTCTAGGCTAGACTCCTACGCTTGACCATCCAGCCTTCATTCGCAGCGATGCGGACTATCGGACTGACGCCTAGAGCAGCAATTGCGGCCACCGCCTCGTGCATTTGGGCGTCTAGGGGCGAAGTAGACATCAGTCAACCAGCTTCCACCTGTGTGCTCGAAAACATTGTTCAGGGAGTCCCCCGCAAAAAGGTATGTCTATCAGCCGTGCGGGGAACCATGGGGTTTCCCAAAACCCATACCTGCAATGTTTCCATGTTCGGTATCAACACAAATCCAGTCGAAGCCGCTTCTCGCCAGAATTCGCGCAACATTCGTGCCTGGCAGCATCTGCCATGCGCCGAACGCCTGCCCTCGGCCCGCCTGGAGCACCGTTCGTAATCTGTTCGCCGCCTGCATTGTTCTTTACAGAAGTTACCGGTCGCAAAGAAATGTGGTTCACTAGCCGTCTTGCAAAATGAATTCCAGCGGAAAAAGCTACCGTTATTAAATTCAACTCTAGGGAAATGGTAGGCTTGGACGCTGTGTTACAGCGAGTCAAGTTGGTTGCTTGTGCTCGGGCCGAAGAGTTTGCCGCTATTACCCAACATTGATGTGCCTCGTTAGTTAAGAGTTAGTTGTTGCCATGCGAGGTAGTTGAAAGTTTAAAGGATGCGTGCATCCGGGGCAAGCTAAGGCCTCCGGAAAACACGATGAAGCTAAGGTTTACTTCTTCCAGAAAGTTAGCGGGCGGATATTCCACTTTAAATTCAAAGTGCAGTTGCAGAGCACGGAAAGCTCTCTACCGCCAAGTAGAACCGCCAATCTAGCATTGTCTAGGGCACATATATGCTAGATTGTGAGCGCATGGTTTGCCCTTTGAGAGCTGCTCCTCTAAATTAAGTCTTTTACTTGCTATTTCTTCTTCTTTCTGCTTTTTATTTTGCTACTTTAAGAATTATACTTTCCTATTTCCTATAGTTACTCGGTCCAGCTTGTGCTTCTCTTTTCGTGGGTTCCAGGGCCTCCAAGACCTGGTTCGTGCTTCAGTTTCTTAATTTTCCAGCTCAACCTCAAGGTCCTCTAATCCTATCCTTTTTTTTACTGCACATTTTACTATTATTTTTATTATTATTCCTGTCTGAAGCGCGTTCTACAACATGCCAGGTTGCCGACGTCGACCCACATTTGGCGATGTCTATGCCGTTAGACTGCGTATTTCTGTCGCCATCCTCATGTCAAACGAGCGTAAAGTCCTCCGCCTATGGAAAGTGTGCCGGTCCTATGAGAATCGAAGCTTCTTGGATGCCATTGTCTTTTGTTGGAGACAGCGATTTGAGATAGTCATGTGCTGCATTTTCGCAATTAATCGTGTATATCCAAGTCCATTTGGAACAGCTTATCATGCTGGGGTTTAGAAATTGACCAGAACTCAAGGATGTAGAATTTTGCAGTAAGATCATCCAGGATAAACCACCCACACTGCGATGACATCTAGCGTTTAACGTCTTGGAACAATGGTGTCCCGACCTTAGAAATGCTTTGACGTTCAAACATCAGAGCGAGCGCCCCGCCGGCCGCCTGCAGCCCAACGGAAAGCCGAGAACCTTAACCGGAAGAGCTACCACATTTACGGCTAAGTGAGCTGGTTTTAGCGTGACTTTACATAAGCCGTGTCAGTCGGAGCAAAGCAAGTGGCATCAGGGGATTTTATCAGATGCTGCTTGCAGTCTCTTTGTTTACGCCTCCAGGCCCCTCACCACTCGTCCATTGGGGTCTTTCACTCCCAAGCTGACTTTAATTTATCGCTCCCCGAGACTTCTTATTGAATTTCTTCACATTTGCTTCTTCCACATTTCCGATCTTCCTCAACGTGTCCAGAGGGACGCGTCCGCAGCCGTGACCACCGATCAATATGAATGCAGATAACCCTAGCGAGCCGAGCACCCCTAGAACGGTACGATGCGATCGTTGTCGCGCGGGACATAGAAAATGTGATGGCCGGCGTCCAGGTAAGTTGTGCTCTATCCACGATTTCAATGGCCAAAAAGCCCACCAATTCTAGTGCCTCTTAGGCTGATCTTCGCAAAGCATGTGGCCAGTGTTTAGGGAAAGACCGCGAGTGTACCTATCGGCTTTCGAGCACGTCGAACACGTCCATCACATCTCTACGCATCAGTCAAGCATGCACGGTGTGTAGAGCTAAAAAGAGAAAATGTGATAGGGAGTTACCTGGTAAGCAACCATTTCATTGCTCTTTGCTGCTTGCTTAGCCCAACTGGATGTTATGCCTGCCTTTAACACAGTAGCTGATACATTACAGTCTGTGGCCCATGTGTCCGAAGAGATCTGGCACTTCAATGTGAATACCTTAGCTCCACCCCTGCCCGTCGTTCGTTGTGAGCCTCCCTTGCCCATCCTTCGGATCATTCTTTTTTGGCCAATATTTTGTTTCTTATGATATTGCTTTAGACTTGCGGATAATCCCTTGATACACCCAAGATCCGACGGAGAAGACGAAGCTCGCCCTCGAAAGCATCCAAGATTGTCGGGTTCATCCTTTATCAGAGGTAGACCTGCATCACCATGCTTGGAAGCCGAGCCTAATGGCATCAATGTTGGCGCAGATGAGAGCGGTCCTAGAATAGACGAAACTGATGCAGGCAGAAATGAAAGCGATACAAGCAGTGATGACAGTGATACTAGTGGAGATGAAAGTGAAACCAGCGAAATTGAAAGCGATTCCGACATGGTTAGACACGATGTTAAAGAGGTTGAATGCGATCCCAGTGAATGTAGGGGCGATGCTGTTGACATTGGAAGCGATTCTGGCGAGGATGAGAGTGATTTTGGAGAAGTCAGACCTGATGAAGTTGGAAGCGATGTCGGTGAAACTGCAAGCGATCTCGGTTCTAGTGAAGATGAAAGCGATTCAGGCAAGGCTAAACGCGATGACGAGGAGGTTGAACGCGATTCCAGCGAAATTAGCCGCAATGCTGTTGGAATTGAAAACAACTCTAGTGAAGATGAAAGTGATGCCGGTGAAGTTAGAGACGACGCTAGTGAAGATGAGAGTGATTCTCTATCCGAAGTGAAACAAAACGGTGTAGAGGAGAAATCTCCTGGGGGTAGCGACGCGCCGTCGGACATTGAGATGGAAGTAGAGCCTGCCACACAGGACTTGGAGCCGCGGAATTACAGAAACATCTCAGCTATCCCTCCGTCACCAACAAGCGTTTCCACAGAGATATATAACTCTAGAGGCTCGGATGAGGATATCTCCCTGTTGAACAATTTGAAGGAAGCAATCTCTCAGCGTACGGATACCTCTAAACCGGGAGTGTGTGAACTGGCGAAAGCTGAGCTACGGAGGTTATCCATGAGGATGAAGGCAAATATCGGATTTTTAGAGGTACAGCCTGATTCCCAGGACTTGGTCCTCCCTACACGCGAGATTGCAGACCAGCATATGGCGCTTTATTTAACTCGTGAATACGTTAATTTACCAATTATCCATCTTCCAGCATTTCAACCCAAATACCTGGAATTGTGGCAAGAAAAGGAACCAATGGATGACAAGGGTGTCTTTCAGGGCATTGTCAATCTCATGTTAGCTCTCGGTTGTCTTCCTAATTTCGACACTCAGGAAGAGGCCTCAATGTACTTTGCTAGGGGTCAGAAGCTCATACGACTCGGAAGTTTAAATGGCGAAGATATACCTTGCGTGCAGGCCTACATCCTTTCCGCCCAATACTTGCTTGCGATTGGAGATGTAGATGCTGCTTGGAAGTCCATTGGCAATGCCATTCGGACTGCACAGGTTTTACACCTTCATCTCAAATCCGGGAGCCAGCACTTGGAGAAAAGGGTGGACAGAGAGCTTGCCAAAAGGCTATGGCATAGTGCCATCATGTTAGAAAGGTAAGTCTAGCAGATTTTGGCGAAATTTCGGCAATGTTCCTGTTGTCACTAACCCAAACCTTTCATAGGATGATTGCTGTGAACTCTGGAATGGCATCAATCGCTTCCCCACCGTTTCGGGCTCCGTTGCCTATTCCTCTTGAGACCGAATATGTCGATGTTGTTTTTGGCGGCGAACCTATGTCTGGCCCTGACCGACCTTCAATTGTTGAATTCTTTACAGCTTCGTGTCGTTTGTATGAAAGATACGACGACATTGTATCTATCCAAGACGAGCTTCGCATTACCGACGGCCGCTCGCCACGCAAGACCCTAGAAGCTTTCGATCCTCAGAAATTGCTCGATGCCGATAGATTGCTGTGCAATTGGAATGCTGCGTTACCACCGTTTCTCCAGTCACATGCACCTGCTCATGAGAACACCATTGCACTTCGCCAGCACAATGTGCTCCGTGTGCGGTATCTTCATCTGCGACTGCTGCTATGGCGTCCATTACTAGCTATTCTAGCTGCAGACCCCGAAATTTGCAAACCCAACCTGATTAATGGTTTGCACAAACCCGAAGCAAGTCGGCTCGATACACCACTCATATATACCATTGCTAAAGAGAGTGCCATCAAGTGCATTCTATGTGCCCAAGAAATTGTCCGCATCCTAGCAAGATTTGAGCGGTTGGATGAAAAATCGAATCCTGTTGGACCTGCTCCTTCTTGGTGGGATAACATAGGTTATCTCTATTGCTGCGCCACTGCTATGCTTGCGGCTCGCCTGTGTTCGAGTGCTTATGATGAAATGCCTAGAAACACTGTGGAAGACTGCTGGAGCAAATCTGTCGATCTTCTGATTAGATATCGCAAGTTAACCCCCCTGGTGATAAGATGTTTGACTGTGTTGGAAAAGCTTTCTTCCACTGTGATGGAAATCGAAGATAAAGACGAGATTAAGAAGGAAGCAAATGGCGATGAGCAGTTTGTCCGGCGAACAAGGGATATGACTTGGTTGGAGATGCTGCCTGTTGATGTTGAAAACTGAATATCAAGAATATGAAAATGGGACCTTGATTACCATTTGCGATGGTATTACTACGACTTCAGACCTTTTTTTATCCAGTTGACCTTGTAAGGATTCTCAATGTGGTCGAGTATTTTCACATCTCCCTCCTTTGCGCTTCTTCCAAGGGACGTGCATGAAAACCTGAGCTGGCATTATGGTGCATGGTTTGCTGGTTGGTGGATATGGCCTTGTATCTATATCAATATTTTGTTTGAGGTATTAATTATCAACCCATCAGAGCCACTTTGAGAGGTGGTGGGACATTGCCTTACACTTCTCTTCTTTACATACGCAGAGGAAAAAGATTTTACGTAACATTTGCTTCTTTAAGAACTAGTTAACTAGATATAAGTACAATGGACGCCTAAATAACTTCCCTTGCAACTATAGGATTTCAGGCAGGTATCCCACCAGGAAACAGGTTAAAATAATATCATTATGTGATCATATCATCATTAAGTCATTAAAATATAACGGTAGTTGCGTTGAGGATGGCACCAACACTGAGCAATGCGACTAGCCGTGCAAGCATCTCAATTTAGAGCCATACAACAGCGACAACCAGGCAAACGATTAGGCCAAAACAACTCCGCTGCAACTCCTTTCTTGTCTTTTCTGACACCACTCCGCCAGAAATCGCATCTGAGGAAGGCTTTGGTACTGGATTTCGGTGTGATCGGGGAAAGCTCAAAGGGGTCAGGATGCTGGGAGAAGTTATTGACATCGCGGCATCGTCGGGGATGGAGGCAGGAAGTATGGGTAAATGGGATTTCGGAGGTAGGATGTGTGCTTCGGAGCCCGAAGAGATGATGTTGCGCAATCGGTCGGGTCTGGGGTGGGTGCTTGCAATGACTGGTATTACCGGTAGGACGAGATTAGATGTAGTTTCATTTATGTAGCTGTATACGGGAAGTCGAAAGTTCGGGCCGATGCAGAATGAGGCTATTTTTCCAGTGAGTACAGGGTATTTACTATGGATATGTAAATATGGGGGACGCAGAGAAGAGCTGGCATGAACACACCTCCGAATCTTTCAAGTGATCCAACAAGAGAGTGCCTATTATGCTGCATTCCTTTCAGCAAGGTTCCACAAAGGCATGGCAGAATCAAGACTGCCATCCAGACTGTTGGTATCCGCAAGAACATCCACATTTTGGTCAGATGGATTGTTCATTATTAGGCCCTTCGAAGGCAGGGAAACGGTAGTGAGAGAACAACACAGAAGGAGGAGAAATGAAGAACAGGATGAAAGAGACCTGCTCCTTCATCAATTCAAGCCTCCTTGAGAGTAGTATGCATGCAGAGAGGAAGCTGCACGTCAAGACAAGCTGCTACTCATATATTGCCCATTGTTGTATAAGGGGCCTAGGAATGCGCCACATCCTGCGGCTGATAGTTGTCCCTTTCTGTGGACAAAATTGGGAGTGTCATTAACAGTGTTTGAGCCGTTGCACATATGCAGGGTTGCTTGGGGCGCAAGGTCAAGAGGCTAGATGTCTGAAAGGATGACATGGGGCCTTTGTGGCCTGGGATGTAGCCTTGTTTTTCTTACCTTGGCTCTCTGCACTGGAGGCTCGGTGGAGTGATCACTTCAACTATTGGCCCATTTACTTGAACTCTTTCCATCTTCACCATCCTAACCATTTAGCATGAGGTACAGAGTGAACTGTTCCCGCTTTACTGGGTTTCAGAAACTGGGTGCGCTGTTGGAAGGTTGTCCATCTGGGCATTTCTGTATGTGCTAAGTATACATATGCCGCCAGAGCAGCCAATTTAGGGCAACCTGATTTAGCATCAATGCAGTCTAACTGAATTCAGCGAATAACTCCGGACAAGCTGCGTCGCAACAAATTCATGTTATGGTACGGAGTACAGACAGGGGTTCGCAGCCCCCAAAATGTCTTGTCAGTATATGGGGATGGCATTGTGCTGTGATCAAGTTATCATCAACTTAATGCTTGTGTTGCCAGTTTCCTGAGTGGATATTAACTTGCCGGTTAACGGTTAAATACCCCGATCAAACCAGCTGAAACATCTGAAACTGAAACAAGTTGAAATAAGAGAGTTATCCCATGACACATATGCGAGCCCATCAGAAATGAGTTTTGTTTCCTTCAGCAAGGACTGAACGCTAATCCAAAACAATATCAAGGGTATAACCATCGAAGATTCGTAATGTTGTTCATATTCTTACATAAATAGACGAGAATGAAAAGAGGAAAAAAATCAAATAATCAAAGCCTTGACTGTCCCAATTTCTTGGTTTCCGCCTTGTACACCTTGACGAGCTGTCTGATCGAGAGGTCGAGGAGCACGTCCTCCGAACCTCCTGGGATGCGGGCACCCCAAACCTCACGGGAAATTTCTACGAGTAGATGACAAGATTAGCAAACGGTGTAGAGGCCAAACTATCCAAACCTGTAATCAGACTTACTTTCAACGAGCTCTCCTTGGCCCGTTCTCGTTAACCCGTTACCACCGAACAACAGGACTGCAACCTGCGAACACTCATTAAGCACCATACCCGCCTTTGCCTTGGCTAAAGCAGTGAGACCCCCTAGCCGGCGATCACCCTCGTCCTTAGGCATATGCTTGAGTTGATACAAGAACTGCTCGACCCACGCCCACATGGATTCTAACTCTGCACCTGCCTTGGCCAGGCGGTGCCTCACAACGGGCTGATCCATCAATGTCTTGCCGAAAGCTTCCCGTTTAATGCAGTATTCGAAGGCCGAACTGAGCGCAACACGTGCCTGACGTGTTACACCAACCGCGATGGTAAGACGCTCATGGTTAAAGTTGGTCATGATGTACTTCATCCCCAGGCCCTCTTCGCCGATGAGATTCTCAACTGGCACTTTAACATCGTCAAGCTCAATGTACGTGGTACCGCTAGCGGTTTGACCGCTGACGTAGAATCGACGCATAGACACTCCTGGATAATTTTTTAAGGGAACAACGACAATCGATAGGCCAGAAGCCCCGGGACCGCCAGTGCGAACAGCCATCGTAGTATAATCGGACCAGATACCATTGGTAATCCTTGGACGTGTTAAGAAAGTTCTTCGCACCACGCAAAGAATGGGTATCGCACTCACCATTTCTTGGTTCCATTGATAATATAGTACTTTCCGTCCGCAGTCTTCTCTGCCGTTGTGGTGATATTGGCAACGTCACTGCCCGCATCAGGTTCAGTGATAGCAATGCACATTCTCTTCTTGCATGTCAGGAACTCTGGAAGGAACCTCTCCTTCAACTGCTCGCTGCCGAACTTGATAATCGGGGGAATACCAAAGGCCAACCCGGCTGTCAGAGAGCTGGGTGGCCCATGCAACCCCGATCGAGCCATCTAATCCCTCAAAAATGCATAATTAGCCCCCAAAATCTCCCCGAAGTTTGAACATGGAGTCTTCTTTTGCACCCACTTCATCCAGGTATATGCCCGTGTATACGAGATCCCAGTCCTCGACTTTGACTCCCAGAATGTCATGGATATCCAACCTCTTCAGCCAGTCAACAGGCAGTGGAGAAGGCAAATTCGGTAACAACATGTTATGCTTGCCAAATGTTTCAAAAACATGTTCGGGTACTTGGCTGTCACGCTCCCATTCCATGGCATGCTTGTTTAGATTCTCCCAGAGGAAAGCCCGGCATCTCTTCTGGAACGCTCGATGGGCATCTGTGTAATATGGTGAGGGGAGACCGCAGAGATACGGAGGCTCAGAAAAGGGTATAGGGTTTTCAGCATTGGTCGCCATGCTAGCTGCTTGTTTTGAATTGAATACGGAGTCTATCGGCCACTGTAGGCTTGGATGGAAAAGGTTCGGCGATTTGAACGATGGGGTTGACCAAGGGCAAAATACATAAATATGCTTGGAAGTTAGAAAAGCTACGTCGATATCGGTATTATTTATAAACGAGAGCTTCCATGAAGAAACCTCCTCAGCCCGAATATGTACTGAGCCCGAAGCAACTCGGTGGAGAGGCGCTGGCGGTCCGGGTTGGAGTTAACCTTGGCCCGGAGAGCCGAGGCTCGCGGCACGTGAGGGTTAGGTAGGGAGTCTGAGTGCCAACAGAGAATTTCACTATTATCAACAAGAATCTGGAGAAAGCCCTGCTCCAGGGTGAGCCGATTTCTAGAAATATTATAAATTCAATAAATAACTATAGATAGTTAATGTTACTAAGTAGAAATGCAGATCTAATAACGCAGTGATCCCTCCCTGCACAAAAAGCAAAGCACCACACCAAAGAATATAAATCACAAATGAGGAGGAGGAGGAGGAGGAGGAAGAAGAAGAAGAAGAAGGAGAAGAAGAAGAAAGAAGAAGAAAAGGGCCAGGATGGATACTCACGACCTATCCGGTAATAGGCTTTCTGGATGTATCTGTATTCCTGTATCAAATCGGCTGACCCATTATTGGGTCATTCACAATCGGCGAGACGCCTGATAAGCTAGTAGGTGTTCTCTTTTGCCATAATTGCGGTGTGTTCTCTCCACTTGCGCCGACACGAGTCGGGGTGCTTTGAGTTCCATCGCTCCAGGACTTATCACCCCCAGCCACACTACTTGTACCTCCACTGCTCGTTTTCCCTCCTCTCTTCACCATTTTGCCTAGAATACCGACCAACTCAGCTGCATCTTCGAAACTTTCGTCGTCCATTCCTTCTTGGGCATTGTATACATCTGCGATAGCCTGCTTGGCAAGTCGCCTACAGGCGGCTGCGTCATTAAGACAATCGTACAAATATGCCGCATATTCGAGTTTGACGGAGAGTCTAATGGGGTGAGAGCCTGGAAGGAGTTGGTCGGCGAGCAGAGCTGCGTAAGTAAAGCATGCTGTGGCACGCGGAGTGTAATCGAGTGCTGGGAGAATAAATGATGCAGCGCTCTTAGGGGTTTCGGGCTGTATTACAAGCCCTGGTGGCCGAGATTGCGCGCGGTTACCACCCCCTACAGGTCCACCCATGGCTGGTGGAGGCGAAGGCACAATGGAATCTCGCTGACCTGCTGGATCAACTTCCGATCGACCGTTTCGGGAACCATTCGTAAGATCAATATGTGAGGTTGAGGAAGAAAAGGTGTGAATTCCAGAATTGTGGATCCTCGGTTGGTTGTGAAAAAGGACAAAAATGTGGTAGAAAGAGGCTTGGAGCTTGTATGATAGGACTTTCAAGTCGACATAATCAGTAACCATCGGAAGGATATATTGTTCCACCATGATCAATCCCTCGCGCGAAAGCCATAAGATATGGTGGTAAAGGTGTAGCGACTTAGTTTCTCGGGTTGGATCTAGTCGACGTAACTTGCGGGCTCGAAGAAGCTTCTTCGATAGAACCACTGAAAGGCCGAGAATCTTATAAAGCATTCCAGAGAGAAAAGGATTCGTGTGGCTCGTCGCTGTTGCAAAGTGGCCCAAAAACTTTTGGTCCACCTCTGAGGAGGCCATCCATGTAGCGAATGCAGGAGGCTCTGCTGAATCTTGCCACTGATAGGAAAGATGTATTAGCTCCGGCATATGGTTAGGATTGTGTATAAGATTCTCGATCGAAGGGGCATCCATGGTCAATTGGGTGGCTCAAAAAAAAAGGTTACAAAAGGTGGGCGGAGAAAAGGGGCAAACGAGAGAAACAAAGCCAAATATAAACAAGTTCAACTGGGGGCTTAATATAGAATCCGTATCTCGTCACTGGGCATCATGGATAGATTTGGGAATGTTTGCTGGGATGATAGACTCCCCGGCGGCTAAATCCCCAAATTAGGTATAAACTGAATAAATGCCTTACCTTCAATGCGGTGATCAGTCAAGCCCCGGCGCTTATAATAATTTCGGGTTGAAAATATCGCAACAATGCTATTTTTGGTGTAATTGTAATTGCGAATTCTGGGTGGGAGGATATGAGTTGATCTTGGCCGCGAAAGGCTCGGTTGAAACGTCGTCAGAAGCTAGATTGAGGCCGTTCAAGGTCCTGGAAACCTATCGATAGTGCTGTGAGACGATCCGGGAAAAAGAAATAGTATTAAGGAAGGCCAGTGGAACTTTCTCATCTGACAAAAAAGTAAGATCGTTCGACAGGCGTATGCTGTTTAGAGCTTGCCGATCTATGTAAAACGCCTCCGCAGCCTCAAGTCAAGTATAAAAAGAATTCTGGCGAAGCGTATTAAAGACGTATATAGTACAATATTCCTCAAATTTCGAAGTAGACAAAGCGTTCAATCGATGGTGCCCAGTCGAAGCACGGTATGTATCGGAGGTCGCGAAATGTAATATGAGAGTAGTATACATAAGAACCCTGCAAAGTAGGTAACAACGATAACTACTTGCTTCGACATGTTAGCTATACTCTCTTGTTATAGTACCAGCCCAACGGCATACCTTAGTACCGGGATTTATTCAATTACGGTAAGGCATTGGTTCGATTCACCAGATGATAGCAACGAACGGCTCCCACTAAGAGCAAATAGAGCCGAAGAGTAGCTAGAGAGAGGGATGGAACGGTGGGTATAATTCCTGAGAAATTCGTAGTTCATTGTTCGCAATTGCGTGCGAAGGAAGGTGATCTTGGGTGAAATATCCGACAGATTCGGGCAGGGTTGGAGGGAAGCGTTGGGCGCATATCGGGGTTGAGCGGGTCAAAATGAAGCGAGTTGAGGCATGTTCGGATTCGCAACTTCAATTGACATGAGAACCTAACAGAAACGAATCCATTGACCGCGCGGACTCGGAGGATATCTTGTTGAAGGTTTTCTCGGCGAAAGAACAGCGACAGGCGATGCTCAAACCTGAAAGGGAAAATTTCACGGTCGACTTGAACTTATTGCTTATTTTCCGCAATCCGGCTACCTTTGGGATCTGCAAATCTGACCGTGACACAAGAAAAGTAATTAGTTGCTGTTCACAAGATAATATGGGAGAGCGGTCCTTAAAGTCGGCTGAAGTTCGAACGCTGGCGCAATGCGACCGTTGAAATCTCAGAATCACAACACATGGCACACGACAAGACAGCGCCTCGTCAACGGGATCAGCTTTTTTTTTTCCCCCAACTTAATTACATCAGGTTCGCACAACGGGACCCAAATTGACACCTGGAGACCGGATTAGCCTCACATTCTCGTGAGTTGGTGCTGCAGGTTGCATGCACTCAATCAGAGCTAAGGACACCGCCAGTTCTACGTGTCAGGCCGGGAATAGTCCGCGCCTCAACCCTGGGGTCCTCCATCGACTCCAGTTCGCTTCCGCCCCGGCGGCGCCGTCAACAAGGCAAGGCGCAAGGGCCACAATTCCTGTTCAAGGCGAAAAAGAGCGCAGTTTTGTCATGGGTTCTTCCTGGCGTAACTCCATCTGGTGTGTGTCCGGCCGCGCTTTGAGTTCAACGTCAGAGCCCGCCTTGTCTTGGCTCGTGAATAAAGCCGACACCCAACCCTCGAACCCTCGAACCCCAAGCATAATGAGTTGACTTATTTCTTCGATGCCTGAGATGGCAGAACTCGGTGCTCCATGCGGAGTACCAGCCACGGTGTTTGGAGCATCGGCAGAGTTTGTGGGACCCGTTCCCGCTCAAGCTCCATCATGAATTCCATGGCTCAGCAGATGGGGTTCGCGGAATCCACAGCGCTCAAAAAGCGAATCCGCATAAATGTAGAGACCATTCCAGAGAGCACTCCCACGCTTTCGTTTGGCTGCTTCATCGCTAAAGCCCCTTGTGGCCTGTCAACGCAAAATCCACCAACTGAGCGCGTCTTCATGCGCCCCATTCAAGGTTGCTAGATATCCTTCCATCGGAGCTCTCGTTTCGCTTCCTTCGGCTTTGGTTCGCGCTCTACCCCGGTTTCTCAGAGATTCCCGCATGGTAGCCGCTAATTCTCAGGAAAGGTCCATAACACAGGAGAGAGGTTTTGTACCAAAGTTGACATTAGTCAAGTGGCGTCTAGCCTTCAGTTTTTGCACGTGAGATGATCCTAAGTCGGCTTCTGAGGCATATACTTTTTGGAGGCATTTTGGGCCATAGTAAAGGTCATCCATTTCAACTACCCCGTAAATGGGGAGAAAACAAAGCACCTTGGATATTTATCATTCCTCGCTTTATAGGCGAACCACTACTTCGAATCCATACATCCCAAACTTTCGGAAAACGTGGCTACAGTGCATTCATTTCTTTCTTTTTAAGATGCAGCCTTCTTTGGTAGTCTATGACCCGATGAGATCCTCGCATCAACAAGCCCTCCCTTTTCCTTTATCGTTTTCGTCATTATGTCCCGGTTCTTCGACCTCTCGTGCTTTTAGCGAGTCTCTTATCGCAGTATATATCTCATCTATGCTATTTTTTTCCTCACGTCGCACCTCTATGGCCGCCTGGCGGATCATAACTCTGTCTGCTTCGGCGTTGATCATGTCGTGCTCGAGCAAGATTAGTCTCAGCCTCTCTTCAATCTGTGCCACTGTTTCAACCAGCTCTCGATCTTGACAAAGATACTTTTCCCTCTCAAGCACTGCACCACCAGCGCGGTCGTTAGCGCAAAACTTCTCCGTGTCGATGAATGCGCGCCCCGACACATTCCATAAGAGGATTTCTGCGTCCTCTTCGATGGTCCACGGTCTATCGTGGTTCCAATGTTTCGCTCTCCAGCTTCGGGAGAGACGACCTTTTAGTCGCATATCATTAAAGTGACCAGAAATGGAATTAATAGACCTTGCATTCCCCCCTGGTAGGTTTTTTAACAGCCAGTCGTTCGAAACATTCGGGTCCATGGCATTGATTACAAGGAAATTTTCCTCTTTCAACGTCCACTTCGCTCCTGAGTTGGACTTGTTAGAAAATACTTGGAGATAGGACTTTGGGTTTCACACCACTGGACTGTTTGACTTGACCCTATCAAAACATCTTAGTCCTTGGCATGCAAATAAAAAATGGAGCACCTGATCCCGGGATGTTGCTTACCTTTGGAGCTTGATAGCTACCCTGAGTGTCAGGACCCATTTTTTTTTTTTTTTTTTTAATGATTATTATTATTATTCCGCTCTCTGTCGAGCTTTGGCTGGATTCTTAGTATCAAAAGTATTAATATGTATGTCAAGTGGACACAAGTCTTGTTAAGATATCTATACGAATAACGACAAGCCTGGAATGCTGTTATTGGAAAAAGTATTGAATATTTGGCGAGCTAGAAGTAGATTGAGGGGCCCTTTAAAGCTTTCGCGCTGAAAAGGTCGAAAACTTTTATATTCGGTCAAAAACCTGGCTTTCGAGAGATTCGGGATAGGCCGGTCCCTTTCACCAAGGACATCGTTGATAGTCGGCACTTTGCTCTTAATAGCACGCATTTTGTCCTGTTTTCGGCTGTCAACGGATAGCTCACGATTTACTGGATCTTCCGATACACGCTCTTTCTCGAGCAACAATAGATCGAGTTTTATGGAGCTTAACCAAGACCAGGTTGAGATGCAAATTTTGTATGTAAACTGCAATATTTGGTCCTTTTCGTTAAAATATGAACACAATGACGGTTGGTTCCCTTGTTTTAGTAGTAAATTAACGCGGACGAGCTAGATATAATTTTTCGGCCAGTCCCGACCATGCTTTTTTGGGAGTTTCAAAGAAGCACAACATCTTAGGTTTTTGTAACGTCGGTGAAATTTTTGGCTGCTAGAATGCAGCGCGAGAGGCCGATTGAGAGAGCACCGTGTAATGCCCACAGGAGTGATTTCCGCCAGAATATTCGAAATAATGCACCCAACAGCTAGCTGTGGTGCTTCCATATCAGGGAAACTTCGGTGTCAATGCCTCGGTATGTACTCCGTATATCAATTCTTAAGGAACCAAGGCTTGTAAGAGCTGGTGGATCGCCTATAGTTAGTTTTGGTATTCGCCGCCTTAGTGCCATGGCGGCAAAGAGCTTTTTCATATTTAACTTAAAAAGTATAATGGTGCTCTGAGAATTATGGATGAGAGTTTCGATCAGGGCATAAACACTATAATATTTGGGGGGTAGGCAGTGATGCCTTCCAGCCAACAGGATACCTTTTCGAGACAACATGGTAGAATGGGCCTGAAGGAGTTGTCGTGTTTCCATATCGAGGTATTAAAATAAATTATTTGTTTGGCAGAAGTTTTTCATCTCCTAGAAGACTTGAATTTTCTCAGAAGTTGACAACTTTTGTCGGATGTGGTCATCTAGAACTGACATGTAATAAAAGGGTGAAATCTAGAACATGTGAATCTTGATAAAGGGGTATTAGAATAGTTTTCCCCAGAAGCCAGGGGCATCTTGATTGAAAGGACCAGGAAGAAGCGAAGTCAAGCCTCTTCATAGGAACTTTGAATCTGGGCAGTGCCATCCTGCTTAGGCATGTTGGGTTGCGTGATGAGAGAGGGTGAGGTTGGTTTATATACCTTGCGACGAGAAAGAAAGGTAGAAAGATGTGAAGAGGTTTTAGACCCCTTTATTGTAAACAAAATTTGCGACGAAAGTGATGCCAAAATCGTGAAAATGGAAGGTTTCTTTCTACTGATGTAGACCTTCTGACGAAAGTGATGTGGAGTTTGTGAATAACACTAGAGATGAGTCACTCACTTCTTCATTCTGCTGAAGATTAGAGGGTGAAGGAGAAGGCTGATGCAGCTCTGTTCACCGACATAGTGCCCCAATGAATACAACATAGAAAGCCGAGTCTTCACTTTGCTATAGAGACCAGGAAGTATCTGGAAAATACAGAAAAGGGTCAAAAACACTTCAAGGATGAAGGGTAGTGCAGAACAGATAGAGTTTTATATTCGACTGCGCATCTGTTAGTACAGACTTATCCATAGATCATTATAGCTGGATGGCTAGCTAATAGTAGCTGGCCCTCAAAACAACTTTCGCATTACCTTGGCCGTCGGTGGATTAGACGGCATCGGGCAAAAGCGAACCGGCCTGGGAAACACTGTACTCTAACAAATGGATCGCAAGGTGCTTAGCTGCTTCAACAACCATCAATGCATGACTATCAGACTGTGGCTATGAGGAATTGTTAGATGTGAGGTAAATAAGGTATTCTCAAATCTGTTTAAAGGCGCAAATTATCAAGGAAGTAGGGAAGAGTATATATGCTCAGAAAAGAAGATGCTGAAGGGTGGCCCTGTTAAGAGTGGGAAAGCGATAGCGTGTAATAATGACCTCCAGGGCCCTTTTAAAAAAGGGGCATTATACTAAAAGTGTTGGGTCTATATCAATATTTTCGATACGGAAAAGAGCCCGCTATGAACCTGCAACGGAAAGACGGATGCGAATAAGAAGTCCGATGAATTGGAGAACAATAAATGATCGAAGAAAAGCACCTGGCAATGCAAGACGTTTCGGTGGTAGAGTAATAAACCGGTCAATATGCTGAAGTCGGAATTGTCGGAAAATAAAGTATATAACCGAAGCGTGAGTTAATGAGCTAGCTATAGCTTAAGGAGCAGAGCAGCAGAGCAGCAGAGCAGCGGTCCATTAAGGGCGTGCAATCAAGTTGCGTAGCTCATCATCATCAAAATACCCAACAAATGCCCTTCGCAGGAATATTTTCCAAATATTTCTCCGAGAAATGGTTGTTGTCCCATTTCCCTCTTCAAAGGAATGTAGAGCTGGACTTTCGGTTTCCGACTTGGTGACGTCTTGGGGTGAGCGGTGTTCGCAACCTTTGAGGTCATCATAGGTAACGCAGTCTTTCTGGATATGAGCGAGGTCTGGACTCCTCGCAATCCTTCTCGCCAGCTTTAAATAACTCTTTACGGTCATGTCTTTCAGTTTAAATAGCTTATCGATACGAGTGTTGTATTCGACTTCGAATTTCAACGATGTGTTTCCGGTGGTGCTGCTGGGCCACGGCCATTCAGCTTGCTGCAGCCGGTACTCACGCCAGCTTGAAGGGGGCATCCTAAATTTCGAGTTCATTTCCGTAATATTGGCAAAAAGTTGGGTATATCCTAACCAAGTGAAAGGCTGGTTTGAATAAGCTGGTCCTGGTGGCGCCGTGCGAGAAGGTGGTAATGGTATTGTAAACCTTGGTGGTTTCTTTCCATCTTTTTGTTTCTTCTTTTTTTTTCGACGCTTTTTCTTCGACAGTTCCACGTCGCTTTCCCGTGTGCTCCCGAAAGATGAAGTTTCATAAAGTTTAGCGTGAGAGACATCACCAGCACCTTTGATGTTGCGGTGAGTCCATAGTGCGGAGTCGTCCAAGCCTGAGATATTATACTCGATAATTCTGAGGGATGGAAAATAGTTTGGAACAACGCTGGGTGACACCAACGAGACTGCGTATCTTTCGGCCCATTTTCCGCCTATTTGTCGATGATATTTCTTTTTCGATTTTCTCAGGGTGGCCCCAAGGATATCTTTGTCCCTGTTAAGCACGCGTAAGTTGGCACTCTTAGACGGTGGTGACGGTAATTTAGCCCATAGGTCACGGAGGTCGCGAAGGTAACTTGTCCGGGACTGTGTTGTCATCTTGTCGCGTGAATCTGCTTCATACTCTGGTTCCAGAGCGGCGGCTTGGTCTCCAATTTTCAAATCACGGAAGTCTTGGAACATGAAATGGTCTATATTCATATGCCCAAACATACTACCGACGACCACGTCTCGGTATTGCTTCACCCATAAAGTATACTTTTGCCAACACGTCTCGTCCCAATTTTGCTTAGAAGATGTTCTTGCTGGAGGAACATGGCCTATCAGGATGGCTTTCATGCTCCTATCTCTTATAAACTGAAGTTGGATTCGTAGCCATTCCATATGTTCATATCCGGGCTGAGATTTATCATAGCATCCATCAACAGCGTTATTTGAGGCGAAGAAGTACATAGTATTCAAGCTGAATACCGCCAACTTATTCGGTATGACTTCGACGTAAAACCAACCTCCTTGCACGAAGGAGTGACGCTGTTCTTCTGGGATGAACTCACTCCACATGCGGGCGTATGTAGTCGTCCAACGGTTGGGGCCAGCATGAAAAATGTTATGGGGCATCACATCGTTGTTGCCTATCGTGGGAACGATTGGGATCCGCAGATGCATTTTCCCTTTTTTTGTCTCGGAAAATACGTCGCGCAAGCTATCAACCATGGCTTGGTTCAATGCGATGATTTCGGTTTTGGAGCGAGGGATATTTTCATCGTTGTCATGTCGCGCCGAATCGCCGGTCCACACCACGAAATCAATCGAATCACGAAGATTCTCTTGTATCCATTTGAACGTAGCGTTGACGAGGGTAAACGGGCTGTCGCAATCGGTTCCAGCCGATCCCAGAAACCCCGCATCTCCTTTACCTCGGTGACAGTCGTGACGCGAGTCGGAATTGGAAAAAGCCTTGTAATGGGAATCCGGGTGTATATCTATCGCGGCGCGTGTCAGCAAAATGGCAAGCCCCTGGATCCGGACGAGACTCGTATCACCTGTTATGTGGAGGAAACGGCCATGCAGCCTCGGTGTGTCCGAATTCTCCAAAACATCATCTTCAGTGCTATACTCGGCACCCGCTTGAAATGGATGCTGTACTTGCCCGGTAACTCCAGATATCCAACCGGCAAGCAGCAATAATATCCACGGGCGTTTGGCCATGACGTCGTGTTGAGAAGGAGAGAGGGCGCCCTGGCCCAAAGAGCTCGCCCTATATCATAAGAAAATAATCCTGCGAGAAGACCCAGATGAGTATGGGGATTTATAATAAAGATTTAACGCCCTTCCACGGAGCTTGATATATTTTTTTGTTCACCTCTAGCAGCCGTTAAGTGCAACCTTGCTGGAAAGTTTGGCTGATGGTCCCGGACCTGGCGGCTCATTGGCCCACGGCGGCCCCGCGCGACATGAATGACATCAGCTCGCCGTTGACTTTGCGCGTTTCTGCGGACGCTCGCAAGCCACCACTGATGTGTGAGCCAACCTTGCAATCGTGAACGTGATACTGACACGGCGTTGGATTGGGTCATAGGGACACGCGCTTTGGTTGCCATCAAATGGCTTAACGAGCTAAAATATGAATTTGATCTCCGTTCCTGCGGAGAGGCTAGAGTAGTTTAGTTATAGCTAATCTCCCTGGTCAGCCCCCGGTTTCACCGGCGACGCAACGAAGATCCGAAACGATTAAAAACGACGGCCATACAGAGTCTATAGGCCCATTAATGTGGTATATATGGTACAATCGCACGATAATACTCCGTATGATGCTGCAGAACTGGATGCTTTGGGAAGCTCGGCCGAAGTACATAGCCGCCAGAAAATCCACAGTCTCGAAATACCATCTCAGCGTTGAATTTGGTTGAACGATTGATGAGGGTGGGTTAGTTTATGCTGGCACGCGGGCCCCTCCTCCAAGTCTAAGATTCAGCCTTGGTTGAACTCAACTCCGTCGGCTTTGTGAAGCTCTCCATGTGGCTTTTTGAGTTACCTCCCGTTATCCCGGTGGGCTAACCAACTAGTAGTTAACATGAACCCCTCCCCAGGTCTCGTGCAACTCCCGTGATATTTGCGGCACCTTTCTTCTCGCTGTCCTATCGTCTACTTGCAGGGCGAAGTCCCATTATTTACTCCTATCTTGCTGAGAAATCTTACGTTTTAGTATTACATCCAAAGAACCATGTCGGGCTTCCCAAGCTTACAACCCGCATTCACGCTCCAGGTAGGCTCCTGTATACCTGATGCCCCTCTATGCCGAAGGACATCAAAAGCTAAACCGATGGCGGGCCCGGAATAGGTGAAAATTGAGCCAGCGGCATCTGTTGGTATGGCAATGTCCCAGTAGCTATCATTTCACGATAATTGAGACGCCACACTACAGGAAGTGCATCGCAGCAATGCGGCCTCCTCATCACGGTGCGCCTTGCAAGCAAACCTCTGACCTGATAACCTCGAATGCCTAACATTTCCTATCAGCCCATGGTCGGTGGTACAGTGAGGAGTGAGCCGGGCTTCTCCCCGGCATTCAATGGGGAGTTCACCGGCACTGGCAACGATTACATCCACGTCGATCCCGATGGGAAGCGTTTTAGACTCAATGCACATGGCCTTATTCGGTAGGCGTTTTCGATGAGCCTCCCGGACGTTGGAGACTGACCAAACGCTTATGTTAACAGAACGGATGACGGCGCGGTATGAGATCACCAACCCTTTCGGCCCGGCCATGCCATTATACTCATACAGTGTCTGCTCTCTATATCAATAGTTGGTATATCTCCTTTATACAGGCATTGTAAACGTTACTCCGGAACTCAACGCCATTATGAGTGGTCAATCGGAATCAGCAGTCACACCTTTTGGTGATGCATGTATGTTATCTACCGCCCCGTTTGCCTGATGCTACCCTTCTTGATTTACTAACATAAAATTTTGTAGTTACTCACCTTACATTCAAGGCACGTATATCCGCCCAGTCTGTTGGACTACATATAACCATTTTGGCCAGACGCTAATTTCTCCCTTATTACGGAATAGACTGGAGATGAGCGGTACACCTTCCTCGAGTCGGGGGTGTTCGTTGCAGCCGGACATTTCATCTATGAGAAAGGTCAGCTGCCAATTGTAGAATACAAAGTTAGTAAGGTCTGCAAGGGATGAGGGTTATCAGTTTAAGCGGGTGTTGGTTTGTGAGAAAGGCACAGAAGCGAACATCGTGTCTAAGGGGTTAATGAAAATATTCTTTCATATTATTGCCAAGTCGTAGGTTATCAGTGGTCCGGAAGTATTCAGACCAAACGGCAACCTTACAATAGCTGAACTCCTCTCCCGAATTGTCTATTCGAAGAAGAAAAAAGAAAAAAGAAAAATAGCGCTGCTTCGCTTAACCGAGTAATGGGTCCCTCTCACCCTCATATCCACTCATACTCTCACCATTCTCAGCTTCAAAGAATGCACGCTGTCCCCTGGCCCCGTTTATGTATGCTCCAAATCCCATACTACTCCCCCACCCTTCACTTAGCAAATCGAATACCGATACCAGAAAGGCTCCCTAATATCCCCCCGTCTTGGTCTTCTAAACCTCTCTGCTTTCCTTTTAGTTTATTTATGACCCGTGTAACCACCGTCCACATGAGTAGGCCAACTATAGAAGTCCCCAGTATAGATGTGATAGCCGTTAGTACTGTAATCGTGCTCACAGCACACCCGAGCGGTCTGGAACGGAGTTCCCATCGTTCTTTTGGGCCAAGAGGACAGATCGAATTGTTCAGGACGGGCGAAAATATGGGAATCGTGGATGGATTTGGGACACAGGCTGAGGACTGGAGTTTGAAGAATGCACCTTTTTAGATGGGGCTCATGCTTCATGCCCATAGCCAGGCATTGATAAAGAAAATACAGATATTGTGGAGAAGGAGAGATTTCAACGTACGAATGGACACCAACTACAGGAGCTTGATGCTTTCAGACAGCTCCAGCAGTCCTGGAAACCCCAGCAGAAACGGAGGAGGTCATCGTCGCTGGATCCGCTCAACGGCGTGATGAGAGTATTAAGATTGTCCATGCCGATGAAAAGAAATGTAGATGGCCAAGTGTATATGGAATGCGATTGTAAATGCATAAATTCTCACATCGCGACAGGGAATAAGTATTTCGAATCCCACGACAAGAGTAACGATCCGTACGGCACGTCCAGGTAAGGGATATCAGACTTCGGCTCTTGGGGCTAGGCTAGGCGTCCATTTTTGTGTAACCACAAGGTTCTCGACCGCGCCAAGATATTCCTCCAATGCAGAAATACGTAAATCAAAAATGTGCTGGAAGTCACTGATAAATATGTGGGCAATCATCGAAAGTCTGGCGTATGGCCGACCGATACTTTGATAGACTGCGGCATCGGCTAAGGCCGTATCAACAAAAGACGGCGAGTTTGGACAAATAAATATCTCATCATAAGCACCAGAAGCGCCTGTGCCTTACCAGTAAACCCATCCATATTAAGGTAAAAGGGAAAAAAAAAGGAAAAAGGAAAAAACAATACAGATAGTAATGAGACAGAAGGGAGTCAATCTCGAATAGAGAACCCCTGAAATCAATTCAGGCCCTAGAGAAGAAAACCAACTTTAATTACTCCCGTACATAAACGCACGAATCCTCTAGTGAACATTCATTCCACATGATAATCATTGCGGTATTTCGCTCAGAAGAAAAATTAAACCACACGTTTAACCTGAACAGCATAGTCTGTTAGTCTTGCTGCATAAAGGGGACTGGACAGCTGGTCCAAAGCCATCATACCTCGAAGAACCTCTTCAACCACCAGACCTGGAAAATGCCGTTTGAAATGAGCACGCCCAATTGGAAAAGACTCCACCATTTTACTCTAGCATTCGTACTTTCGGCGGTATTTCTGTGGGTGCGTTCGCGGACGATGATATACTGCTGCTCATCCTTCACGTGGGCGAGCTCTTGAGACAATTTTTTCACTAGTAAGGATTTCAGCGAATGCTCCTCGAATAAGGTAATATTCACATGTAGGTGGCGGTAAACAGACCTTCAGTCTCCAAGGGATCGGTTGGAAGTTCGGACTCAGGGACGTAGACAATTCCATGCACGTTGAAGGAAACCTCTTTGCTGTTTGAGGACCATGCTTCATTTCCGAAGCAGTACACATATTTACCATCTCGGGTTGCGGTAAAGGAGTGCTCGTCGGAGGATACCGATGATTTGCTGTACTGATGGTGGCCGGCTGGGTCCTCGATCTACGCAAGTCATAGCCGTCAGTTGGGGCACAATGGGAATGAAGACGATATCGGGGGGTCTCAAATCAGAAGCATACCCAGAAGTTGATGTCGAGATTATCGCTTCCGCCGAATTCTCTATCTCCAGTCTGGAATGTGACTGTCATTTGGTCTCCAGAACGTAATTGCTCGAAGAAGCATTCCCTTGAATGTGCGCGGAGAAGAATGTTATGTGCTGAGACTACCCCTATCCACCCCAGGATGACCACCAAATACGTCGAAGGAGAGAAGCGCATGATGAATTTGTTCTCAGTATGTTCAATTCAGTGTGTGGCAGAACTGAGAAGCAATGAGCGAGAAATGAATGGTGTGCTGGCCTGGATATCTATGTAATATTTCACTTCAGATGTCTTGACACCAAGTGTCCAACTCAGTTTCTAGCAACAAAGTGCGCACGGACCAGGTACCCCCAGTGAGCGTCGCGAACTTTCATACTCCGGATGGAGTACTCCGTACACATAGAATAAACTCTTCCTGGGCATCCATATTCCCCCACTAGCTTTCGTACCACACGCTTTAAATTGATTGACGGCATAATACTCTAGCTTATGCTTTAATTGTCCCTCATATGCATAGAGGCAATACAGATTGTAGATACTTAAGCTATCCTCTAAAGAATGAGAACAGCAACTGAGTGCTTACTCTGTATTCCTACATGCCTTTCACTTTGCATAAGCAAGGACATCACTAAACAAATGTGACGATGTCTCATATATTGGAAGTTGTTTATAGAATTCCACTGGTCAAGAACCAACTGGTATGTACTGTATTAGAGTACATAACAAATGGATCAATACAGTATGAAAGACATGATTTTTCACACTTGCCCTTTCTTCAATGTTCAATAGCCTCTGGCCAAGTTCTCAGACCAATTCCTCATTCTCCCAAACAGCGGAACATAGAATCCTGCATCACTCAATTCCTTTCATCGGAAGTTCGGAACTTTAGGCTTTTAATAAACAAGATGCCTCTTTCTGGGCATCCTTTGCCAGATATTAAGGTCTCATTTGCTGATGTTTTCAAAAGTTCAAAGACTTTGCGTGAGGAAGCTGCAGCGGCAGCTTTGAAGGTAATCATCATACAAACATACTGTTTGTCAAATGAAACCTCCTAACCATTCCTAAGCGATCTCTATTAGAAGCTAGCAACAAGAAAGCCGAGGAAGCCGGGCCGCCCCCGCCGCCTCCGAAGGAGCCCATCCTAGCAATAGAACAAAAGACGGAGGCGAAGCCTGTAGCTCCCGAGTCGGGGCCGGGACTAGCTGCTAAAGCCTGTCTAGCGGAGGCAGCCGCTTCAACAAACTCCATTTTGGAATGGACGCCAGAGCAAGATCTACAGCTCTTGAAAATGAAAGCTGAATACACCCCTTGGAGAGCTATATCAGCATCCATTGGGAAACCTGTGTTTGCATTGAAGGACCGCTGGGGAGTGATTCAACCAAAGACAAGTGCATCGAGGGACAAGCAGAAGGCCCAAAAGGAAGCGAAGCCGACCAAGCTGGAAAACGAGAAGACCCATGAACGCAGGGTCTCGTTCTCCGAGCCGATAGTTACACCGGATAACGTGAGTTCCCTTACTGCTTATCACAACGTCTTCCGTGTTTACGCTTCATGTTAGCATGCTTACACTCTCCTATTCCCGTAATTAACTGTAAGAATAGGACGGTGCGCGGGACGCTGACTCCTCTAAAAAGGTTCTTTACCTTGACGAAGCCTTCACGCTGGAAGATGTCATCCTCCTCAATCAAATCGCCGCAAGGTATGATGAGGATAAGTGGATCAGGATCAGCTCGCGTTTCTTTGATAAAACTGGCAAACGGGTCCATCCACGGATTCTCAAGAAGCACGTTTGCGTGGATTGAGCCGCCGAATACTCAAAGCTAAGGAAATATCCACCTTTCCGTTTCACCTATGAAATCCTAGACCTAGGCATGGGTTCTAATGCTTTGAAATTATCCATCATAGACAAGGCCTTTCTGAGTCTGCGATTAGCTTCATGATATAAGAATGCCAAATGACAGGTCCTTGTTCAAAGCCAGGCGCCTTCTCTGTAGGATGGTAGCGTCGTTCATGTAGATTTATGGTTAGGAGGCGCCAGGAAACATTTGCAACCCATATTTCGGGTACTAAGGAGAAAGTCTATCACTGGTTCAACTTGCTCAGAGTGAATGGGTAAGTGACACGGCTCCATTTATTGCACTATGATCACTGTCTATGATATATTTAGATCTGACAGCCGGAACTGTTCATCCCTTTTCGTCACAACTGTTGACTGGTCAGGAGTCTCTGGGCTAGAACGCAGCAGCTTTGTGAAACAGCACTTGGCCCTGTAAAGTGGGCGTAACGTGTACGGTTCCCCTGAATTTTGGGTCCAACCTGCAAAGGATTGTGGCGCATTACTCTGATTCTGAGCCAATAGTGGTAGGTGTTAGCTGGTGACTTGGCCCTTTTCAGGATAGTGCAACGGGAGTGGTGATACTAGCTCAGTTTCTGAGACTGTATTAGGATTACGCCGAGGAAACGGCGCGCTCAAGCATGTTTCCCATGGGCGGGAGAGCTTGAGAGTTTGACATTTCCGCTGTCTTTTCCTCTCCCTCTCCTGGCTGACGACATTGAGGTGGATTCGCTCCCTTAAAATCCCATACCATTCCTGTCCTTCGTTTTCGCAATTCAGTCTTTATTCCATCTCTTCCTTCTCCCATCCCCTGTCTGTCGCTGATTTCTTTCATTCACTTCTTTCATTAAGACCGGTTTCCTCCCAGCTTCGTCTCGGTTCTTTTCCCTGCACCTTGTTATATCGTACATCCGTGGAATCCGTCATTCGCTGGGAAAGTTGATAATGCGTTTGTCGACTCTCCTTCCTCTCGCCCTGGCGGCCGTACCCGCTGTCTCTGCGGCCGGCAAGCTTGGCTTTGCTCTCGGTGTTAAGAATGCCGATGGTTCCTGCAAATCCCAGGCAGACTTTGAGAAGGATTTCGATGTTTTGAAGGCCCACTCAAATATCGTCCGGACATACGCCGCGGCCGATTGCAACAATGCTGAGGCCATTGTTCCTGCTGCTAAGAAGAAGGGATTTAATCTTGTGTTGGGTGTCTGGTGAGCCGAATCGATTGCTCATGTTTGGATGCCGCAAGGGCATGTTAGAAAAGAGTGTCTAACCAGCGCCCGGTTCTACTAGGCCTGATGTCCCAGAGTCCTTCGACGCAGACACCAAAGCTCTGCAGAAAGTAGTCCCAGGAAATGAAGATGTGATCACCGCTATAACCGTCGGCTCTGAGACTTTGTACCGTGGAAACTTCACCGGCCAAGAGCTTTTGCAGAAGATCAACAAGGTTCAGAAGATGTTCCCCAAGGTTAAGGTCGGCACTGCAGACAGCTGGAACAAGTATGCCGATGGTACTGCTGATCCGATCATCGCGGGTGGTGTCAAGTATCTGTAGGTGCATTCGCCGCCGAACGGAAAGATGGGACATAACTGACCAGGATTACACTTTGCACAGACTTGTCAACGCTTTCGCATTCTGGCAAGGACAGGACATTTCCAATGCCACCGACACATACATAGATGACATGATGCAGGCCATGGTTCACATCCAGAAAGTCGCTGGAGCGAATGCTAAGCAGATTCACATTGCTACTGGAGAGACCGGTTGGCCAAGTGGTAAAGACAACTCCAATGCATTATCTCGGCCTTCAGCCTGGCATATGATGTACTGATTCTTCTATAGACGGTGGAAGCGACTTCGGTGCTGCCAAAGCTGGAACTAAAAATGCTAAGACCTTCTTTGAGAAAGGCGTGTGTGCAATGCTTTCCTGGGGCGTCGACGTCTTCTACTTCGAGGCTTTCGATGAGCCATGGAAGCCAAAGAGCATTGGCGACAATGGCAAGGCTGCTGACGAGACCCACTGGGGCTTGTACACCGCTGATCGCCAGTCCAAGTACACGCCTGTGTGCAAACATATTCGATCTTGATATAACCACCACCTGAGGCTGCTGTGCTGGTCTCCGAGAAAATGGAACCCGGAAAGCAACCGTGCGATGGGTCTAACAGTTTGGGAACGACCCGATGCCTAAGGGCTTTCGCATGGTTGAGGCCGCTCTTTAAATTTTTGTTTTTCGCGATCATCTAAGGTGGGCGATGGAAATATGGCTATTGCAGGCAAAGTTGGCGCATTGTAGCTACTCTCTTTAGACTAATTGAAAATGCGATTGTTTTATCAATGTGTCCCCCCTGATTCATGTCTCATGCGTGCGTGCTGCACCGTATGGCCGAATTACCTACCACACAAACTGTGGAATTAACTTATGCCTTTCGTCTCATACAGATGTCAAGAGCCTACTTGGTCTGTGATGCCCTTTCTTTTTTTTTTTTTTTCTTTCTCAGAAGCTGTCGTGTCAGGGATGCTATAAATAATTAAATTATCCGGGAATTCCATCTCCTCAAATTATATAAAAGCATCTAGGCCCCTTTTTGATGCGGAGCATTCCCCTTTTTCTGGTCTGTGCCCAGCACCCGAATACTGTGTGGTTGCGGGCGGCAATTTATTATGCGATGGGAAATTAGTGTGGAAACCAATAATTCCACTCTTGATGATTTCCCCCTGGCCGCCTAAAACTTATTTTGCTCCGGTCAAGTTTGCGTCCCAAACCCAGCAGGCCGAAAGCAACAAGAGCTTAATCCAGTGCCTTTGGTGATGCGCACCATGGTTCATTCTCTGGATTACCCAAGCTCTCTCTGACCCCGGTTTGTTTACCACCACATCTCCGTACTTTTTTGTTGTTTCCCGACAATCCTCGTGGCACCAATTCTGAGGCGTGGTCCACCGTTTTGGTCGCGTCAGGTGCCCAACGAAGACTCCTCGCCAATCCACGTCCTGGATCGCCGTTGAAGACGGAAACCCCCCTCTAACGTGAAACCCGTTGGACTGCTGAGTTGGTGATTTGGGTGTGATTTCCATGATTCAAGATTACGCCGAATACCAAGGGCAGCAAGCTGGTGCTTGCCACTGCAGAATCGAAAGGTAGGGGTCGGACATCGTCAACGCATTCTCCGAGGATAATTGCGTCGAAAGAAGCTACGAGAGTTTTCATACTTCTCTTCCCCACGTCCTATTCCTCTCTACACGTGTGTATGGATTGCAGGCTTACCGATAACCTGCCGCTAGATCCCGCCAATCGGGCGTCCCAATTGCCTCCCCGCGGCTCGAAGCAGCATAACACCAACGAGCTGAACGTGCCTGTGCCGGCCGTGAAGAGGTCCGTAACACCAGGAGCCTCGAGCCTCGCGGCTGCTCCTCCTGGCCCCGACGTCTCCCGGTCTACGTCTCCACTACAACTTTCGCTCCCTGCTCTTCCGAAGTACCATCCTGCAGCGGGATCGCAGCTGTCCTCTCCAGACAATAGAAGAGCGGAAAGTAGACTCAGCAGCACTTATTATACAGCAGCCTGGGGCTCTCCATATGCAACACCGAGTCCTAGACGGCTGTCTTCCTCAATAAGAAGCCGTCGGGGTATTACAGATTTTGATTTGGAGGCTTCCCCCAATCACTCCATGCACGCTGGACAGCCAGAACCGTCGTCAAGGAGGAATAATAATTCGCGTGATATCAGCGTACCCCCATCGGAAGCCTCTCAAACCTTTTACGGCTCGCTTGGTAGACGGTTGGAGAGGGATCGTCTGGTGCGGCAAGGGGGAAAGTCGATAAAAGACTTCACTCAGGATTGGATTAACCAGTATCTTTCAGGGCAGTTACGCTCTGAGCGGACAAATTGGTTAAGCGACGATTCCGGTGACGACGTAGCATCGTTCCTTACAGCCAAAAATCACTTTAGCGAATCCGAAGGTTGGCTTGGTCTTGACGACGATCCATTGGAAGACGACCCTCTGAAAACGCCGACAGCGTCGACTTTCTTCAACCGAAAACTTAAAGAGCCCGCGGCAAGGCTTGATCTTCCGAGATTGAGAGCTAAGCATCTCAAAACGAACAGTTCAGACACATTGAGACAGTCTGACTTTTGGGATTTCGGATACGACCAGGACGCCACCCCTGCCGTGATGCCGAACACCGAGTCCTTAGAGGCTACAGAGCCTGAACTCGAGATAGCTCGCAAGTCAAGCATACCTGTCTCACCGGTTGAGAAACCGCTCCCGCCTCCTCCGACAGTGGATGAAGAGTCCAAAACTGAACCCATACCTCCCACTATTACTAGAACTTCGACCCAGAGGGCAAAAAAGCGTGTTCTCTGGAAGAATAAACCATGCGTGATTGCACTTCCCCTTAATGATTCCCGTGGTGCAATTGAAAGCTCAGGCCCACTCCTCACGCCTGCTGATGTTGAACGACGACTGAAGGAGTGGGAAGAGGCTGGGTATGATGTCCGTTCGGTTGGATATGATCTTTCACAAAGTCGTCCAGCATTCCCTGATGCTGCCGAATGTCATCAAGAGTGGCAACAAAGGAACTATGCCATTAGCTTCCCTGATCAGGCGGAATGGGACGCTTATGTCAACTTCTTGAAAGAGGAGAAGCTCAGGGCTCTCGGAGTATCTCTTGGAGGTGATGACCTCGCGTCCGCTCCAGTGAGCCAAGCTCCGTCGCAGTTCATTGGAAACACGGTCTCTCCACCCATTCCAACTTCGTCTGCGGCTAGTAACCACCTCAATATGTCGGGAAACCCACTCGCAGCAATTTTGGGTCAAACGACAAAGCCAAATGCCGGTCTCCTTTCTATGACTTCTCCATCGTCTCCTTTTGGCTTCTCTGCCAGCTCTCCATTTTCAAACCCCCCTGTATCGTTTTCAAGCGAGCCTGGGTATTCTTTTATGCCGTTTCAGACGCCAGCAACGACAACCCAAGGCAC